CAAGATAGAGCCATAGGAAGCGAAAAGCTGCCTTCACGTTCTCTATAAGTCCTAAGCTCTTGAAAGAGCTGTGTTTTACTAGCCACTATTTGCTTCTCAAATAAATTCATCAACCCTCTCATAACCTCAGGCTTCTCGCAAAATGTAGTTTGATCATACATGAAAGCCGGGTTTAAGTAGTACGCTGCAGCATGAAGATCGTGGCGCAACATACGATCCCATCTTCTATCAATGATGGTTGTATAAGGTTTGTAGAGAGCGTCTTTTTCTTGGAACATCTTTTTAATGCCTAATCTTGCTTGATACATCCCTTCATACACATATGGCAACGAAGGCTTCTCATCAGCATCACAAATACGTAACAAACGGATTATAGGAGTCATAATCTTGACTTATTATCAAGCAATCATTCCACATTCGCTCATCCAAGATAACCAATTTAGCTTCCTTTGCTTTAGATGTTTTGAAAAGCTGCTTAAGTTCAGGATCTGTACTTGTAACCAAAGCTTGTAGATCTTCTTTATGTTGATAGAGGCTTTGTAGAGCAATGAAATTTGTAGCAAAACGTGTCTCTCCAGGACGAATAATCTCTTTCCAACCTGGTCTTTTTCTGACCCAATTTAAAGTCGACTTGTGGTTGTAAACAAAGATGGTCACCTTAGCCATACGGTGCACTAAACTATGAACAGAAGGTAGTTTTACAACATCTTCCAATATCAGATTGATACAATGAGCTGCACATGGAGACCAAGCAATGGTGGGAAACTTTTCAACAAGAAGCTTTCCTGCAGCTTTGTAGTTGGGTGCACTATCAGTCACAAAATGAACCACATTATCTGCACCGATCAATATCAGAAGCATCAACCGACTTGAGAAACGTAATTCCTTTAGGACAATAAACTAAAAAATTAATCAGCGGCCTTTGTCTTGTGTCCTTCCATCCATCTGCCATAAGAGTACATCCAGTAGTAGCCCAAGTACTTTTAAATTCATCAATTATCAAAGAAACTTGCACCTTAGCATCTCGCAACAATCCAACACGTAGAGCATGGTATGAAGGTCCCACATATCCATGCCCCATACTTGCTACCTTACTCATCATGGGCTGGAAAAGTGGAGAATTCACAGCATTCATCGGAATACAAGCGTCATAAAACCACAATGCAACAGACATATCCACATCATGTATTCTCTCTTTACTTTGCATACACGCTTTTATAGAGGGTTGGGTCTGATCATGCACACCTCTTTTAAAGTAGTTGTGTAGATCAATACCTTGTTTCCTCCTCTTTTGACTTGGGCGAACATTGATATCGTCTCCATCAACATCATGAATTTCTGGACCGTCTAAGTTCATATCACCCAAAACAATATTTTTCTTCTTCTTGTTCTCAATATCTTTCAATGCGTTTTGTATCTTATATCGCACATGTGCAGGAATGACCTAACACGCATCAGTATTCCCTTTCACACCAGCAAGATGGTGTTTCATCCTATTAATTCCACCTCCTAATTTTTTTTTGTGACAATATGCACACTCCAAAACTGTTTTCCCTCTTGCATCTTTTGATTGAATGACATGAGACCAAGCAATATCACTTTTTCCTCGGATTGAACGGTTTGCTGCTGCTATTTCTTCATAGTTTTCATCATGTTCTGTTTCCATTACCTGTAAAATTCACAAAAGAAAGAAAAAAAACAGATTTGAGGCAAAATAGATTTTAAAAAGATGCACAAACATGAGGATCAATTATTATAATACAAGATGATCGATCATGACATAGAAAACCAACTTTTCTTACGCTAGAGTAATATGCTAGAGAAGAAGGAGACGTGAGAGATGTGTTGAGTAACTTGAGTCGTGTCTTGTGTCGCCGCTTTTAACTTCTAATTTTCTAAATATAATTGGAAGTGAAACGTGAAAGTAGATAACCAATATGGCATGGAGTTGTTACATATAGACAATTATTCATGTAAAGTAGATACATTTCCAAGAATCTCAACCTTGTAATGTTTGGTTTCTCCCCATTTCTTGCCTATGGTCAAACTAAATTCTGAAGAAGTTGCTAACTGGTAACAAAAATACCCCAAAAATGGTTCATATCTCGAAGGTACTTGAAGATTCTTAACCAACTGAAGTCAAAAAGGTTACCACAACAAGAAATCCTTACTATCCAGAATCGTAAATATAAGAACTTGAAACAGAGCTAACATCACAAAACAAATTGGAAAAATAAACTCTTCAACCAGTGATATTCTGAGACTTGTTGAGGATAACACCTTCATACTTAACTTGGAACCACTTCATGGCATCATCCTTTGTAACTCTATGTTGAATACCAACGCGAGCCTTGCATCTACGGCGACGGGCAACACGGTATCCTGGGCGTTCAAGAACGACGTAGAAATCCATACCGTAGATACCAGTAGAAGGATCATACCTAAGAAAGAAATGCAAATGATGAGAACATTCCAAATCAAAATGTTTTACTAAGTCAGCCCATATGTCATTCAGACAACACTTACTTGATTCCAAGATCAATGTGCTCCTGGATACCGAATCCAAAGCAGCCAGTGTCACTGAAGTTCCTTCTCAAGAGCTCGTATTCCTTAACTTTCAAGCCACTCTCAAGAAGCTGCATTGCCTTCTCTCCTCTCACGGTGACATAACACGCAATCTTTTCATTACGCCTGATACCGAAAGACCTCACAGTGTACCTCGCTGTTTACAATAAAGAACAGAGACCTTAAAACTCTAGAATCTTAAGTCACAGGTATAACACATAAAAGATTCTACATGAAGATGATCACATACCCTTGGAGAACACGGGGGTTTGACCACTGAGCTGTTCCAAAACCTACAATTACCAAAACCCTCCATTAACATAGTGAAAAGGGTAATAATTTCAATTCCAATTCATCAGTGCCATCTATAAACTAACCCATTTCAAAGTAGCTAAAACGTAAAGTGTCATTTTTTCTCAGTGTTGGCAAGTTTCTTAGTGAATGATTAGTCTATGGGAATAAAAAGCAAACCTTGGAAGCACGAGTGAGACGATCACCACTCTCACCAACAGAGATGTTAAGAACGAGCTTCTGAACCTTAATGTCCCTCATAGGGTTCGAGAGCTTCTTCTCCGACGCCTGCATCACGTAAATTACACAATTAAATCTCAAAATGAGGAACTTAGATATCCATGGATCAAAAAGGATGAAACTTTACCATCTTAAGATTAGGGATTCAAAATCGAAGGAGGTAAGCAAAAAGAGTGGCAGACGAATTGCGTCGGCTGCGAAGTATGATAGTTATATGAAAGACACTAGGGCTTCTTCGTCAACTTAAAATTACGAAAGTATCCCTTACTTAGGGTAAAATATTTAAAAAAACTCCGTTGCCGGGACTCGAACCCGGGTCTCTCGGGTGAGAGCCGAGTATCCTGACCAGCTAGACTACAACGGATTGATGCCTATTTGATAAGATTATAGCTAATCAACGAATATGTAAGCTCTTTTTTAGATCATCTTGACCTTTTCTGTGCTAACTTTGATTTTGATGGTAAGGCCACAAAATAGCTAACAGTGACAGAATCTTTATACAAGTCAAAAACTTGAAGGTTTGCATTTGTAAGAGACTTGAGTCATAAACAAACCATCTTCATTAAAACTTGGTAATAAAAGAGAAGACAAACATACAATAGCAGAAAAAAAATAAACCAAAGCAACCCCTTAAACTGCAGCAACTCCAGCCTTTCTTCTCTTCTGGTAGACGGATGAAACACTTTGTATCACCCTCTGCTCAAACTTTACTATATAAAAATATATCTGACTAAACTCATTTACATATGCAGAAACGAAGAAGGAAAGAAGCAAAGGAGGAGATTGTGTTTTTTCACCAAATTTAAAAAGAGAGAAAGAAGCAGAGATACAACTGGAGGGTTTTTGTTTTGGCAGATTTGGGGAAGTTGGTTTGTAGCAGCTGGCTTTGACCATCAAACTTGTCTGAACAGAACATTTCCGGAACGAATTTGAGGAGGAAAAACTTCGAATTGTGTCCTCCGAGTTGCCTTCAACTACTACCTTCTGGCTCGTGTAATGGTACATTATATATATAAAGTTGTTTGTCATTTGCAGATCATCCTTTATGTTCCAGATTGATTCAAGAAACTAAGACCCAATTGTCTCTTGATATGGTCTGGAATCAACTTGTTGACTAGTTCAGGTGTTGCTCCGGCTACCTCTTGTTTGAAGTTGAATAGAGGCGGGAAAGGCCGTCCATTTGGTAAACGAGCGTTTGGTTCTCTGAGTTCATCAAAGAACGGATGTGCACAAGCTTCAAGCTGAAATACGCAGCATATAAAAAACATTAAGCATTCAGTTTAAATTCTTGTAAAGACAGAATATATTTCAAGACAACGCTCACCGCAGTGCATCTAAGACTTGGAGAATATTGAAGCAGCCTCGATGCAAAATCAATAGCTTCTGGAGGCATCCTTTTGTGGAAGATCTAAATCAAAATGTACAAATATGATTATGTTGATGTACTATGTGGAAATTAAAACAAAAATGTATGTAAAAGAAAAAGAAACTAACCTTGTGCCAAGGGTGTGCCTTTATCTGTGGAAACCTAAAATCTGTGTAATGTGGATTCATACAACGGATCTCTTCTCGAGTTGGTGTACCAAGAACCTGTGTCCAACAACTCCATACAATGAGGATTTGTAACTAGTGAATGTTAATTAGCAATATATTACTGTTAAGAATTCTTACTTTTATAATTTCAACTAGCTGATCCACAGCATTTTCTCCAGGAAACAACGGCTGCATAAAAGAAAAAGATATCCTCAGAACGAGTCCTACTGCAAATATACGGAAGCTGGTTACTGAAAAATTGTTTACCTGACCGAGAAGAAGCTCGGCAAGAACACAACCAGCAGACCAAATATCAATTGAAGTTGTGTACTCCGTGGCACCAAATATGAGTTCAGGTGCACGGTAGAATCGTGAACAGATGTAAGAAATGTTGGCTTCACCTCTAACCTGAAGCAACAGCAAATTCCAACAGTAAGTGGCAAGAACACACCAAACAACAAACGCTACAATTTGAAAGAGTATATATGTCCCAAAGTCTTACCAGCTGTTTGGCACTGCCAAAGTCACAGATCTTGACTTGATGAGTAAGGGGATCAACCTGTAGAAAGAGACCAGAAGGGATACATTAGCAAAGAATTAATCAAGAGATAAAACAAAACATAGAGCTGAATCTGAATGTAATGCCTACCAGAAGATTTTGAGGCTTTAGATCTCTGTGACAAACTCCAGCAACGTTGTGAATGTAGGCAAGCCCCCGGAAGATCTGACATGAAAAAAGGATATAGTATCAAAATAAGTACAAATTTATGTACATCAATTATGTAGTATACAGAAGATGGCAAAAGTGTGTTGTTGTTACCTGGTACATGTAAAGTTTAACATAGACAAGCGGCATTCTTTGGTTAGCGCTGCTATAATGTTTGAGAACTCGATACAAGCTCTCAGGGACATACTCCATAACCAAATTAAGGAATAGCTCATCTTTACTTGTGGTAGAAAAGAAGCAATGCTTCAAACAAACCACATTTGGATGATCCATCACACGCATTAACTGAAGTTCTCGGTTCTTGTATCTTCTGTCTTGCAAAACCTTCTTTATGGCCACGGTTTCTCCAGTCTCCAAACATTTAGCTTGGAAAACTATTCCAAAGGAGCCTGTGCCGACAACTCTCTCCGCCATGTAACTAATTGTCTAACAAAAAACATAGGAAATATCTTGGTTAGGACCACATCCTCCATATACATAACAGAAAGTATCTATTAAGTTAAGCCTATAAATAAATACCTGTTTTGGTTCACCATTTTTGCCTCCAATTGTGGTGGAAATTATGTGACCAGTGACTTGATCATGTCCGTCAACTACAGCATCAGGCATCTCCTGTAAAAGACAAGCTTTAAGGTCAATAAAAACGCAAGTAACCAAAGATTCCGCCATTAACAAAAGCTAAAAAAAATGGTATAATGCTTGTCTCAGAATCAAAAGCCTAAAGAAGGAAACTTTATCCTAAAAGAGTGGTTAAGAAATAGCCGTTACTCTGATTGAGTAAAAACATATACTTTTGTCACGCTAGAAGAAAGGTAAAACGAAAGATACATAACGAAATAAAACAAGAATCATGAATCTATTGCTCAATTCTAGATCTAGCAACTTGTACAAACTGTGGATTTAGTTACAGATCGAGACAAATAGACATAAACAATCCCAGCCAAAACTACTGATTTAGGAAATTGGAAAGTCTCATGAGTAAGAAACAAAGATGCTCAATTTACACAGATACAAATCAGCTATTAAGAAAGAACCCTTTTCTCAGAACTCAAACCCCCTTGAGAACAGTCATGTCTTGAGCTCAGAGATCTCAAAAAGTTAAAAACTTTGGACAGACCCAGAACTCAAAAACCCCCCTTTGAACTTCAAGAGTAGTAAACTATAGATATGTCTTATCGAAAAAAGTCTTACAAGAACAAGAGACTCTGAAAAGACCAGTAATTAAAAGGGTAAAATGTGGAAAACAAAGAAAAGAAAACAGGATCTTATTCTATGAAAGACAGCAAAAGAAGGAACACAAGTAGTTTTACCTTATCGTCAGCCATGGCGATAGAGACACAGAAGAAGAGAGGAGAAGAGAAAAAGAGAGAGAGAGAGAGAGGAAGGAGTGGATTTGAGAGAGAGAGAGAGAGAACAAATGAGTTTCAATCAGTTTGGTTGGTAATGATGATCATGGAGAGAGAAGCCGCAAGATGAGAAAAGAAAGAAAAGGAAGAAAAAAAAGGAAAGAGAGAGAAAGAACAAGAGCATGTGAATCCAGCTCTCTCTCTCTCTCTTTCTTTCTCGCTCCTATTATCTCCTTTGCTTTCCGTTTTCTTCGCCATCTTCTTTCGTGTTTTTTTTTTATTTTTAATTTTATTATTTAGTTAAGAGGAAAGTACAGAAACACCCTCGAATTTGTCGTTGAATTACGCAGACAAACACGGAAGCTCATTGTGGAAATTTCGTGATCAAAGGGGGGAGGGGCATCATGTTCTTGTCGGTCAAATCTGAATCCTTTGTTTTGGTTTTGAGGTCTTTATTGACATTTTCAAGGTGTGCATCTATCTCTCTCAGTCTCATTTATATGTTTATTAGATGCTAGAATTGTCAATGTTCCTTTTCATATCTTACTTATTAGAAAAAATTATTCTGTTTAGTACATCACTTAACAAAGTTGAATGTTAACAAACTCACTACCGGAAAAAAAATTATATCAAACACAAAGGAAAAGAAAGAAAAATTCAAAATCCATGTTACATAGTTAGTTATAAGAACCAATTGAATCATTGATAATGTAAAATGTTAATAGTTGCGATATTCGATATATTTATTAGCTCTAAAATGTAGTACTAATATGAGATAACTGTAAAACAAAAAAAAAAGTTCATTGTACATCGTTTTCTATTTTTATGATTGATTTCGATAAAAGTGGTATACGAAATTATCATTTTATTTTATAAAAAGATTCAAGTTACTATTCATAATTTTTCTTTTAATGATTTGTTGCATTATCATTCAAAACAATTTTGATCTAGTTCAACCACACAAAATTATGAATTTATTTGTAGTTCTAGCTATATTGATCTTAGCTTACTCTTAACTTCAAATCTAGTTTCCTACCAATGGATGATTTACACCAAACATAAACTATTAAGAAAACACTTATCAAAAGTATAAATAGAAAAGTTAGAGAGCATGATGAACTGGAACAAATTTTGTCAAAGATCCAAGTTTGACCATTTGGTGGGAAAACTTCTTTTTTGACAATTGATGAAAGAAAAAAAAAAGCATTCATGTTTCCTTGGTCTTAGCTTTTTAAATGTTTCTCTATTTTATATAATTTAAAAAAATTTCAGACTTAAATTGGCTTTATAATTATTACCTAATAGTGTAGCTTTACTTATTGTGTTTTGTTTTTTTTTCTTTATAAATATATAATTTTTCTGGAAACATCAATATTAAAAATCAATGATGATAATGATAGCAGTACTAGCATTTTGCAGAAGACAACAAAATAAATATTAATATTAATTTCTTTTTGTTCAATTATGCATGGGACATACATACTTTTGGCTGTTGTATGGATTTATATTGCTTATTTTGTGTTATCTTTAGACTCAATTATTTCAATGTCTAGATGTACGAATGTATTTTATCCAATCGTATATGTATACAATAGCAACTTGTATAAATGTTCATATACACTAATACACACTCGGTTTTAGCTGCAGTTTTCACTGTAATAAGTTGTTACGAACTATTTAGGTTAGTTTCAAGATTGCAGAAAAAGAAAAAAGAAACAAAAGCGTTGTGTGATTTTGTAATTTTATACCTGTTACGTTTTGTATGGAATCGTAAAATTCACAATTCGAATGAGACAATATACAGATATCTAATTTTCTAAAATATTTTAAATTTTTGTTGTTTCATTGTAGTATATGTTTTCTATAGTAATACTATTGGTGCATAGTGAAATGAATCAGAGTAAAAGAGAGATCTCACTCGATAACCTTTTTGGTCTATTTTTTTTGTTATTGATAACATTATACTATTGGTATGACATATACGTAAAAGACTATATTATCTTTTTGAATTGAACTCTTGTGGCCGTATGGGAAATATCAATAACGTGCACCATGTGACGTGGCTCGAGCCAAGGCAGCTAATGAAGAACTATATTAGTTGCATATATATAAATTCGACTATATATTATAATGTAAACACAAAAAATGTGATAACATGAAATTGAAACACGAAGGCCGAAGCTAAGTATAAAGAAGCAAATAATAATTGGAATCGTACGAAATCTTAAAACTAATTCTCTTTTATTCCTAACGAACAGCTAACCGTCGGCAAAAGAAATGAAAAAAAAAAAAAAAATCATAACAATCTTGAAGAAGCATGATTCTTGCCATTTCTTCAAGCATACCAACAAATATTATTGTCTTTGTGTCTTCCTTAGTTTGGCTATTCAACTTTTCTATTTCTACAGTATATCTTAATTTATTTCTCTCTTCTAACCTCCCTTTATATCCTTCCTTAGTACAACATTTTCAAACATACTTACATAGTATTAAAGACAGTTCTCTTACGTTAAAGTAAAGACATCTGTTATGGTTTTGAAGAAACGGTGTCAAAACATTAAATTAAAGTTCATTAACTAGTTTTAAATGTTTCCCTAGCGTTTATGGTATTGCCAACATCTCATAACAACTAGATATATTTTTCTAATACAACATATGATACTATAAGTTAATAATAAATCAAAATTTTCGTACACGATTTGAATACACAGACTATAGTATATTTCGAAAGCATGAATCATATAAGTTAGAAAATATCGGTAATTTGCATTTAGCGTTTATATCATTTTACTAGGTTTAGTTAGACCCATGCTATGAGTAGAATACTATATAGATTTGACAATGTGTATTATTGAATGTTGATATTATGAGGAAATGAAGATAGAAGAATGGGATTGACGAGTGAGTTGGCAGTCGGTGGGAGAAGGTGGCCTGGTCAAAACTCCAAACTTATTTTAGTCAAAACATTGTTGTAACTCATTTATCTCTGCCTCTCTGTCTTTATTTATTCTTTATATAAAGACATCTCTTGGTGTTGTATAACGTAAGCCCTTATTGTGCACTTCACCGTTGTGATGTTCACATTTGGCAAGCTTCGGGTTGATCCACTAGTAACTTAGCTTTACCAATACATAACCGTTGCTTGCTCTACTCGTGAGGAATGATCTTTTTAGCAAAGGTTATAGATTCATACAATACCTACGACTCGATAGAAGATCGACTCAAGAACATCTTCAAGACTTCAACAAGCCCTTAATCAATTAGGTTTTTTTTTTTTTGCTATGAATGTTAATATCATTATAAATGAAAATGTTTGGCTTAGGTTGGTACATATGTTTTTCAAACTCTATATATTAAGTTTTATAAGTTAACGAAGATTATTGCAAAATAAGTCTTTTTGACAAAATTTAAAACAATTATTATTTAGTTCGTTTTTCTCAGTTTCTTTGTTCATTTGTATGTATTCTTTCAGCTGACAATAAGAGTTTGGTCAAAATTTCTGAGTGTTTTAAATATCAATGTTGTTTGTTCTATGCAAGTGTAAATATGTGATATATGGCATCTCATTGACGGAGTGATATTTAAAAAGATTTATTATCACGCCTATTCTTGAAGATTTATAAAGGCCCGTATATTAGTTGCCAAAACCAAACAAGAAAACTCATAAAAAGCCCAAATATTTTGCTTTTGAAATATGTTCAAACAAAACCTAAATGTGGACTTAGTTCTGAGGTGAACCTAAATGTGGTTACACGAAGTGTTCATTGAGGAGATGTACGTTACTTCTGAGTAATGTTTTTGTTTATTCTCTGTTGATGATTGCCCTCGATCCTCATAATTTTTTGGGATCTACTTGTAAAACTTGATGATTTTATTGAATTATTCAGTCGAAAAAAAAAAAAAGAACAATAGAAGTGTAATTGAACCAAGATAATAGGAGTGATATTTTGAATTGGGGTTTTCAAAACATAATATATAATTTGGGCCTTGTTTCAAAAAGAAAATACATATATATAAGTTGGGCCATATGAGGCATTTGCCTCTTTTGTTCCACAAGGTAGGCACGAATCCTATATACCGTAAATAGACTTAATTAATACATTAACTTTAAAATTTAACATGTATCACGTTAATTCGTTAAAGCATGTAAACAAAATGTGTGTGCGTACGATCTATTAAGAAGACAAGCATATATATATTTATCTCTTCAACTTTAAATCCATGTAAAAGTATTAACTTAATGCAAGTGCCAAAACGCGCGCAATTGTATACTATATGAAAAAAAAATTGTTATTCAATGTACTTACTGTAGAACATTTTGTTAGCAAGGCAAAACTAATAGTTATATTTTTAATCAGCAGCATATATAGATTTTACTAAAATTTCATTTAAGATATAAGGAAATGTACCTAAAATATCATTTATATCATTATCGTTCCAAATAGATTATCTAACCTTTACTTCATTTGATAATTACTCTTGCTTATTATAAACTCTTGACCGACCATTACGTACGTTGACCTACGACCTCACCGACCTTCTTCACCAACCGTAACAGTAGATTTGACTTTTAATTATTTCAGATATTTTCTTAATCAAACTCATTATATATTATAGTTTTGAATCAATGAATTAGATATTTTCGATCGAGTTTTATGTGAAACACTACTCACTATAGCTGGATCCCGTAATTTCCGTGACTCTCTACGTAAAGAGACAAAACCGTTTTCATGTGGCACAATCCAACGGCTGTGGTTAAACTCAAACAGCTGTTCCATCCAATGACGTAGGTCCCGACACTTTACCAGATAGAATACTCGAGACTCGCGACTCGAGACCACTTACAATAAAGCGATCGCTGAGTAACTGCCACGTGTAAAAACAAATCTAAATATAACTATCGTTTGGAATATACAGCCACAGAACACACAATGATGTCATCTTTAAGCTACGTGGTTTTCTGATGTGATCGATTTTTTTTTTATTTTGAACTCATATAAATGTAATCTACGATCTAGATTCGTCTCGAGACCACCACCAACTTGACCCACTCGTATTTATATATAAGGTAATTTGTCTTTCCCTATCATTAATCAAGTTTATTCTACGACTAATCTTTTAAATTCTCATGTAGTTAACAACAAAAAATGATTGGTAATAAGAGTATATTTCTTAGTTAAAACTTTGAATTCGTAAAAATCGTTCTAAGCCTTCTGAATTATGAGTTTTGTAAAAGCATTTATAATGCAATGTACAGTTGAAGAAATTATTGAAAACAATGTATATTTTACAAACAAAGTCGTATGGACCACTACAATAATTTATATGATTCAACATCAATTCATTTTATAATTGTGGCCATTTTTATTTCTTCATTAAACGATTTTATTAGCGTTTTATTGTTTGACATTAGCGGTTCTAAATCATTATAGCAAAACAAAGCTAAGATAGCGACTTATGTTTTTGTTTTTGAGCATTTCGAGCAAACAAGTGGTCTATGTAATTGATGTATAACAAGGCATGAGATGTACGGTTTGGTTCGGAGGAAAAGAAAACATAATACATGCAGCAAAATTAATAACACAAAGAATGTACAAGTTGTAATAAATTAAACTTTACGATGATTAAAATTGTATTATCTTCACGTGAATGGTGATCCTACTCGAAAATGATCGTCGCGTCTTATTCGTAAATCGTAATCGGGTTTAATACTTATGTTGTACCTTCAAGTTCATACAAATTAATTTACAATGGCAAGTTGATACTTATGGTTTAACTTTATAATTTTTCATTTTAATACAAATTATATACTTCGGGAAAATGATTAGTAATAATTGCATACGCATTAAAATCTAGATGGTGTGTACTTAAGAAAATCATTAATCAATACTATAAAAAATCTTACATTAAATTTATAAAGTGATTTTGATATCTATATACAGATACTAGTCGATGTCTCAAATCAAACTCACGACTTGTAACCAAAAATAAAATAAAAAGTGACTTTATTTTTGGGTCATTATTAGAGAGGAACGAACGAACGAACACTCATAAAAGCATATTCCCAAATATATACGGCGATGATATAAACAGAGCCAAATGCTATTTTCAGTGAATCCCTAAAAACAGAAGAGAGAGAGAGAGCAGCAGAAGAGAAACTAGAGAGAGAAAAACTTCTTCTTCTTCTTCTTCTTCTTTCAACAAACATCTCCAAACATTCAGACAAACGAGAGAGAAGAATCCAACAGGTGAGAAATTCGAAATCTTTGCGAGCCCCAAACTCGCCCTGATTCTCGATTTCTCCACCCTTTCTCTCAGACCTTCAAAAAACCCAAAAATCCCTAGAAAGGCTCAAGCTTTCACCTTCAATGGCGAATAAGATAGTCAGAGAAACATCTTTACCTAAAGAGAGAAGCAGCCCACAAGCTCTAATCCTCGGAAGGTACGAAATGGGTAAGCTTCTCGGCCATGGAACCTTCGCAAAGGTTTATCTCGCTCGCAACGTGAAGACAAACGAGAGCGTAGCGATTAAAGTAATCGATAAGGAGAAAGTGCTCAAAGGTGGTTTAATCGCTCACATCAAACGCGAGATCTCAATTCTGCGGCGTGTTCGTCACCCAAACATCGTTCAGCTATTCGAAGTCATGGCGACGAAAGCTAAGATCTATTTCGTGATGGAGTATGTTCGTGGAGGTGAGCTTTTCAATAAAGTAGCTAAAGGTCGTCTTAAAGAAGAAGTAGCTCGCAAATATTTCCAGCAATTGATCTCAGCTGTTACCTTCTGTCACGCGAGAGGTGTTTATCATAGAGATCTGAAGCCTGAGAATCTTCTGTTGGATGAGAATGGTAATCTTAAAGTCTCTGACTTTGGACTCAGTGCTGTCTCTGATCAGATGCGTCAAGATGGGCTTTTTCATACGTTTTGTGGTACCCCTGCTTATGTTGCTCCTGAGGTTTTAGCCAGGAAAGGTTATGATGCTGCTAAAGTTGATATTTGGTCTTGTGGTGTTATCTTGTTTGTGTTAATGGCTGGTTATTTGCCTTTTCATGATCGGAATGTTATGGCTATGTATAAGAAGATTTACAGAGGGGAGTTTAGGTGTCCTAGATGGTTTTCTCCGGAGCTTACGAGGTTGTTGTCTCGGCTTTTGGAGACAAATCCGGAGAAACGGTTTACTTTCCCTGAGATTATGGAGAATTCTTGGTTTAAGAAAGGGTTTAAGCATATTAAGTTTTATGTGGAAGATGATAAGCTTTGTAATGTTGTTGATGATGATGAATTGGAGTCTGAATCCGTTGAATCGGATAGAGATTCAGCTGTTTCTGAATCAGATGTGGAGTATTTGGAGCCTAGAAGGAGAGTTGGAGGGTTGCCTAGACCAGCGAGTTTGAATGCTTTCGATATTATATCGTTTTCGCAAGGGTTTGATTTATCGGGTTTGTTTGATGATGATGGTGAGGGTTCTAGGTTTGTTTCTGGAGCTCCGGTATCGAAGATCATATCGAAGTTGGAAGAGATTGCTAAAGTTGTGAGCTTTACAGTGAGGAAGAAGGATTGTAGGGTAAGTCTCGAAGGTTCAAGACAAGGAGTGAAAGGTCCATTGACGATTGCAGCTGAGATATTCGAGTTGACACCTTCATTGGTTGTTGTGGAAGTTAAGAAGAAGGGAGGCGATAAAACCGAGTATGAAGACTTTTGCAACAACGAACTGAAACCCAAGTTGCAAGGTTTGACAGCGGATGAAGTAGTAGAGCCTGTGGCTGTTTCAGCGGTTGATGAAACCGAAACCGCAATCGCAGCAATCACGAATTCGCCGCCTGTTTGCTACTTGCCTTCTGACACTGAATAGAAGATGAAAAGGCCACAAAAACCAGAGATCATGAGGGGTATGTTGTACAACGTTTTGGTTCCCCTTTCCTGTTGTTGTCTAATGGGAGTTTTTGGGTTTTGTTATCTGAGTTGGAAAAAGAAACTGCTTAGGGTTGGTGAAAGTTAGAATCATATTATGTAACACCGTTAGAGAAATTGAGATATGTCTTTGTTACTAACCTTTTAGCAGTTTTTTTTTTGTATGTAAGGGAGAATTGTAAACAGTTTCGCATAATCAGATCTTTGATATGTATAAAAGACAACGAAATGAATAAGAGAAGTTGCTTTTTTCATCCTTATGATTCATCTTTTTTTTTTGTCATCTGATAATGGTTTTAACACTTTATGCCTGTTTTGGGGTTGTCATTTAATTTGCTAAAATGGGTAAAGAACATGAAGTGAAGAATGTTCTTGTTCTTTGTTCTTGTTTTGTTGATGATTCTTGACAATGGCGGGAAATACTGATGGTGATGTATTTTTTTTTTTTTTTTTTTATCTATTTGTGGGTAAAGAAATTGACCAAACAACCATGTGAAGTGTTTGTCTTTTGGAGTGAAGCAAGAGTTGGATGTGTGATTTGATTGCAGTTTGTCCTTTTCTACAAAATTATTATATATTTGTATTGATTTGACAATCACGGATACATAAACTGTTTGATGTCAAAAAGAAACTGTTTTCCCCTTGATGTGGCCTAGCTTTGCTTTGATTTACTTACATGTGAGAGTGTTGAAGCATATATGTTGGTCGATGATGTTTGTGATGCTGATGAACGATGATGCATTGATGATATAACTAACTTGGTAGCCTCTCTTTTTTGGAGTTTTTGTTTGAATGTGCTTAATGATAATCATCAGTCTGATCTGTGTGTTTCTTCTTTTCAACCTTACTGAAATAAGGCCGCAATATCAAAAACTTGGCTCTTGTGAATTCAGGAAAAGTTAAAAATGTAACTTGTTGCCTTGCTGGTTTATAAGAAACAGAGAACTCAAATACTCTCCTTTTGTCTTTTTCTTCATGGCAATAATGGCTATTACAAAAAATGAAAGAAGCACTGTATTTTCAAGTGGTGAGTTTGGTGACCCAATTCAGCAACACAGCTCACATGCGCCATTAAAAGCCCATATGAAGATGTCTTCTCTTTTATTTTTGCCTACTTGAAGATGTATTCTCTTTTGCACAATAATACCTTAATATTATGATAAGTATAGACTGGTATATATAATTTTAATACAATTGTACAATGTCCTTTTAGTATACTAATAATTAAAAATTATGTACAGACAGAACAAAAAATATAATAATACACAGCATATACGTTTTTGTTATGTTTAATGAAATTAAAACTAATTTGTTGAGTAGAGCTTTAAAGTGATTTGTAATCCTCATGTTGATCGGGTGGTAAGACGATTCAAACATTCTTCTTTTCTTCAATCCTTCCCCAAGACTTTACTAGTCTTTGTGTGAGATCATTGTTCACAAAGTTCATAAGGACATGTGGAGAAATGTGATGCATAGCCAAATTTTGACAGATTACTATTTTTTGGCTTAATATGTACGTCGATGTAAACATACTGCGTCATTGTTATCTTGTTTCAAGATAAAGTCGTCTAGGAAAGTTAACTTGCGACATTTCCATTGATGAGGCGGTTGATATTACTATTGTCACTTTCAAATTCCACTCTTATATGCCCAAGAGGCCAAGAGTATTGATTAACTATGCCGGGCCTTACTGAAAACTAGATTGTTATAAGTTGAACCATTATACAGGTGTAACATTTATATGCGATATATTTGTAGAGTATGACGTCTCATACTTGTTTATGTTGCTCTTTTTTCCTCCAACACTAGGTTTATTTTAAACAGAAATAAAATATAATCAAGTTCTTGTCTCCATCTAGCTAGCGTGTTGGGGAACAAGTTGATGTTGTTGCCACGCAATGCTTTTACTCGATCGGGAGATGTACATGTCACCTTTTGAACCTTCGAGCATATGATGATTCGTCTGTTTTATATAATATCTCCATTTACTTACCAAATATGTATATCCCGTTTTGTACTCTGTAAAATTGAATCGAACAACTAAAAAAGAGTATTTTTTTTGCTACAAATGATTTAATCTAATGGTATAAAGATTCTGCCAAGCACCAAATTCCCACGAACGTTTTTAAATTATGATATACAGTATTGTCTAAAAAAATTTATTTCACTTAGTGAGTCATTTACATCTAAAAAATACAATATAAGTTTACTCTTTTTTTATATTCTTTTTTTGGTCGACCATTTAATTTTATTCTCTAAAAAATGTTCTCTAAAATAAATCAAACTACACTAAAAAGGTGCAATCTAGCAAAAGAAAATTTGCATAATAATCTTATAGGTAACAAATAATAAGTACAAAAAAATAAAAAAATCCTTGTGTTTACTGTACGTTTAGAGCGGAACCATCACAATTTATTTTGTATTCATACAAAGAAAAAAAGCGTCTCTTGACATTTTGCAGCTTTTGTTTATTCGTTATATAAAACAAAAGCAAAAGCTTATGCTTGCTGCTTGCATCATCAGATCATCTCGTAACCACGCCGCACACACTCGGACACATACGACAAGACACTTAAACATTATCATGTCTTATCACTACTTAGACAAAATATTACACAAGATTATACATTCAACTTAAGCTCTCTCACCTTCACATGACTAACAAGTGGCTGATCTCTTTGACCTCCCTGTTCCACCTCTTGCAGCGGTAGCATCCTCCGCACGTGCACACCCAAAACTTCCCTCTTCTCTTACTCTTCCCCACTCGTGCAACGACACGTGTAATCTTTTCCCGGCGAGCAAAAACTCCGCCGCTTGAACCGGTGTAATAACCTCCACGATCTTCCTAAGCGTCTCAAACCTCAGAGTATCAGCTTCCCCCATTAAAGCCGCCATGCCCTCCTCGTGTTTATCTAAAGCATCCTTCACCACCACGTTACCGTCCACCAAATCCATGGCGTAAGCCGCGATGGCGATAGGCATGTCCGCAACGTTCTCTTGCAAGCTCGCCGATTTCTTTGTTACTTTGTCTTCTTTCTCTATGACCTTCATATGCAGCTCATTGATCTTTGCAAGCTGTGTCGCGGTAAGATCACTCATGAAAACACCATGGTTTACTTTGACGTTTTCGTCGATGTCGAGAAGATACTGAGAAAGCTGCGTCTCGGCTTGGGATCCACATAGAGCGTAGATAACTCTAACGAAAGACGAAGGACGACACCCTCCCATCCATAGCAAACCGTTCTCTAGAGCAGAGTTCCAAGACGGTGTAAGGTAGCTTGAGCAGCTTCGGTTAGAGAGCTCCGATCGTTTCTCGGCGTACTTTTTGAAGTCATTGAGGATTTTACCAACGAGTTCTCCGAGTTTGTGATCGTCGCTTGATCCATGATGGTTTAGGAGTGCTTCTTTGAGATCAAGGATGTGTTTAGCTTGTAAACTCATCCACTCATAGTAACATCCTTTTCGACGTTGTTCAATCCCATAACTCGAAGAACCAGTCGCCATCTCTCTTCGTTGGTTAGTTCGTGAGTATATACTTTAGAGTTACCTTTTATATATAGCCTTATAGATACATTGGATTGGTGTGCAAGTATATATTCTTTACATGTGCTCTAAGATATTTTTTTTATTTGTTGTCATATACTTATTAACAACATGCATATACGACGGTACGTGGAATCAAGATACGATGGGCTTTTATGAGAATTCGTGATTTTAAGTTTAAACCTATCTTAAAATTGGAAAGTTTCTCTCTTGGTTTGTGGATCTTTGCTTTTAGATGGATACGACAAGAGGGAACTGATGAATGAATATACGAGTTGCTGACAAAATTATTTTGGACTATTTCACATAATTAAATAAATAAAATATATACTTTTATCAAACAAAAGAGTGTTATTCCATCTTAGATATTTTCAAATGATAATTGCCGTATAGATAATAGATGAGGAAACAAATCATAGATTTAGATATATGCAACTAAAATGAAATCACAATCATATGTTTATGTAATAAATGATTTTAAGTTGTGTATTCAGTATGGTTGTTACTTGATGATCTTATATACGTAAATCATGTTTAAGATATTTCAAAATTCGGTGTTATTCAATTTAAATTTCAAACACTTAATTAGCATCCAGTATTATGTAAAATTAAATATATTGTTATATATTAATGAGTTTTTGAAATTAATTGCAACAGGAGTTTATGAGTAAATTACTATAAATAAATCAAGTATACACTGTAAAGAATATAGAATCCACAAACATAATTTCGTAGAACTGTAGACATACATTACAAAACATCTTCAGTGGTGAGAGTTATGTAAAACAATGGGTAGCAATGGGAAACTATGGAAGGACAGAAAACAAAAATAGCTTAAACTAAGGAAAACCCAAAGATTGACAAATGTTTGATAAAATATTACTTTAAGTAAAGCTCATGTTACTTAAGATGAGATTCCAAGTGTTAGTTAAAAGTGATATATGCTTCATATATATAAATATTTAATCTAAATTCACTACTAGGTAGACCAACAATATTCCTATTAAACACGATATATATACCCATGTTATGTGGGCTTTGGTACTACATGTTAAAAACCATAGACTTCTAGTTCAAAATAAACAAACTGGCATCTAGATGTGTTATATTATGTAACATTTTTTTAATAAAATGAAGCTTTTACTGGTTTAAATCAGTGAGCAGAACTCTTTTTTAGCACTAAAAGTAGCATCGACACTCGCAGTTTCTCAAGTGGTAAACATAACAGTAACACTATAGTTTTAATATTTTCTCATAAGCAAGTTATTACACAGTGGTCTGTGGGACATGTCGTTATAAAGACTATTCCGACATAAGAACAGTTCACTGTTGAACTTTTTATTTATGGTTGGTACTTGGGACACCCCCCCCCCCCCCCCCTCCAAATATCAAAAATGAATGCAAACGTGACTTACGAGTTTCAACCTAATCCCATTTACTAACCTAGTTGTAGTTAGTTTACAGTTAACAGTTTAACACAGTAAGAAATACATCATTAATTACTCCTCTATAATACAAAGCCCAACATCATTCCATTTTATGGGCTTTAACAACAACTCATGATAATCCATCATATGATGCAAAAACAACAAATTTAAACTAACCTAGTGCCTAGAGCAATGTATAAAATTGTCTTTAATCCAAGCTTTTTTAAAAAAGTGTTGACCAAAGTCTCTTAAACAATTGTTTTCGTAGTATAACTTTGTAACGTATATAATCAGTCAATCATGTCGATTATATTTCAAAAAAGTTAACCATATAAAAAGGAAGCCCATCTCATTTATTAATCTGTGTTAGGTAATTCTTGGACACACACACACATCACAATTATTTAAAAAAGTGTAAAATAGTGTGCAGTAAAGGAGTAGGGCTGAGCTGTTCTCTCTCACACGTATAATTCCCTCTCTTCTTCTTCTTCTTCTTCCTCACTCACTTCAGAGTTGTGAAAACATTTCCTCACTTAACGTTTCCTATTTTACCCTTCTTCTTCCTCTTCAAAATCTCTCCCCACTAATATGTCTTCTTCTCTGTGAATCCCAAATGCAGATAATGATGAAGACGACGACGTCTCAGATCTTTCTTCTTCTCTTCACCTTCTTCTTCTTCTTCTCACATTCACTTCCCCTCACTTCCAACAACAACGATCTCTCCGACAACGAAGTCCGTTTAATCGCACAACGTCAGCTCCTCTACTACCGCGACGAGTTCGGCGACCGCGGCGAGAATGTCGTCGTCGATCCATCTCTTGTCTTCGAGAATCCACGTCTCCGTAACGCTTACGTTGCTCTCCAAGCTTGGAAACAAGCTATTCTCTCTGATCCCAACAATTTCACTACAAACTGGATCGGTTCTGACGTTTGCAGTTACACCGGAGTTTTCTGCGCTCCGGCTTTGGATAACCGCCGGATCCGTACCGTCGCCGGGATAGATCTCAACCACGCTGACATTGCTGGCTATTTGCCTCAAGAGCTCGGTTTGTTAACGGATCTCGCTTTGTTTCATGTTAATTCGAACCGGTTTTGTGGTACTGTACCGCATCGGTTTAATCGGCTTAAGCTTTTATTCGAGCTTGATCTCAGCAATAACCGGTTCGCCGGTGTATTCCCAACCGTCATCCTCCACTTACCGTCGTTGAAGTTTCTGGATCTGAGGTTTAACGAGTTCGAAGGACCTGTGCCGAGAGAGCTCTTCAGCAAAGATCTAGATGCCATTTTTATCAACCATAACCGGTTCCGGTTTGAGTTACCGGATAATTTGGGAGATTCTCCGGTTTCCGTCATCGTCGTCGCGAATAATCATTTCCACGGTTGTATCCCGACGAGTTTGGGTGATATGAGGAACCTTGAAGAGATCATCTTCATGAACAATGGGTTTAATTCTTGTTTACCGTCTCAGATCGGGCGGTTGAAGAATGTAACGGTATTTGATTTCAGTTTTAACGAACTCGTTGGGCCGTTACCGGCGAGTGTTGGCGGGATGGTTTCGTTGGAGCAGTTAAATGTGGCGCATAATAGATTCTCCGGTAAGATTCCGGCGAGTATTTGTCAGTTGCCGAGGCTGGAGAACTTCACGTTCAGTAACAATTTCTTTACCGGAGAGCCGCCGGTATGTCTGGCGTTGCCTGGCTTTGATGATCGGCGTAATTGTTTGCCGGCAAGACCTGCGCAGAGATCTCCGGGACAATGTGCGGCTTTCTCATCTCTTCCGCCGGTTGATTGTGGATCGTTTGGGTGTGGTCGTTCTTCTCGGCCTCCGGTTGTTACCCCGTCACCGCCAACAACACCGTCACCTGGTTCTCCTCCGTCAACGCCTGGTTCCCCTCCGTCAACCCCTGGTTCTCCGCCGTCAGTTCCTGGTTCTCCTCCGTCAACTCCTGGTTCCCCTCCATCAACCCCTGGTTCTCCGCCGTCAGTTCCTGGTTCTCCTCCGTCAACGCCTGGTTCCCCTCCATCAACCCCTGGTTCTCCGCCGTCAGTTCCGATATCTCCTGTTTCTCCTAGTCCCCCCAGCATTGTCCCGTATCCGCCGTCAACTCCACCAACTCCCATATCACCTGGTCAACATGCACCACCTGTTTACCCAAGTCCACCATTCCAAGTCCCGTCTCCGCCGCCAAATCCGCCGTCATATCCTGGTCCTCCTTCACCGCCTATGATTCCTAGTCCTCCGATCATTGTCCCGCCGACAACTCCTCCCTCACCAACTTCTCCTTTGCCTCCGTCTTACTCTACTCCGCCACCTCCCCCGTCAACAGGATACTCTCCTCCATCACCACCAACATACTCACCTTCTCCGCCAACGCATTCTCCGTTTCCATCACCGCCACCTCCTCCGCTGCCAACAACCTATCCACCGCATCCAACTCCATCAAAACCACCTCACTTACCTTCACCGCTGCCACCACCTCCCTACTACTACAGCTCACCACCACCACCGCCGCCGCAATACTCATTACCGCCACCACCGCACTCACCACCACCAACTTATCACTACTCACCCCCACCATCATCTCCACCGTGCATAGAATACTCACCGCCTCCGCCCCCAGCTATCCATTACAATCCTCCGCCACCACCACCAACAGAGCACTACAGTCCTCCGCCATCACCACCGGTTTACTACTACTTTTCACCTCCGCCACCACCGCCTAGAGTCCACTATAGTCCCCCGCCTCCACCGGTAATTCACCACAGCCCACCACCGCCTTCTCCGGCATACGAGGGATCACTACCGCCGATTCCCGGAATATCATACGCTTCACCACCACCGCCTCCCTTCTATTGAGTCCCTTTTTTCAAAAACAAATCTCAAGACGGGTCCCACCAGACCACTCACTTATGCTAAAACCCGAAGCCGAAAAACGATGTCGTCTCATAGATTGGTGGAAACATCAGATACACGGCGTCGTTTTACCATTTCTTGCAGGGAGAGAGATAGAGAAAGGAACGTACGTACGCGTGGTGGTGGCGGTGGTGGTGGGGATAATATTCTTCGAAATACTTTAATTTCGGGGGGTGAAAAAACCAGTCATGTTTGCAGGGAAAAAAATATATATGAGTGTATGTAATTAGAGGACAAAAATTATATTAAGAAATGGATGAGAGCAACCTCATCTTTATGCTCCTTATTATTATTATTAGTGTTCTTAATTAAATTTAATAATTATCATTGTTGCTTCATTTTTTCATGTTTAGTTTTTCCTATATATAAACTTATCTTTCTTTTTTTTTCTTCAATAAAACATAGGAGACCTATCCATTACCTCAAATGTAGGCCTTGAATGGAAAGCAATAAAAAGCAGATAAAAAGCAGTTTTCCTGCCAAACAGATCTACTGTCCTGTATATTTAGCATTCAACATAAAATACATAAAGTGCAGTTTAGAAGAAAATAAAATTATTAAAAAATAATTGTCCTGCTAGCAGATCAAAGTTTAAAAGGAAAATTGTACTGCACTATGAACAGTAAAACCGTTGGAGATTTGAAGTGTTTGATCTGGTAGTTTGTTTGATCTGCTTTTATTTTGTTAGATATTTTTGAATCGCTTGATCTGCTTTACCCGAAAGGCTCTCTCCATTCGAAACAGTAATTTTGACATCATGAAATAATATAGATTATTATGATACATGCATGAAACAAGTGTGTGAATCCGGTATAAAAGTTTTATTTCTGAAAAAGTTATAATAATAATTGAATATGGATTCGGTCCAGCACGAAACGCAGAGTATTAGATGAAGCAAGTAGGGACAATGGCACATGTGCCCAGCACCACCCACCTGACTGACTACTTTGCATGCTCTGTTCCATAGTATTTAATTTGCACCACCATCGGATCCTTGACTGCCGCTTTTAATTATTACTATATTTCTAAAAAAAATTATACTATCTGTATTATTGTTAGTACAGAGTAACTCTTTAATGTTTCTACTTCTGAATAATTGATTATGAGATTAGATTATAATACTAGTACTTTTTTTCTTTCTAATATAATAAAAATTGCCTCGAATACTTTACTATATTATTCCTAGCTTATGTTTATTTATTACAAACTCAATATTTATTCAATCTTCTTGGAGAAAGTGAGAACTAGTTTTTTGGCTGCCGACAAAAGTCACAATAGTGAAACATTTGAGAATCTCTCCAAACGTGAAGTCAATATAGTGCGTAAGGATATTTTAGAATTAACACACATTGTATAATCGAAATCAAGTGGTGAAAAATCAGCAAAATGTCGTTACCCTAATCGCACGTATTAAGTTGATTTTTTGAGAAACTTAATTAAAAATGGTGTTCATATTTTTACTACTTTTAAAAGATATTTACCAAAACGGGCAAAAAGGAGAATGGGCGTCGTCGAATTATATATAGTAGCCTAGTAAGGTATGGGTTGCCGTCACCAATACTTTTTTTATTTCTCATTTCTTCCCAATCTATGTTATTATGTCACTTTTACTTTTCTTTTTTTTTGTCGCCACCGTACGCAGTCGTCCTTATACGGCGTATATCACACTTGGAATGTGATATCTCGACAAGTCTGAAAACGCATATTACTTTCTCTATATAACTCTCTCAATACAAGACAAGAGAGATCAAACTTTCACTAGAAAATATCTAACAATAATACAACACAAGTATACATCATAATATCTAAACATGACTTTCACTAGAAAATCTACGAATTAAAAGCATTTCACTAACTACGAAACAAAACTAGATTTCCAAACGATCAAAAAATTTACTATATAATATAATTAACTATTAACTTATATTATATTACTTGGTATTATTATATTACCTAAACTTAAGTTTATTCATAAAACTAAAACTCTGATCAACAACGACGACTACTCTCCGGCAACTTCTCCACCAGAATCACCACCACCACCCCAAGCTTCATGCCGGCGACGTTCTCTACATCTTCCCCACTCATGCATAGCCAAATGAAGTTTTTTCCCGGCCAGAAGAAAATCCGCCGCCTGAACCGCCGTCAAAATCTCAACCATATTAGTCAACGTGGTCAACCTCAGCTTGTCCGCTTCAGCCAATAAACCAGCCATATCCTCTTCATGCTTATCGAGCGCACGCTCCACCACCACGTCAGTTTCTCCGATCTCCTCTTTGTAAAACGCCGTGATGCCTATAGGCATGTCCACCGTGTCCTCTTGTAAGCTCGCCGATTGCTTACTCAGCTTGTTCTCTGCCTTGACCGTTTTGAGATGAAGCTCGTTGATCTTGAATAATTGCTCAGCCGTTAGATCACTCATCGATTCTCCTCCTCCCATTTCGCCGTGTGTCTCACCAAGAGCCATGCTTAGACCTACGGAAGACCAATATAAAATATTTAAACAACAAATTTTCATGTTTTTATTATAAAAAAAACAAACAAATTTTGAGTGTTATATTTATTAGTACAAATTATGAAAATTAATCTTATATTCCTTACAAATTTTCTCTGAAGAAGTTAAAAATACTATCTGTTCCCAAAATAAGTGCACTTAATTAACCACTAAATTAAGAGAACTTTAACATTCTTGCATGGAACACTAAGATTTACATAAAACTAAGGACAACATTCTTGCATGGAACCCTAAGATTTATATATAACTAAGGACTATGTACTGAGCTAAATTAATTAAGGTCTTACTCTCGATGTTGTTGTTACGGAAGAAATTGGTGAAACGGTGCTCAGTTTGAGACCCACACATGGCGTAAACGAGTCGTATAAATGAAGAAGGACGACAACCACCAATCCAAAGAAGTGCGTTTTCAAGACAAGTGTTCCATGTCGGAGCGAAATAGTTTGAGCTGTATCGACGGGAGTGTTTCGACCGTTTTCTTGCGTAATCTTCAAAGTCACTGATCACCGCCCGTATCAAATCTCGAAGCTTGGCGTTATCTCTTTCACCGTTGGATAAAGCTTGTCTAAGCTCCGTCATTCGTCTGGCTTGTAAACTCATCCACTCATCATAGCAATCTTGTTGATCTTTCTCTATGTTTGAGCTCGGATTCTCCATTTTTTTTCTCTGTCTTTCTTGAGGTTTTGTATTTTCTGTATTTTGGTTTCGTGCGGTTTATATAGTTTTAGATTATGCACCAGTACGAAACTTGCAATATTTTATATCAATACTTGTATATATATATATGTATTTATGAATGTATCTTTTAACATTTTGTGATTACATGTATCCATCCTTAGGAAGTTATAAGAAAATGCGTGTTCTGACGATATAAAAGCCAAAAATACAAGAAACCATGCATATGCATGGATGGGTTATGTGGGAAACCACGGCCACTTATAGGAATTTTTTGTTCTTTTGGCATGATCATGAAGTACTTTTTTAAAAAACCAAGTAGATACATTTACTACTATTTTTTGTCGTTTTTATAAAATATCAGATTATTTTCAGTATTTTAAAATTAAATTAAAGTATTTAAATTCAGGATATGACAAAAGTGATATGAATTTCAGGATCCACTCCACTGCAAGTGGTCATCGTTGTAGGCGGATAAGAGTAAACCTCTTCGACTAAGTTACGGAAGTTTATTATTCCACTTGATGAAATCTAAATAACGACAACGCGTAACACAAAAAAAAAAAAAAAAAAAAAAAAAGGTAGATACATTCATACATAAGCAAAAGATGACAAACGTAAAAAAAAACTACTGTGTAAAGACCAGCTATATCAATTGTAGAAATAATAATACATGTAGTTAAGACAAAGGTTTTAGATGGAAGAGTAGATAATGGACGCAAAAAAAAAAGAACTGACTATAATGAAGATGGTTTATGACCATCTGCAACAAACCATAGAATCACGTACGGGTAAATATATTAAGAAAAACTTAACTATAACAAATATATATTTCTATATATTTCAGCATATAAATCTAAGTTTTCCAACATAATAACACTCTTCTTTTCACTATTTAACGTTTTAACCCCTCTTAATAGGCAAGCTAATACAATATTGAGAAAAATTAATAAAAGGGTCATCGTAGTTAATTTAGACTTACGGTGGTACGTACAGAGCATCTCCATCCACTGTGTCCCTCTTTGTCTTTGTTATTTAGTTCTCACACCTGTGCCTCTGCACTCACCGAGTCATGTGCTCTCCACATTTATTTGTTTGGAATCTCTTTCTTCTTTTTGTTTGTTTGTTTATTTTTCTTAATTTATATATAGTCATGTTTGTTTCTTATTGCCATTTTTAAAAAAAAAACCTGCAAAAAAATAATTACCAATATTCACATTTTTTCATACATTAAACTAAATATATTTTGAAATCTAAACGATAAGAAAAATAAAAATAAAAGAAGTTATATTATTTGGTTTCAATTAATAGAGGATCATTTAATCATTCTTGAAAAAGTTTTGCAAAATATTTAGTAGTATAATAAAGAAAACAAGAGTGTTATTTCAAGGGTAAAATATTGGTAGGGTGAAGTTGTTTCTATTTAACCAATATTTTTTTTATTATTTTTTTATTTTTCAAAAAAAAAATATTGGTAGGGTGAAGTTGTTTCTATTTATAGTTTAAGAGTGAATCTAAACGACGTACGTAGTACTTGTGAAAGCTTCTCCGTTTATGAGCTTTCGTGTAGGCTCGTTGACACGTGCCGTACGTCTCTCGTTTTCAGGTTATTAGCTAAAAACAAACCTGTAACGCTGGACATGATCTACTCTATATCAAAGATCAATGCTCGGAATTTGATATAATCTTTATACTTCTTCTTACACCTCGTGAAAACACATGGATGGTGATGAAGTTTGTGCTTTAGGTACCGTAAATAGATGCGGGTTCAAAAATTAGAAATCAGTTTTTTTTTTTTTTTTTGCTGTCTCAAAGTAACTGCACCAATAAAAATATGCATACGACTACATAAGGTCAGTGCCAAAAATGAGAATTTGATAAGACGCCAATGCACTGACCTGATCACATTTTCAATTGACTTATCCATTACACAACCCATCAAAGGCCAGGCCTATTAGAAAGAAATTAAGAAGCCCACTTAAAATATTGGTTCTTGTCTCAAGATTCTTGGCTGTTTGATTGTTTAAATCCAATCCAATATAGTAGAACTGCATGTTCATTACTTAATTTAGGCTGTTTATTTTGTACTAGATAAAACCATCCCCACAAAAATAAGTTTCAAGATTATAGAAACAATCCATTAACTTTTACCCTACAAATAAACCCTTTATCAGTAATTAAACTTTCTTCAGACAAGATTTGAAATAACTCTGCAAAGACAAAAGGAAAAAAAGCTTCAAAATATAACAAAAAGTGTTTATAGTTTCCTTGTAGACTTTATTACATGTACATATTCCATAAAGATGAGCAGAACTATATTGACATATGGACGTGTTACATATACACACTAGCTAGCTAGTAGAGGTTGACTGGCAACTTACGTGGGAGATATGTTCCACGTTGACGCTAATGATGGCTAGAAGAGTGACACATGGATCCACGTGAGCCATCTGCTCTCTCTGTGACCTGCCGTTTCAGGTCTCTCAGAGGTCAAAACCCGTTAGCATATTTTTCGATTCTTCTTCACATTGAAGAAAGATCTTTACTATAGTATTATATTTTCTTTTTCTTATCGGTTTTATCAACACATCAATTTCTGTAGCTGTTGATTAATATGCATGAATGTTCTAATAGTTTATCACTGGTATGTTAAAGTACTGTTAGAGGAATTAAATTTCATCATATAAAATGAATCAAATTGTATATAATTTATAGTAAAAGATTACTAATTTAGTAATTTTGTAAAGCGTCACAAATTTGCAGTCGGCGAGTGATGCGCGTAAGCCATGCAACTATTGTAATCTCCCTTCTCTTCCATCTGTTACGTCTTCTCTTTCAAGGTTTTTATTTTTCTTTCATAAAATAATAACTTTTATAGATTAAACAAAACTATAATTGCTTGACAAATATATATTCGATCATTTTATTTCTTTAGCTAATAATGACTATATTTGTTTAATCTCAATCTATATATTATTTGCTTCATTCTCTATACTTTGTGATTCCGTACGTAGTATTGGTAATATAAAACCATGACGACGACGTAATATAGTTAGATAAAAAAAATATGAGTACTAATGCATGCACCTGCGGGCTGCGCAATACATATATGCACTACTAAGTGTATATATAGATAGACGTAGGTATAAATATCTCCCAACACGCAAAGTTTCTCAAAGAACATAACGACGACTAAAGAGAGCTAAATGAGAAACCGAGTAGAAGAAAAGTTCCTAGAGTTCTACGATAATTGGGTTATTCAACTTGAGCAATATCTTCACCAACTCTTGAATGCTCGTAACAACAACACTATGACTGAGATCGAGCTTCGAGCTTTGATCTCGAAGCTAACCACACATCACAAAGCATATTACATAGCTAAATGGGCAGCCATAGGAGAAGACGTCTTAGCTTTCTTTGGACCGGTTTGGCTAAACCCGTTAGAGAAAGCTTGCTTTTGGTTAACCGGATGGAAACCTTCGACGGCGTTTCGGATGCTAGAGAGACTGAGGAAGTCTTGGAGTCCGACGGTGGTGCTTTTGGAGGCTCAGGTGACCAAGTTGGAGGAGCTGAGATTTAAGACTAAGTTCGAGGAGCAAAAAATTGAGAGAGAAATGGAACGGTATCAGGTGGGTCCATGATTATATCCGTACGAATCTTTATAAATTTATCAAACCTATATGATATACCATTGAATAATTATGAATATGGAATCCATTTTCAGAGATTATTCTATCTCTTGGAAAATGTATATCTTATATATAAAAAAACATTTCTATATATTGCAATTTGTTTGTTTGAAAAGAGTTTATCAAAGTTCAAATATGTGTATAGTTTTAGTTAACAATTTAATGATTAATGAAAACTTTTATATTTACGAACCTTGTAAATCATTTTTTTTTGTGTGTTGGATAACAACTAGTAGTTAAATAATTTGAGATTGGTCTTTTAATTAGGTTAGTATGGGTGATCGGAAGATGGTTGAGATAGCGAGGCTTGGATGTCACGTAGGAGGAGAATCTGTGGTGGTGGTCGAGGCAGCAGTGAAGGGATTGGCGACGGGGCTCGAGAAGATGGTGAAGGCGGCGGATTGTGTGCGGCTGAAAACGCTTAAAGGTATTTTAGACATTTTAGCTCCACCGCAGTGCGTTGAGTTTCTGGCAGCGGCGGCTGCATTTCAGGTTCAGTTACGTCGGTGGGGAAACCAAAGACATCATGTCACTCACTCCTATGGTTACTGACACATACTTCAGGATCGTGTTTCGTCTTTTGTGTCATGTGTTCTTTTTTTCGTATTTACGAAAAACATCAGTGAGAAAAAGTTAACTTCCATCAACAATAGAATGTAACTTCTTGGTATGAAATATATAAAATGTGAAGTTGCTAAGTTTTATATATATATATCAAGGGCTAGAAAATATAAGCGAACCCTAATAAATAAAAATCATAATTACACACATTTTTGCATCACAAAATAATACGTCCAATACGTGATATATACTAGTGTACTATGCATTATACAAACACATATCGAAACTCGTATATATCAAATCCATCGAGAAGGAAACACTAATCAAAACAAACTGAACGTTGAAAAAATCAAGAAACCAAAAGCTCATATAAGAAAAAGAAGAGAAAAAAATGATACAACGTTAAGAGAGAGAGAGCATTGATAATGAATTAGGAGAAACCTCTGATTGGTCAAGTTACGTTGCTTCAGAAGACAAGATCTCGAGCTCTGCCCACCAAAGGGGAGATGACCTAGGAGTAGCTTTCTCAGGAGTTATGTTGATGACTTGCTTTAGTTGTTCCGCTACATTTTTCATTGAAGGCCGATGTCTCTGCTCTGTTTTTAGACATTCTCGTATCACATCGCATACCACTTCAAGCTCTTCTTCTTTGAATGTCTTTAACGATGGATCTATCATTCCTCCTAAGTCGTCGTTTTCAAGGTACTTTGATGCCTGAAACATGGACCGAACCGTTAGCATATGGATAAAGTTCTCTGTTTTGTTTGTTTCAGTTAGGGTGGGGGTTGTTAATAATGCATATGTATATATATACCCATTGCTCGATAGATCCGTATTCGTCTGAGAAAGAGAGCTTTCCGGAGATTATTTCGAGCATTAAGACTCCGAAGCTATAGACATTAGCCTCTGGCTCTGGAGGTAGTAGCAATGACGTTTGCTCCAAGTCACCACCCACTTGTTTCTTCGGATTTAATCTTGCCTCTAAGTTGAAAGGAATCTCCGAGACCTACCATCAACCAAATCATTTTAGCATCTTAAAGACAACATATACAAAAAAAATTAGAGGTTGCTCAAAACATATTCAGAGGTTCTTGAGCAAATAGAGCTTAATAACAACATTTTCAAGAACAGTTTTATAGAGCAAACCTTGGCTGCGTAGTCATCGGTTAGATAGATTTCGGATGAGTTGAAGTCTGAATGTGCCATGGGAGGGTTCATCTCGTGCATATGTTGCAGACAATAAGCCGTCCCCATTATTATTCTCATCCGTGCGCTCCAATCAAGATGCTCCAGCTCCTTATCTGATATGCGAAAAACCGTTATTAACCGAGAAAGTGAAGCCAATAGAACATCATGAGACCAAGACTTACCGTGCAAATGTTCGAAAAGGGTTCCATTTGGAGCATATTCAAAGACCATCATCCTATTAAAAGGTTCATCTTCTTCACAATATCCAATCAGATTCACAAAGTTCTTATGGTTGATCCGCGACAGTGCATCAATCTACAAAAGAACATACATAAACTCCAAGTCAAAAGAATGTTTTTAATGGTAAGAGTAAGACCTTCAAGTTTTAAAAAGGAGTATTAACCTTTCTACGGTATGCCATTTCCATGGCTCTTGTCCATTCTTTAGTCTCGGGGATTGCGGTTGAAGCCACCGCTATCTCAACACCACTCGACAAGGTTCCTTTATACACAGTGTAACCGTCGAATGTCTCTATAATGTTGCTGAAGTCTTCACACGCTGTTTCTAGCTCAGACCGATTGAGCTTTGGTACCCCTAGAAGTTTTGTTCATGTTCTCAGTTTCAATGTTAATGTTCCTAAAAGAAACAGAGGAAAAAAATGGAAACACAAGAGAAGAAGATTTTACCGGTAACAAAAGCTTTCTGCAATTGTCCACTAAGACCAGTTTTCCAAGGACCTATGCTCTTTACAGCTCTCTTCCGGCAGAATAATATACCCGCTAGTATAATCAGTAAACCGACGAAAGAAGCAACCGCAATAATCACATAGAGCCACACATGTTTAGATCTTTTTGTCTGTTTGTTATCTTGTGGCTGATTCTTAGAGGAATCAGGACTGGAGTCTTTATCAGGAGTAGGCAATGGAAGGACTAAAGGCGGTTTTCTCTTCTTTGCATTGGTTACTGCAGGGAAAGACCCGCTGCTCCGAGGGGAAGCTTCAGTTATAATCCCGGGAGAAGGACTAGGAGCGGAAGGAGCAGGCTCAGCCGCCAAATTACTTGTCTCCTCGAGTAACTCACGTCGTTTGAAGATATTAGTTTCCTCCATAAAACCTGCAAGAATCAAATTGAGATCTTCTAGTACTAATCTTTTTAGTTTCTACGATAAAAATGCTGATATGTTTTTGGCTTACTCGGGATTGCTTTCAAGAAACGTCTAGAAGTTGCTTTGATCCGGAATACAAGAGCTTCTACCTTTTTCACTCGAACGTAACTGTTTCTTGAAACACTGCCAAGGGAGATGAACTGTGAAGAAGAATAACCAAAAGATACTCTTGTTTTAAGATGAATATATCAATCAGACAGAGCTTACCAATGTCCAAGTCTTCTATTTGCACAGCCGAGAACAGCCAAAGGAGATAACTTTGGACTCTTGTTTACACGGACTTCATACGACGATTGGAGTCTCAGGATCTTTATTCTCACATCAGCCGAAAATTTGTTACCAGAAAGCAACCTGTATTAGTTCAACAAGGTCATAGCAAGAAAAAGTAAGGTTATACTCTTTTCAATACATTTTTGTTAAGCACTAAACAATAGATATGTTAACTCACAAGTGTTTTAGCGATAAGTCATTGCTTAGCTCAGGTGGAATCTGTCCGCTCAAATCGTTATCTCTCAAATCCAAGACTTCCAAATTTTCGAAACTCCCATACTCCTTAGGAATTCCACCGGAGAAATGATTCCTAGAGAGTATTCTGTATGATCAAGAACACGGTTTAGTCCCGCGAAACCAAGCAAACATCGAAAAAGAAAACTCAGAGATCCTTACAGAGATCTTAAGTTACTCAATTGGCTAAGCTCAGGAGCTAACGTTCCTTCCAAAGAACATCCGCTAAGATCCCTATAAATAAAAAACACAACAGGTATCAGAACATAGAGACAACTAATGACCCCATCTGCATAGTCTTAGTCTTAAAAAACAGAGGAACTTACAGAATCTGCACTTTACCGTCAACGCAAGTAACCCCGGACCATAAGCAGAGATCATTACCAGAAATATTCCAATTTGCAAGAGTTCCATGAGGATCCGAGTCCACTCTTTCCCGGAATTTCAACAATGCGGATCCTATAAATTCATCAGCACAAACTAAGAACCAAAACCATTAAAACAAGAAGAAGAAGAAGATAAGATGATAGAAGTATAACCTTGGGAATTGAGGGACAAGGAGAGAGGAGCTTGAAGGCTAATGATCAAGAAGAGGAAGCAAGGGAAATGGTATCCACAACCCCCCATTATAAGGTGTTTTTTTTTTTTACAACAAAACACTATACTAAAGACTTTTGTCCTAAATTACAAATCAAAATCCAAAAAAACCCATTTTCCCAGAAACAAACTTTTCTTACAACCAAACCAAAAAAAAAAGAAGGAAATATTGTCTATATATTACAATGTACAAGAGGCAGAAGATTCTCGTATATCAGGGTCCTTCAACATTTTTCTTCTTAGGTTTGATTTCACAAAACCCTTTTCATCACTGTGTTTATAATCTCTGGGATCTAGTAGCTTGTTGTGATTCTTCTTGATACCTGAAGAAAAATGCAATAAAACAATCATTACCTTTTGGATACCTTTTGGAAGAAGCAATGTATATATCCCAAAAAAAAAAACAGAGAATCATATTTTCCCTTCTCATTAAAAGAAGAAATTTGCAAATTACGTAAAGGAATCAAACAAATGATTGGAAACAAAATAAAAACTTACTGTAAAAAGGGGTTTCTTATAATGCGAACAATGTATTATTATTATGTTTCTGGCAAGCAAGATTATGTTGTTGTTGGTGTGGGAAGATTTGCAAATAAAAGAATATCCTCAGAAATCGATATAAAGAAGAAAAAAAAAATCGATTTCTTGTGAGTTTTGCAGGATGATGATGATGATCTCAGAGTTTTCTCTCTTCGACCATCTTTGGTCTCTCCAGGGCCAAAGGGTGGTGCCTTCTTCTCTCCTCCCTCTTCCCTTTTCTTCTTCCCCTTCTCTTCTCTCTCTCTCTTTGCGATAATTTGTTTTCTTTTTTAATTGTTTCGGAAAAAAAATTCCAATTTCACAACCCCTAATTCATTCCTTGTACTAATTTACTTTTGGATTTTTTTAAAAAACAAAATTAATTATCCTTACTGCACTAAGCCACATCACCTTGCTTCATACGTACATAATGCATTTTTTAATTTTAGCTAGTTTTTAAAAATCGACTTCAACAGGACTTATATGGGACGTGCCTGCCTCTTAATATGCCTTTACTAATAGGGCCTGTAATAAAATAGTGAATCTTTGTGATCGTTGGATATCGTTAATCGGACGGTTATGTAAAATGAGAATTTCCACACATAATAAGTGTTTTTATTTTTCAATTGATGTGCATGAACATCATCACTACACACACTACATGCCTCCCATTACTTGTTAATATATTCTCTTCCGTCATGATCAAAAATGTCAAAACTATTGCAACTGATATCAAGAATTTTAAAGTCAATCAAAAACTTATATTATATAGATATGCATTTTAGAGAAAGATAGCTCCTAGTGTTAATATGGTAATTCTGATTGTGTTTTTAAATAATATTTTGGCTGGAGTTTTATCAGCGTGAGCGCCGCCAGATGTTTCGTCGGTTTCTAATTGGATCTAACGGGGGAAAAAAAAGAAAAAAAAACAACTTGTAGAGACAAAATGTTAAAGTTATGGGATCGATACTATGGATCAGCATGGTTATGTGTAGTTATGTTGTGTAATTGTGCCGGTCTAAACAGGATAAGTCAGAACCAGTTCGGTAAGGAATCCATATTTCATCAAACATCAATAACATAATAATCTCTTCAACTACAAACCATGTGGTCGGAAAAACAAACGCCACAGTTATAACTTATAACTTATAACACACACAAACACACACTCACGAAAAGAATCGAAACACAAAGAATCAATCTCGGGTACAAATTTTGTGTTTGCCTACATGAAAAATAAGAGGCAAACCTTAAAACTATTTATTTGTACTGTCAAAAAATAAAAAAAGTAATTGTGTTTGGTTTTATGAGTTTTGCTGGCGAGATGGATGAACAATCAGCTCCTGCATATAATTTTTACACAAAGAAAAAGATAAATACATTTGGATTTTTGAAAGAACCAAAATGTTCAAAAGAGTATTAATTTAACTTAATACCTGAGAATAACGAGTGTGATCGTTGTGAACGTACGATGTTTTAACGATTGTTTCCCATTTCGTAGATTCAAGAACTTCTTGATCTGGTTTCTTGGTACCAACTTGACTTAAAACGACTCCGTATGGTCTAGGGTTCACGGGCGGGAGGAGGGTTCGTCGGAGCCAAGGCCGAGATGGAGTTTCCGGTAACGGCGGAGGAGAAATCGCCGGCGTGTAAACCGGGGATGTTTTGAGAAGATTCCCTGACCTGTTGTTGTTTCTTCTTCTGTTTACTTCCTCCACAAGAAACCTCGAGTCGGGGATTGTCGTCCGTTGGATCCTCGAAGGAGTTGAGATCGAGTTTCTAAACGTTTTGATTTCACCAGAGTTTGAATAATTAGGAAGAATCTCTCTTCTTGGATACAGTTCTTGAGACTTGCTCATTCCTCTGTTTAGCCTTCTTTTGAAGTCCTCTGGTTTGTCCGGAGTTCCGAGAAAACCGGAATTTGAACAAGATGTTCGGTATGGAGATATAAAACCGGAGAGACGCCTAGTTGACCAGTTTGGTAAACCGGTTTGTTCACCCGAATGTTTCATTGACTGGTTCGATGATACTGAACCCAGAGGAACCGGGTTTAGAAACTTGAATGAGTTCTTTGCACAAAGCCTTGGCAAGAATCCGCAAGCTTTCTTGGTAACATTAGGGTAGATCTTGGGAGCACCATAACCATAATCATCAGCATCATCATCGTCGTCATCTTCATCATCTCCATCTTCATCATCAGTGTTTAAATCATCATAAAGGCTCTGAACAATGGCGAAATGTTCATGTTCTGCGGCTAATTGACTTCTTTGGCGAGTTACAAGAGCTTCTCTGGTCTGAGTGATTTGCTTCTGCTCTGAAGAGTTGTATGAAGAAGATTGATGTTTCTGATGTTTCTGAAGAGCCATTGCTTTAGCAGCTGGTAAGAATCTAGACATCATGAGATCTAGACTTTCTCTAGATCTCTCATCATCACCGTCGGATTTCTCATCATTCTTCTCGATCTCGCTGACTCCACTTGTGCTGCAGTTAATAGAGAAGCTTTCATTTGAAGGAACCGTATCCAAATCTTCATCTTCATCTTCTTCTTCATCGGTTTCTAGTAAACCTGATTCTTGAATCAATGTAGCCATGTCATCTTTTGGTGTACCGGGGATTTGTTCCCACACAAAAGGAACTGAAGCTGATTCGGTCAGATGATCAAAGCTCTGGTCTGGTAATACAAAAACCGGCGTTTCTTGTTTTGTACTCATACATGATCGAAGCTCCGGTCTTGTGATCGTCGTCTTCGTGAACTCTAGTTCACCCGAATACGCTATGTTAGACGGAAGTCGCCTAATCGATGGTAATGGAGCATACAAATTCAACTTCTTCCCCTCCATTCTTGAAAAAAAAAAAAAAGAAGAATAAAAAGTAAAGAACTACAAGAAGAGGATCAAAGAAATATGGAAGCTGTTGAAATACCTCAACTTAGTTCAATCAAGAATCAGCTTCTGGTGTGTGTTTTGAGATTGTAGTTGTTCTTCTTATTAAAGTAAAAAAAAAAAGAACAGGAAAAAACAATAATAATAGAGATATAAAAATAAAATATAATGTAGTATATATTAGCGAATGTCTAGGAGCGAGATTGAAGGCTGGAGTTTAGGAAAATAGAAGATGAATCTAATAACAAGTGTGAGTGACTAAAGAAAATGTCAATAAAAGAGACTTTTGCTTTTGATCTTATGTTTTCATTTTGTATAATTGAGACTCATAACAAATCCCATCCCCCACAAAGATTTTGATTGAAATTTAATGATGAGAACAACTACTTTTGTTTTTGTTGTTGGAGAATATTCATGTGATGTGAATAAAAAACGACGTCGTTAGAGACATTAGAAGAATAGTACTACAAGTAGATCAGACACAAAGTTTGGCTCCATAGAGGTTGAATTAACGTGAATTAATCAATAGGCAAAAACGTGAGGAGAAGTAGTAGTTTGTGATTCAAGTTTCCAACTAGTCTTCAAAGTTCTAAAAGTAATGAAACAAGAAAAATAAAAAAAGTTGGGAAAAGACATGAATGTGAGGCCAAACAAAGCACTAGTGAAGTGGACCGACTTTGGTAAATGTAACACATGTTCTGTCCTGTCCTTTTCCGAGCCACACAAAGTCACAAACGTTTTCTTATGCTGCACTAATTTTTTCCCATTTACCCTCGAATGCACTAATTTGATACTATAATTAATTCGTTTTTCTAGACTTTTATAAGTCTTTTGAAGAAAAGTCGAGGCGATATTTGCACTAAATTTTTATTTTCCATTTACCCGAATGCACTAATTTGTTTTGTAGACTTTTTATATAAGCCTTTTGAAGAAAAGTCGCGGCATCGCCTCGACGGATGATGATAGTTATTGATTGATTGGCCTTGATTTTAGATTAATTAATTATTTAAAAGTTGCAAACGACATGAAAACCTTTTGATCAAAAAAATAAAAACAAAGTTGCACACAACATTCCCTCCAAAAAACCCAATTTAAGAGAAACATTGGTAAACGACTAACGGCGTTGGCGTTGACGTTGACGGTAAACACTCTTAAAAATTCTTGTAATAAGTAATAACACACAAATAAACATTTAACTGTTATAATTCTATTACAAATTCTGATACTAGTATTTATAAGTTTAATAATCCTTTGAAGAAAAGCAAAAAAACCAAACATTACTCGGTCACTTCTTTCCTATCTCTAATACTAAAAGCTTTGATTTTAAATCATCAGTGATGTACTAAAAAACCAAACTCCAAAAGTGTCTCAAATTATAGTCCTACTACTAAGTACTAACTATTACCGAACTGACCAGGCAAACATTTTATTCTAAATTTGTAGCAACCGATGAAAAATAGTGAAATACTTCCATTAGAGGACAAATCGATTTAAATTTCTGCATCTCTTTTCTACTTTGTTTTTTGTTCTTTTTTTTTTAGGAAAGCAAAAAAAAAAAAAAAAGTGAATTAAGTTTAGTTGACCAAAATCCCTTAAACTGCGGCAAAGGAAAGAGACAATGGAATAAGTATCCTTTCACGTGGCAACCACTCTTTTTTACACTGCCCGCCCCCACACCAATATATTCAAGCTTCGAACAGGCCCATTTCAATATGGCCCAAAAAAACTCTCTCCTTTGTCTCTTTTCACCAACTTTGTCACGATATTGTAAATGTGTTTCAACCTTTTACAATATCACATTAACTAAAGAAAACAACAAAGAGAAGACTAAAATGTAGCAGCAATGCATAACTTTTTTTTTACACTGGCGAACTGTCTGTAAGAAGAGACTATGAGTGAACCAGCGTGTGTTCTGGCTAAATAACAATACTTACCTAACACAATCAATCTTAGAACATATAGTACGAGAAAAGAGAGACATGCATGTATACAAGGAAAACCACATAAACAATTTATTTTAATGCTAACAAAATAATACTACTACACTAAAAATCCAACGACTTATAACTATAATAGTTGGTCGATTAGATAATATATAGCTTATCCCATCATCTTCTTTGTGAGCTTAGCAAGTGATGAAAGGTTATACCGAATGATGTTATCAACAAAAAATATAGTCTCTTCCACGCTATTTCCTTCTGGCACATCCACCACATAACTCTCCACCACCACCGTCTTCTCACCCACTACCGACGAAGACTCAGCCACCGTTATCTTCGATCTGTAATTAGCAAGCCTATGGTTACCGCCGATGATACTAACAACCATCACGTGAGATTCATCGTCAAGCTCATCGAGCCTCTCCGTGCTGAAATCCGCTGGAAGGCCGGAGACTAACGTCACGTCCCGGACGGAGCCTTGTCCTCCACTTTCTTTGCCGATGCAGGAGCGCATAGTGCAACTTTTGACGAAACGTTGGTAAGCCTGTGGTTTGTCGAACCGACGTAGTATTGACCACACTAGTGGCAATGGTGCTTCAATGGTTTCCACTACGCTAGAATGACATCGTTTTTGCTTAGAACTTTCCATCTTTTTTTTTCTTGGTTATATGATTTTGTCTTTTATCGACAAATGTTTCCGTGTCTAGCTAACTTTAGATTTTCCGTATGACTTGTTAAGTTCTAAAACGTATCCAACGAACTCACATATAAATATAAATGAATTATGCAAAACACCGACTACGATATTTTTATTATTTATTATTATTTTTATACGAATTCGTCATGTTATATGAAACTTTTGAGTTCGATTCGGGTTCTTCTTACTATATACTAACAAAAAAACATTTTACAATATAAACTACACGGTTTACACTGCAATATTTTGAACTTTTTTTTTATAATAAAATCATGTCGGTATATTTAGGAGTTTATTATACGATTGGTGTTAATTAACCCTTTACACTCAAATGCACGTACGCAACTGCTTTCAAAGACAAAGTTAAACATATATGCAACTGTGTTATGTAAATTTGTTTAAAAGTACTGTAATTCTTGTTTCATTAACTCATAAGAGTAGTATACAAATATCTTCTGATGCAACGACCCTCATTTAGACTTCACACCAAGGAAAGCATGGGTTAAACCCATGACTTATGTTGACTGGGCAACTAGGCCACGTTTCCATTTAAGATATAATGATATATATAGTTATATACCCACCTTTTCGACAATTCTTTTAAGTTTTAACAAACCCCTCTGTAAAGGTTTTTCTCTCGTTTTAATATTTGCCATTAAACAAAAATAAAATGGTATACATACAAATATCCTACGTACTAAACTGCGGAACGTGGTCATCATGATGATCATAAGTTATATTACTATTCATGGTTCAAAATATTATATGATGATACAGTATTATAGTCGAACGGTCTAATTTGGAAGTTTGCTGCAGCAATGTTTTGAGAGCTAAATATAGATTCAGAATTGTCTTTTCCCACGAGCTAAAATACAGATGTCATTTAAACCGAAAAGCATACAATTGAGTTTTTGTGAAACATACACTTGTTTACTTACAAACAAGACTATTTTAAATTTTTTAATCTCAATTGGTTGCCGACCTGAAAAAAAAAAACAAAGAATCTATCTTTTATTGTTTGGTTCCCTTCACAAACACATACCGTGGCTCTGTTGCCTACTAAAGAGAAGGCCCAATGTGGCCAATTAAGCCCAGACTTCGATGATTGCATTGTCCACAGGCCACAACATCCTTTTACAAACTTGAGTCAATTCCATGTTGTTTATTTTATAATCTACAGTACTTGTGAAAATTTATTACAATATTTACACAGTTGCTAACTTGAACAATTTCTAAAACATGAGTTATCATAATCCAGTAACACAAGATTTTCGCCTAGATGGCGGTAAACTATATTTGGATTTATGTATTAAAAATATATAATGATTGTTTTTTTTTCTTTTTTTTATATATATAATTCATATTCTTCTTCTCTTAGAAACCATGATTTTCATGACATTGTTTAGAAACCATCAGATGAGGCACATATTCTATATCATTCTCGAGAGAACATATAGAGACATGATCACGATTCAACGTCCAAATTTTCATATAAAGCGTCTTGGAGTGAATACATTTGTATCACTAGCTTTACCGATATATTTGTTTATGGTTTGGCTCGTGATCAAAAACATATTCGCAGTTTTGGTATCTCTCAAACTTTTTTTCTCTATATTACGTAAGCTAGCAAGATTAAAAAACCAGTAGGCAATTTTTCTTCACCTGACTTCGCATATGTCGGGTAGCAGAGGTTGCCTTCATGGAGCAAGTATCACTCTTAAATGGTATGATACGGTGAGCCACTTCTCCTCTCATACCTTTCCTATCCTAGAGAGTAGAGGCTACTTAAATTTACGTTTGATACGATTGTTTTTTCAAGCTCAAATTATATTATGTGTGGAGGGTCGTAAGTAGAAGGATACTTTTAGGGTCGCAAAGTTGGAGTATCCTTGTATGTATATTGAAGGCGACACAACAATATATCACCCTCCTAACCATATTATACCAGCATCATTGACAAATCATTTCACAACCGTATCAACTTTTTTTGTTACTAATTAAGAAGAAAAAAAGTTCGGCAGTAATGGAAGTTGCTGTGAATGGAGTTCACTACCTTGTGTTGATATAAAAAAAAAGGCCTGCAATCAATTTTTATCTATCCGATGGTCCAATATACATAAAAGGATACTTCAACTTTTCATGAATTAACGCTATTTTCCACTTCAACATTTCATGAATTAACACTAGTTTCCACTACCTTGCGTTTTGTAAGTAACCAATATCCAAAACCATGTATAACAGTTTACAAAGAAACATGGCACTATATATATGGAATCTTATAAAACTAGCTTATCCTTAAAATCATGACTCCATGGCTCCATGCCATTATTATTAAATATATACTGTGGTCTATGGATCCTATATATGGTTAATTATATTTATAGCTAGCTACAAAAACATATATACATTAACTAAAGTTCGTACACATAGCTACTCCGGGATCTAGGGTTTCTGAATACACTTTCTACTGACTCGATCGTTTTAACTTCTTAATACTGGGATTATGGAATATGGAGACTTATTATTAGGATCTTTATCTGTCTACTCCTAACAACTGATCAATATATATAGTGCTGGTTCGATCCTAAGTTCGATCGGTTTGGTACATGCATTGATCCTCATTTGGCAATGCTGGGTGTCTGGTTCAACTAGTTTTCTCTTCATTATTTATAGAATTGGGGTAGACCTTGTAATATAGGTATATAACTACAAATTGTATACGTATGCACACATACGTAAAAGCAATACTTAATTATATACATGTAATACAAGAAAACATTATTTACCTACTTGTGAATTCCAACATGTGTACCAGTGTATGTTGATACATCATGATGCATGCAACGTACATAGATGTTATGTCATTTACATTAACAGTTAGCACACACCCTAATAGCAAAATAAAACAAACAGAAAACAACATTTTAAAGATTATTATCCCTTAATCTTAGGTGATTTTGGGTACCAAATTAGTATATCAATAGGACTAACAAACATTTTAAAGTATTCTTCCTCTACACACACGCATTAGGGATAAATATTCATAGAAAATCAGGAAACTGTTGTGTAATCATCAATCACTATATTATTAATCCGATATTTTAAGTTTTGTGGTCTAGATATCCAGAGAGAAAATTTTCAATAATAAAAAAAGATCTTACGAAACTTTAAATTTAAAATATAAAAGAGAATTTAAATTGATTACCTATATTGGAAATTGTTTTAATATGATATAATTATCAAGTAGACGACTGATTAAGAACCGAAGAGTTTGCAACATCCTTCTTGATAGCAACGACGTCGTTTTTAATCTTTCTCCTCTTCTTCTTCCTGTATGGAATCCCACGAGCCTTGGCTTGAGATTCTCTCACTTCCCTCAGGTGAACCCGGATCGACCCGTTTGCAAACGGGTTAGTATCAGGTGACCCGCCACCGTGTTCCTCGTAAGCAGCTCTCAACCTTCCGATCAAAGCATCTAGGCTTCCCCAAGCTTGTTTGAGAGGACACGTACATGGTCCTGGTGGATCGGGCTGTCCGAAGAAGACACAAGCTTGTTGATGTACTTTGGTCTTACCAAACTGATCTAAGTACCTTAGGAAACTTAGCACGTGGGTGTAGTCGAACTGAGACATCATCAACGGTGGATTCTGCGATTTTAGGTATTGGATGAACGTGTTCCAATCGCGGCGTTTCTGCGATTCGTAGCGGCTTAGCGGTTGCTGCGGTTGAGGAGGAAGCGGTTGCTTGTGGTGGTTGGAAGATGAAGATGGATGATCCGGTGGATCTTTCGTCGGTGTGTGATTGTCCGAAGACATTATTAGGGGAATATTTCTGATTTTTTTTTTTTTTTGTATGTTGTTGTTTGGTATTATATTTTTGGTTTGTGAGCAAATTGAAGAAGGTTTAAAAGCGACAATAAAGTAAGGGGAAATAAAGAGAGATACTGAGAAATAATGGAACGACGATAGAAATTATTCACGAAAAAATGATTACTACGTATATATTTAGGTTACTATTATAAGTTACAAATGTAAATTCTTATCATTTCATGCGAATATCAAAATCTTTGTTATATAGTTTGTAAACTAGGCTTATATGATATATCTTTTACCATTTTTAAAACTAGTGTTTAGTTTTCCACGTACGCACGTAACATAATTAAAATCAGACATATCACTAATTGAGTTAACTCATTTCTTATTTATTCTTGTAACTAAATAGGTTATATGTAATAGCTAAATAAATGATAACTATTAACTATATGCAAATATCATGCAAATCTCTATAAATTATTGAATAGTGATCTTGATTCCATCTATTTACAACAAAACAAAATTTAAAATATCCATTCGTCGTTATAAAACGATAAATTTTTATAAAAAAAATGATTCTGATTATCTTACTAATTATTTAGATGATGTGAAAGCTCTATTATTTTTACTTACAGACAACAAATATTTATATATCCGAATGGCCAATGTATATAGAGTTTGACAATAGAAAGAAGATCTATTCAAGGAGATTTTATCCTATTTCATATATTGGATTTATATATCATGTTTGTATTTTGTTAATGTTGTTATGTTCACACGTTACTTTCTTAAACTTTTTTTGTCATCATCCAAGGAAAAAAATAGTTTCTCAACGTACACACAAACAATTCAAATATCGACTTTGTAATAATATACGTTACAAATTAGTACAGATTATTATTATAAAGAGCAAAAAAGAGAGAATATATTTCAATGGATGGGACCTCTGTGAGATGGTGCTCTTGTTCCTTTATAAAATTTTATTCTAAAATATGAAAATTTGTTATTTTATTTGGTTTGTTAATTATTTGTTTTGGTCACTGATGTGGCTATTTTAATCTACACACTGTTATGATATACTCTTCTTTTTAAAATGCCCTGAGAAATATTAGTTTAAGCTATCCATTGTACGACTAGCAAACCAAATCAATCATTATAAGTTTTAATAATGGTTTTATTAATTTATTTCTCCAACTTGCTTAATTTAGTGGCTATTGTTGAATTATGTAGCCTATTATACCTATAACTTTATACATAAGAAATTTATAATCACATAATTACAATAATAACGTTGATGAATGATGATGACCGTCATCATCTTTTCCTACTCGTAGCAATAGCCATTAACAATAGATTAGTGAGTATTACACCTACTATTTTTTTTTTTCTTACAACGTTATTCCAATTTGTGATGATTTATATAAAAGTACTTTTCATATACATACGTGAAATATAAAGAAATAGTGACACCATAATTCATATATAAGCAGAACGTAGTTTGTATATATACATGGAATATATTGACACTATATAATAACATATCTCCAATTACTATAGAATGAGTGATTGCTTAAGCATAAATATGTTTGAAAGTGGACGACGCATAATATATTGGTTTCCATTACCTTACATATGAATCTAATATTAAAAAGGAGAAAATAATCCACGCTCTTCTCCTTTTAGAGTTTAGATATTGCTTTACAATCCTTAAGGTAGAATTCAATGTCACTATATTACATGAATACGTACGTGTGAATATATATGATTGATATATATATACAAAACTTATTCATTAGAAAATTAACTACAAATGTGTTGCTGACAAAAAAAGAGAAGAAGAAAACCCTACTATAATATGGTAGTATATGTAAACTGTGGCTTCTCATGGTCATGGACAAGAAGTAGTACTAGTAGTTCAAACGAATAAGTTGGAAGACAGAAATACCTAAAAAGCATGAAACTTATAAAAATGACATAAAAGAGAAGACATAATAATTAAAGACAAGCATATAATTTAAGATACACAGATTTTAGTACCCTTTGTCGGGAATAAAAATATAACCAGCCGGTGAAATTAAAATCAAGATTCCGGTGACCGGAGAAATTACAGAAATCAGACGAGGTAAACCCTAAGTAAAAAAAAAAAGCATAATGTAGACAAGATTTTGTAAGAGAAGATCTTGTGTGGGGTAATATATCTTTCGATATACTTTTGTGTCCAAAACATCAATAGAGAAATCCACTCGATACCAAAAACAAAAAATTACAAAGAAAAAAAAGAGAATAAATTTAAAAAATTCACGTGGACTTGGGTCCATCTGTTTTTTTCACCTGGGATCATATCTTAGTATGGTATTATTTCGATAAAATCGTAATGTGTGTGTGTTTTATGGTTGCCCTTAAACGAGAATTATTGCCTTCTCTTTTTTATATGTTGAGAAAAGTTACAAGAATGTCTTTAGATTGTATTTTTTATATTTTTGTAGTTTTTCCTTTAGTTTTGATACGAAATGATGAAATGATGGCGTAAGTCGTGACTAATAATCAATCATCTTTCTTCTTTTAAGTTAATGGAAAGAAAAACCATTGAAATGAATATGTTATTCCATTGCTACCTTTATTTGTTCCATAATCCGTTTAATATATAAATATATATATATATATATATATTTATACCAACTAGAATACCCAAAGTATGTAAAGATTTTGGAATCACTAATACCAACTAGAATACCCAAAATATGTTATAGCAGAAGACCATAGTTCTAGTCTTTCTATTTGCAATCGCTTTTTATCTTCCGCAACAAATTCTAAAAACGATCAAAATCTGATCGTTTCTTCTATCCTTCTATTACAATGTTTTGGTTAGATAGATACACCGAAATCAATTTAAAATTTATGCTTCCGTTTTTTAGATATTTTTTACCATAAAACATCTCCAAAGTTATAATCCTACAATTACAATGTAAGTTTAAACTAGTTTCATTTTTAATGACAAAATTTACTTTTTTTTGCAAAAAGAAAGAAAGAAAGAAATACTTAACCACTATATATGAATATTTAAATGACAAGAATATCCATTATATAAAAGGAAGATTAAATCACTCATTGGTTAATATTTTTCTAAATTAATTTGTTATTTTAATATTAAATTTGTAAAAACACTATAGGTAAGAAACAAAAAAAAAGAAGTTGTTTTAGCTTCTTTGTAAATTGTAAAATGCCCAGTAATGTAACTATAAACCCAATAAAGGCCCATATACATGTTGGTAACTTAGGCCCATATAGTTCGGAGAAAAAAGATTTCGGACGTGAGAGGTTTAAGAAAAGAAGAAAGTGACAAAAAATTATCTGGAAAAGCTGAAAATCAAATGTACACACAAATGAGCATAAAGAATCAAACTTTAAGCTTCGTCTAATTATGATTCATCTCAGAAGCTTTAATTAGGGGCAGGTTTCAAACTACAGTATTAATAAAGAAGAAGAGTCAAATTGATTTAATCGGTGGTCACAGGACTCACAGCTTTTATTTTATTTATTATTAAGCTCTCAGTTTCATTTTCTGCGTGAGAGAGAGAGAGAGAGAGACAATGCCGTTGGTGAGGTTCAAGATACGGAACGAGCTAAGCTTAGGTGGCCCTGAGCTGAATCGCAGCGCCGCCGTGGAAAATGAGGAACCCAAGGCGATTCTCGGCGCTGTTGAAGTTGCTGGACTCATCGGCATACTTCGTCAGTTAGGCGATCTCGCCGAGTAAGTTTCTCGTTTTTTTTTTCCCACTGTTGCATACAAGAATAAGATTTTTTGAATTCGGATGTTTTTAGCTGATTTCGTAGGTTTCGAAGCTGTTTCTTGTGATTAGGATTAGTATTAGCTCATCAATTTTATCTTTAGCTCGATTGTACTAAGGGTTTCAGTAACGTTTCTATATTTTGATTTGCGTCAGGTGGGTTTAGGGCTTTTTTGCAATAGTTTTGATTTAAAGCTCAGTTCCTGGAGCTAGTAACTATTTAATTGACTCTGAGTTAAGTAAAGTGTTGATTACTGAATGTCATGGTGGTACCTCAACATAGTTAACTGGAGTGTAGGACCATTTGCTTTAATACTAGCAGTTGAAATGAAGTAAAGATTGCTAATTTGTGTAAACGTCTAATCTATAGTTATTAGTTGATGAGAAATTGAAGTTTCGTAATGGGAACCAGGAATTACGAGTCATTTTGGTTGTTGTCTACACAAGGAGATTAGTGAAGTGACACAGTTCGTTTTCCAAGAAGATTTTAACTCTCCCGTCATCAAAATCCTTTTTTTAAAATGAAACATAATTTGCTCAAAGCAAATGTTAACTGATAGAGAGTTCTTTAACCAGGTGGCATTTCTTACATGTAGATTTTCCGCAGAAGTATTTAATGGCATACAAGAAGAAGTGACTGTTACAGCGTCAAGGTGTCAGAAATTGACAGGCCGTGTTAGGCGGATAGAGTCAGCGCTGTCACCTCTTGAAAAGGCTGTGTTGTCACAGACAAGCCACATACATTTTGCATATACCGCAGGTATGGCTTCACACCTCTCATCTATAGGCCTCTGGTCTTATTTTTGAGTTTCTGTTTTGAAGGTTCTTTATGCCTTTATTTTTTTGGTTTTGTTACACACTTGCTGTCTTATCCTGCACTTCACTTGTGTAGAGGGATGGAAGATTTATGATCATATTACCTCCAAAATTGCATGACATATTTTTGTGATCTTTTGTACAGAAAATATCTTAGTTTTTCATTTTTGTTTCTGCTGTAGGCTCTGAGTGGCATCCTCGTATAAGGAATGGACATAGTCATTTTGTGCAGAGTGATTTGCCACTGTGTGTTATGGAAAGTTATGAACAATGCAGAGATCCTCCTCCTTTGCATCTGCTTGATAGGTAAGGGACAAGCTTTTAGTTCAGTCCTAATATGTATAGAAAATAATGCATTAAATCTTTATTCTGAAGTGACTAATTTTCTTCCTTCTTGCAGATTTTCTATAGGTGGTCCTGGATCGTGTCTGAGAAAATACTCTGACCCAACATTCTTTAGAAAAAAATTAGGCAACCCCAATAAAGCAGACGATATCAAGGTCCAGAGAGATCAAGCTCACCGCAAGCGAAAGGTTTGTAATTATCTTAGTGGATTTATGTTATGCTGGCTGAACCATTCTAAGAGTGGTTCCTTATTGTTGTGCTTTTTTGGCGGAATAAATAATTTTATATCTGATTTGTGCTTCGCTAAAATGACAGAAAAAAAGATTACCACAAAGAAACATTTGCAGATCAAATGCAGTATCTACATCGGATGAAACTAATGGGTGGGTGATTTGAAAAATACAAACGTATAGTATAGTAGATCTTGACTATTACATTTGCTGACCTGAGTTTTTCTACAGGCCTCATCTCAGTTCTCTTACTGATGACAGACAGACAACATCTCAGAGTACGTCCACAGTTGACATGCCACGTAGCTCTAATATGCAGGAATTATCTGATATCATGGACCAATCTCATCTGCAAGGACAGTTAGATGTGCAAGAACAAAGTGAAGCACAAGTACAATCAGATTTTCAAGAGTCATCAAAAGCTCGTGATTCTATTACTGGTTCAGGATATATTGAGTATGTCATCAATCAAAGTCCTGTTAATAAGCCTGAAGTGAAGCTAGTAGAGGGTTATCTGTCTGGGTCCTTACAACCTGCTGATAGAATAGGTTCAGCTGTTCCTGAAGGGTGCACAGGTGTTGTAGATGATAATATCCTATATAGCCCCTCAGAAGACCTACATGGGCCTTGTGTCTCTGTTTCTCGTGAAAAGAAAAAAGAAAAACTTGAACCTATGGAAAAGAAAAGCAGCAAAGTTGAAGAAGTGTCTGAGATGCATGAGTCAAAATTTGGTCCAGAAACACCAGACAGGGGTAGGCAAAATCAAAAGGACTTTGATAGGACGCATATTTTGTTTGATGAGGTAGATATTGTGCAAGAAAACGAGAGTAAGAACCAGGCCAACAATATTGATGGAACACTAGTACTTGAGAGCGAAGGAGAAGATAAGAGTGAACAAGGAAGTGAAGTAGATGAGTTTGTGGATGCTCGTAATACAATTGATTCGGAATCAGAGAGTGATCTTGATGGAGTACCAAAACCGAAACTAGAGCATTATTTTGGGGATGTTAGTACATATTGTTCGGAAGATGCTAACAGTGACAACAATGATGGATCAGAAGATACACCATATGAACAAATGGCACATGCTCCACGCCATGAAAACCCTCTAGATGAATCTTGTTCAGGTTCCTGCCTTCCTAATGATGCAAATGGTTCCTTTTGCCTTTCAGATCCAGTGTGTGGGAAAATTCTGTCTTATGATGAGACTTTTCAAAAGCCATGGGAATTTTTTGCAGAGTGCCCTTCATTATTGGCTGAAGAAGCTTTTCCGAATATAGCAGTTTTGCGAGAAGAACCTGTTGCTGCACATCCCATTTTGGCAGGAGACTCTACTCAGGAAAATATCTCATCTGAATATCCGACATCCTCATGTCTGTCACTGAAAGATGCTATTCCTACTGAAAAGATATTGCCAGAAGAACATTTGGCCAACCATCCATCTCTCGCAGAAGCTATTCCCCATGAAAAGACCGCACCAGGAGAGTCTGTTGCCAAATTTCCGTCTTTTGCAGAAAGGATGGAGCTTTCGAGTGAGGATTGGCCGAGGGCAGTTCGAGATGTACCGGAAATCCTGCCCCAAGAAAAAATATTGCCTAGAAAATCTCTTCCCAGCACTCTGTCTGTGGCAGAATCTGTGTATGACAATATGACCCCGTCAGGAGAACCTGACACAGCTCGTCCATCTTTTTCCGAAGCTATCCAAGAAAATAATTCAAAAAATCTGTCTGTGCCAGAGGCTGATTCACAAGAGAAAATCTCACTTGAAGAAGCTGTTGGGATCTATCCGTGTTTGGTAAAATCTGTTCCAGATGAAAGGTTATTGACAGAAGAAATAGAAGAACCTGCCACCACATGTCAGTCTTTGACAAAAGCTATGCCTATAGAAAAAAATTTCCCAGAACAACTTTTGGAAGAGCATCATTATTTGTTAGAACTGCCTAAAGAAAAGATCTTGCAAGAAACATTTGTTGGTTCTACACATCCATCATGTGCTAAAGCTGGTCCAGACGCAAATCTATCATCTGAAGTTCTTACTTCCACATATTTGTCTGTGGCCGAAGCTATTCCACAAGAGCAGATGCCACTTGAAGAATTTGTTGGCGTAAATCCGTATTTGGCAGAAGCTAATCCTGATGAAAGGTTCTCGCCAGAAGAACCTGTTACCACTCATCTGTCTTTGACAAAATCCGTGGTCATTGAAAAGGTCTTGGCAGAAGAGCTTTTGGAAACATATCCTGGAGAACTACCTAAAGAAAATATTTTGCACGAGGAAACTGATGATGCCACAGATCCATCGGAAGCTGTTAGTGATGAAGAAATCTTATCAGAAGTTTCTAATTCCACAAATGTGTCACTGGAAGAATCTCTTCCAGAAGAGCAACTCTCAGTTGAAGAATTTGTTGGCATAAATCCGTTTTTGGCAAAAGCTATTCCTGATGAAACTTTTTTGCCAGAAGAGAATGTCCCCACATGTCTCTCTTTGACAAAAGCGGCAGCAATTGAAGGAGTCTTGCCAGAAAAATCTTTGGAAACATATCCTTCCTTGGTAGAATTGTCTAAAGCGAAGATGTCGCATGAGGAAACTAATGATGTCACACGTCTGTCTGAAGCTATTTATGATGAAGAAATCTCATCAGAAGTTTCTGAGTCCACAAATTTGTCACTAGAAGAAGCTCTTCCGCAAGAGAAAATCTCACTTGAAGAAGTTGGGGGCATAAATCCGTGTTTGGCAGAAGCTATTCCTGATGAAAGGTTATTGCCAGAAGAACCCGGCATCCCATATCTCTCTTTGACAAACGATGCGGCAATTAAAGGAATCTTGCCAGAAAAACCTTTGGAAACGTATCTTGCACTGGCAGAATTGCCTGAAGAAAAGGTTTTGCATGAAGAAGCTGATGATGCCACACATCCATCTCTTTTTGAAGCTGTTAGTAATGAACAAATCTTACCAGAACTTCTTGATTCCACAAATTTGCTTGTGGCAGAAGCTGAACTACAAGAGCAAATCCCAGTTGAAGAATATGTTGGGATAGATCCATGTTTCACAGAAGCTATTCCAGATAAGAGGCCAGAGGGACCAGTCATCACATGTATGTCTATTGAAGAAGGCTTGCCAGAAGAACCGTTAGAAGCGTATGCTTCTTTGGAACAATTGCCTAAATATAAGATCTCACAAGAAACAATTGATGATACCAAACATCCATCTTGTGCCAAAACTGAAAGTGATGAAAACATCGCACCAGAAGTTCTTGATTTAACAAATTTGTCTGTGGCAGAAGCTATTCCTCATATGCAAATCTCACTTGAAGAATCTAGTGGCATAGTTCCGTTTTCGGCAGTAGATGTTCCTGATGAAAGGATTTCGCCTGAAGAACCTATCACCACATGTCTGCCTTTGGCAAAAGCCATGCCTATTGAGACAATCATTCCTGAAAAATCTTCGGAAATATATCCTTCTTCGGAAGAATCGTATGAAGAAAAGATCTTGCAAGATGAAGAACCTGATGATGCCACACATCCATCTTTTTCTGAAACTGTTGGTGATAAAAAGAATTCGCCACTAGAAATGCATGGTTCCACATATCCGTCTTTGGAAGAATCTGTTCATCTCGAGAAAACCTCACATGAAGAACTTCTTAGCACAAATTCGTTTTTGGCAGTAGCTGTTCCTGATGAAAGGATTTTGCCAGAAGAACCTGTTACCACATGTGTGCCTTTGACAAAAGCCACGCCTGTTGAAACAATCTTTCCAGAAGAATCTTTGGAAGTGTATCCTTCTTTGGTTGAATCGCAGGAAGAAAAGATTTGGCAAGAAGAAGAACTTGATGATGCCACACATCCATCATTTTCTGAAGCTGTTGGTGATGAAAAGATCTCGTCACTAGAAGTTCCTGATTCCACATATCCATCTTTAGAAGAATCTGTTCCGCATGAGAAAATTTCACAGGAAGAACTTGGTAGCACAAATCCTTTTTTGGAATTAGCTGTTCCCAAAGAAAGAAGTTTCCCAGACAAACCTGGCGTCACATATCAGTCGTTGGCAGAAGCTGCTTCTAAGGAAAATAACTTGCCAGAAAAACCCTTGCCTGCATATTCGTCTTTGGCAGAAGCTGTACCTGATGAAAAGATATCTCTGGAAGAACCTGATGCAGAAGCTGTTTTTGATGAAAATATCTCAGGCTTTGAAGCTCCAGGTTCTATGATAGTAACTGGTCCACACAACAAAGTCTTCCCTGATGATTTTGCCGTGGATAATTCCTTGGCTGAAGCTGGTTTTCATGAAAAGATCCCAGACTCAGAAGCTCCTGTCTCCATAACAGAGACTGGTCCACACGACAAAACCTTCCCTAAAGAACATTTTCCTGACGACGATATTCTGCCAAAAGAACCTGCTGCTACATATCTGGCTTTGGCGGAAGGTATTCCTGACCAGAAGGTATTTTTGGACGATGCCGCACTTCTATTATTTGCAGAAGCTATTTTTGATCAAAAGTTCTCACCAGAAGTCCCGGATTCCACATATCCTTCTTTGAAAGAACCTGAAATGCATGCTGCGCCACCATCTTTGGTAACCGATCTTCCTGCTAAAAATATTTCGGTGAAAGAAGGTGCAGCGTATGGTGAACCCTACTCAGCATCTGATGTCTCTATGAATCAGAAGAGTGGTTTCTTGGAATCAGAATCTGCTGATAGAACAATTCCCTTTAGTGGTAGTACATTCATGATTTCTTTAGATACCCGGGAATCTCTTTCAAATGGTACAAATGTTGAACCAGTAAGTATATGGAGCAATGGGGGACTCCTTGGACTTGCACCATTGAAACCTCCAGTTTTTGCTGAGCCTAATTCTGCAAGCGAACATTTACAGAATGAGATCAACAAAGCTAGTGTTCTTTCTACAAGGAAGCAGGAATCATCGAGCCTATCTATTGAAAATACTGAGAAGAGCTCACTTCCGATAGTTGTTTCAGATCCTACATCTCAACAACACAGTAACATGCTGAGTCCCTCTCACCTACAGAGCACTGGAACATCATTCAGAGTCTTTGGCTTAAGTCATAGACTATTCATGGCTGGGTTTCGTGGAAACTCTTCCTCAACTTGCAAATTTGAATCCGTACCTAGTAGTAGCTATGATACCAATGTAGCAGCTACCAGAGACAAGTCTCAACAAACTCTTGGTGACTCGAGCTTTGAGGAGCAATTGGATTATGAATCATCTCTCTTTGGCTCGCCTACTTCATCACCTTTGGTTGAACATATGAAAATATCATTCAACCCAAAAGACGCCTCTCCTGTTCCCAAATTGAAACTGAGAATCCCAAGCCAAACTCAGTACAATGGGCAAAATGCGGATATGTTCCCTTCGTTTCAGTTGGTTCCAGAGGCTAGCAACTCTGATGACGACGACAACAGCGATACCTTTTGCCAGTCATCTCCTTGTGTTTCAGACAATTGTTTGTCGGATTCTGAGCTGTGGGAATCTGATGAAAGCCCTAGAAAAACTGTATCAAGCTTGGAGCAAGTTGGAGAAAGAAATAGGCATGGCGATATGGGTTCTTTCTCTGGTTCGTTTCTTGATCTTCCATGTTACGATGCCGTAGATCATCAGTCCACATCTTCAAGACTGGACCAAGAACAAGTACCAGAATACAAACCATCTGTCTCAGAGATCATCCGTGACTGGCCACCGAACCAACCAAAAAGCAGTCCCAGTATTGAAGCAAACGATGACGCAAACACAGTACTGAAGAAAACGCAAGATCAATCTCCCGGGTACTTATAGCAAAACTCACTCAGTCTTTTGTTCTCTTAATCATTTGCGTTAGTTGTAGACTCTTAGATCATTAGCCTCATGAGACTAAAGAACAAATCCTTCACTGTTAATTAGGCTATTAGCTACAGATGACGGTGGTGAAAGATAAATCGGTGATACTGTCATGATGAACATAAAATCACAGGAATCTAATAATGATTCTTATTGGTTATTGTACATTCCTTTGTCATTTCAACTTTCTTGTTCATGTAAAAAACAAACACTATTTATAAATCAGAAATTTAAATTTGACGCTCCTAAAAAAGATGATAAATTATTTAATTACCGCATTTTCTTTTTGTATTTTATCGAATTACATTTTTTTTTCTGGTTATAGTGAAAACAAACAATACATCATTACATGACGATCTTGAAGTCGACATCATATTTAGAAGGTAACGTCAGGGACGATTCCGAGCTCCTTGAATGCAGCGGGACATTCAGCTGATGGGGTCTTAACCATGAAACCGAGAGGGTTAACGATACGTGTCTCGTGGGAGACGATTCCATCATTCGCGGTCAGGCTGATCTTAGCGGCGTTATGTAGGTAAGCCTCTTTGCTAACGTCACTGCAATCACTGTCTGGTGATTCGAGGAGGACGAGCTCGCAAACTTCCTCCTCGTGGTCACCGGCCACTTCCATTTTGTAGCTTCCTGACTTGTCTGTTACGGCTTCTTCCGTCAAGGTCACGGTTCCGTTTACTCTGCTCCTGCACTCTAGCTTCACTTTCGCTCCTAAAGAACACAATGTAGAAATTAGAATAACCATAATTGCATACTAACAATATAAGCAATGTGTAGTTTGTGTAAATAGACGTATGAAAATGTTACCTTCAAGGAATTTGCTGAGACGGGTAACGAATTGGACACGGCAAGTGTCACAATAAACCGATCCCTGAATTTGGAAACGGTCAAAGTCATCGGCATCAGCGATGGCCACGCCCGCGAGAGAGGAGAGGCACACCGCGGAGACAAAGAAGAAGAAGATGGCTTTGGACGCCATTTGTTTGAAAATGTTGAAAGATTCTGGTCTTTTTTGATACCTCTTCTCCTTTGTAATCGTTTTCTTTCTTGAGATGTTAGAGAAGAGGACAACTAATTCACAAGAGCCACGAAGTTCGGTTTTATACAAAAACAGATACAAGAAAACATTTGTTATTTTTAGCTAATTATAAATTAGTGAGTTTGTTAGTTCTTTTAATTATAGCCTCTAGTTTCCAATTGCGTAAACCTTCTTCCCCCTATTTTTCTCTCTGTCTCCTAAAATTAGAATGGCAAATTACACAAGAACATAACTGTTTTGACTTTAAAGAACACTTTAACATTAAGCAAATAAACTCTGTTGGAATTATAACCAAATGAACCCATTAGAGTATTCAATTACAACAAGACTTAATTTGATCTTATCTTCTGTTATCCAAGAGTTTATATCTTCTCATTTCATCAAGTTCCATATTCAGCTTCATACTCTTCTATTCGGCTTTTATTAAGCTGGAAAGCCGGATTAACATCTTCTCTTTTCAACCACTTTCCGTGTTTAGGTTTGGGTTTGGAAGGTTAGGCTCGGATTTACACTCGTCTATTCGGCTTTTATTAAGCTGGAAAGCCGGATTAACCCACGCGCCGCAGCTACATTGCATCCCAGACCAGTTGAAATAACCTAACCGACCATTACATCCCAGACAGAGAAGCTTCTCTTCCACTAATCCATCATGTACTGTAACAATCAAATAGTGTTAAGATCATTTACTCATTAGAAAGAACTGCAAAGACTCTTGTTGACATACAGTAGATAAATCAATATAGAGAAAGGTTCTCACTTGTCTGCATCCATTTCATAGGCTCGACAAAGATCGAGGAGCATTGCACTTGTTCGGGGTTCCCACTTCTCTTTTTCCAAGCAAAGCATTCTTCACCTTTACCCGGTTCATGCGGGACAATGTTTTCCTCAACAGCTACTATCCTTCGGCATTTCTTACATCTGTAAATGACTTGAGGCTTCGAGACAGACTCCTGCACAGAAGAACTGGTCTCTGCCTCCATTTGCAATTCTGTCATAACTTCAAAAACTAAAGAAAGAGAATACTCAGACTAAGTTTCAATCTGATTATATCCAAATGGTCAAATGGTTCAGGATCAATGTAAAGATCAACAGCTAGATCTCGCTTTCACAGTTATATTCACAGTGAACGCAATAGTAATACAAAAAGACGAAAAATCTCCAAGTTGTTGTTAAAATAAGTATTAAAGTTCTGATTTTGAAGCCACCCACAAGTCCAAACTTGTATTATCACAGAGCAAAACTAATAATCTACAAACAAAATGATCCTATGTAAATGGTTTAAACTTCAGAATTCTCAAATCCATAACAAAGTTCTCAACTTCACAATAACAATTGATTTGATTTCCTCTAACACATGAGTCACTAACCTTACACGGCTACACCGATTAACCAAGAAATAGCGCGTATGACATTCAATTGCAAGAGTAATGATTTACTCGAATCAGCGGCGAAGAAGAACAGTACCAACCAAACAAAAGCTCAAACCAGTCAAAACCCTAAAGAGAAATCTAAAACCCTCCACTGAAACACACACAAAATACAAAAGCAACCAAAGCAAAATCACCTTTGCCAAGGCTGATTTCTTCTTCTTCGTCACAAAATCTCTTCGGTTTAGGTTTTAAGGTTTGTGAACTGTGTATGATTCTTCCATGATGGTTAATCTCGCAATAGTCCGGTTTAACAAAACCAGTCTCCAATGATGTCGTGTAGAAAAACTTGGATGGGCCACACCTATGGGCTTCTGTAGATAGAGAGGTACAAAGAGGAAGAGATGAAATACATTTTCTTGCAACGTTTTACAAAATACAATTACTGATCTCCTCGGATTCCTTAACATTTCTTCGAATTTGTCTGTGTAATTTTGTTGTTAACAACTGTGTTTATTTGTTAGTTTGGATGTATTGTTTCTCTTTTTTAGGCCACTTACAATCTAAAGTGATGTACTCAAAAGAAAAGCAAATAGAACCAAAACGTTACATAAGAAACATATGATTCTCTTCTTTTTTTTAACTCAATGAAACATATGATTCATAGTTAAGATTAACTAAAATAGTTTCTCTTAAATTCTGAAAGCTATGATCAGAAATCAAAGACCATAATAACAATTGATCAACCGTGAAACTAAGATGAAACAGAAGAGCTTCAACACTAAATATCAAATGCTAGATATATCAACAATATCTCCAACTTGATAATACCTTCGATCCCACGTCCAGTTTCCCTGTAATTTAGATGAACATGTGTCTAAACTCACCATTTGCAAGCTTACATAGTTCATTGTAGTTCTGTGCATCTGCAAGCAAACCAGATCCAACTCAAGACACAAGGATTTTGCAAATCATATACAGGAAGAGACCAATCAAACTCAATCATAGCTTTAAAGGGAAGGACTTTTGCTAAGATTTTCATACCGAAACTATCTCCAAAGTTGGTCCAAACTTCAGCTCTTATGGTGTTGTCAGTCTCAGCAATTCCAATGACCTCAAGGTAAGTAGTCAGAGGCAGCTGAGGCGAACCTTTAACAACAATCTGTTGATCATCAGTCGACTTACCAATCACGGATCCAATGTCTGACCTCATCACTTGAATCACTGCTCTCACTTTCTGACCAATGAACCTTCTCAACAAAGCTCCATTCACAAAAACTGCAGGACTTGATGCATCCATTAATCTATAAAAACCACAAAATTGTTTAGTCTCTTTCTCATTTTGAACCTCAGATACAAAAACATACGTAATCAAATTCTAAGTCTTTCTCCAAAAATCTTGAATCGATCTGGTAGTGTCGATCCCTAATTAGAATTATATAGTCATATCCTAATTTCAAAGAGAAGAACAAAGCTATCAAACAAATCGAGCAGATACATTTAGAGCTAAATATTAGTATACCCGGAAAACGAATTGAGAGACGCCGGAGACAATTTCCGGTGAGTTTCGGCGGGAAGATAAACCCTAATTCTTCTGGATTTGTGAATGAGAAGGAGAAGATGGAGTGGGATAGGGAGAGTTCGAGAAATAAGAGTGTTAACCGAACCGGTTTCGAGAAAATTGAACCGCTCGATTTTTGGTTTAGTTAGTGACACGTCAGCAACTAAAATAAATGAAAAAAAAACCTTGTTTAAGGGAACAAAATAAAAAAGTAATAAATAAAATAAAAACCCTATTTATATCCTTAATGATACCACAGAGCAACGCTAATCAGAAGCTTCGCCACCGCTAATCTCTTTGTTCTTCCTCTGACTGACTACGTTTTGATAAATTCATCGACGATCCCAATTTCTTGGTCTCCCGATTTAGCAGTTTCATCTTAATCCTCGTAAGGTAAATCATATAACCATTTGTTTTTAATTCCTTTGAAGTATGGTTGCAGAAACTAGGGTTTACTTTCTGTTTTTTTGCTTGCGGAGTAGTTTTCCTGTAAAATTCTTCTTCAAACGATCTGAATCTCTTGTTATCAGAATGTTTTTGTTGATTGGGTATACAAAGATGATATTTTTAGGGTTCGTTCATAAAATTTCCTATTTTTTGAAGGTTTAGGCTGATCTCTTTGGTTCTTATAAAAGTTCTCTTACAATTGCTTCACCTGAATTGATGATGAATCTAACAGGTACCTTTCTGAATTAGGACATGGCAAAGTTGGCACCAGTTTTTGCTGATTCTCTAATGGATTCTTGGAAGAGTAAAGCCTGTAACAGTAAGTTCGCTTGTCACGGTTTGGTCTTTTCAACAATTTGATTTTTCTTATTGGCAATTTTGTGTTATGATTGATTTTTTGTTTTGTTTTGTTTTGTTTTGTTATACAGGAGTTCCCTTACCATATTTGATTCGACCTCGTAGAGTTCTGCCTCCTATAGATTGTTTTGCCTTCTACAACGAATACGCATCTGAGGATGAGTGTGATGAAACTGACTCTCCAATGGAAGGTGTTGAAACCTCCACTTTGGACAAAGGTAATTTAGCTTTTTCTTCTTTGAATGGAGAGTGTTATCTGAAACTAGTAATTACTCCCTTGTTAATCTCCATTCGACTGATCTATCTGTACTGTCTTTGATGGTTTCTTACATATGCATCATCAGGTCATTCAGATGACGAATATGTAATGGTGGACACAATTGTTGAAGCTTTACCCAATCCTAAAATAGAGAAAGCAGAAGCAATTCAAATGGTGTGTATTCTAGTTTCTCAGGACTCTTATCTCTTTTAATTTCTTTTTCCTAACTAATACGTCCTTTTTGTTTTCAGATGGAACTCTCTAAAGATGCAGTTAATGATGATGGGTCTGAATCCGAAGATGCTGGATACAGCAGTGATGAATGGGTGGTGGTTAAGTAATTAGAATCAAAATTTGCAGGGTTTGAGTTCTGAGTTTTAGTACAATGGGATTAGTTTACTTTCTGTCTCTCTGAGAGATGTTTCTTATCCTCGACATTTATTTGTGAAGCTTTTTATTAGCAGTACATATGATAAGATGGTTTTCGATTGAATATGATCTGTTTTATCCTCTTTCTCAGCAAGAAAAGAACATATATTCACAAGAGTTATGTTTTTAAAGAAAAGAAAAAAAACAAATTAAATAGAGGATATGACAACAGACAAGTGAGGTAAAAGGTATACGAAGCTAAGGTTGCTTCTTCAACAAGGGGTAGATCGAAAACAAAGTTTATGTTGATGTGTTTGGCTTTGACACTGAACATGACATGATCTCGCTTTATCCCTTAGCTCTTGAAACGCCCTCATTGTCTCTGCATCAAATCCTCCAGCAAACTGAACAAATAACAGGTTTTTAAGAGTTTGTACAAAGTTACAAAACAAGATATTGTAACAAAAACCAAATCGATGATCAATAACTTTACCTGATGAACACGGAATGCGAATCTAACACCTTGAACAATAAGCTCTTCCTCTTCAGGACCACCACCTCCAGTGGCTTCGAGCTCTGCTGATACTCTCTTCATATACTTCATCGCTAGTTTCACGGATGCCAGTTTAATCTGAAATCACAATCATAACAGCAATACACACTTAATACTAAACTTTTATCAACTTATTTTATCAAACTACACTCAAGACTCAACATTAAAAACTTAAAAAGGAGTGAGAATGAAGGCATCCAAAGTCATTAAAGAATCTGATTCCAATCTCTATTGATTTGTCTATTTGTTACTATTATAATGACATGCATTTGTTTTTTATAACTTGTGTGCATATGTATTATATAAACTAATGAATCCCGAAGCAAAATACGAAGGAAACAAACAGGAAGATACCAATAGAGAAAATCTCGAAAAATCACAGGCGTGCACATAGGAAAAACCCCACCAAAAAAAACATTAAAGTAAAACAACACTGTATCCAACAAGTTTACTTTTGCTGAAAATAATTTGTATCTATCTGAATTTGTCATCTAGTACATAATAGTTCCACTTCACAACCATTGTAAGCAAAGCAACTACAATAATAGAGTGAAGAAGACAGTGTCAAAACTCAAAACAACAATTTTTAACAATTGCCCTACCCTCTCAAACTATTGACTTTTATCAGAAATTGGGGACCATTTGAGAATTGTTGTTCTTGTGATCACCCAATATGTTTTCTATATCTTATCATCCAATCAAAATGCAATAATTGCACCAAAAAATAGGAAGTATTGATCATCATGACCATTCAAGCAGAAGCAATATTAGTATAATACAACTAGAAACACAGAAGAAGGATCACTAATGTAAATCTCGAGATAATTTATGAATGTGAAAGATTTAAATCTCGAGATTAGTAATGTTGCTGACCTGGCTAGTAATGCCGGTTTCAAGCATCCAGTCAACCGGAATCTGGAAACTTTTGAACTTTGTCGCCGCCGATTCTTTCATCCTCGACAAACTATAAACACCATGCTCTAACCTTTAAACAATTCACAAAAGTTCTTGATTAGTCATCTTAAAATCAAATGATACTCAAGTTCAAAAATGAGTCAAAGATTGGATTTTTATTAGTACTTTTCAAACAAAGCTTGCATTTTTTTAAGAGCAGAGCCTGATGATTGACGAGGATCTTCTCGGAAACGAGAAGCTTCTGATATGAGCTTCTTCAGATCGAAATAACAAAACGCTGCTTCACGTAACGCATCTGCTTTTTGCTCCGGCCATTCGAAGTGTTTCAACACTGCTCTCTCATCAACCTTTGAAAAGAAACATCAAAATGTTTCAATATTCCAAATCACAGTAGCAAACCCGGAAACTTTGGAAACTTCCATTTTCATACCAAGTAAGAGAGTTCGTCGTCGAGCCATTTGACGAAGGGGACAACGTCTTGAATATCTGAAAACGCAGCGTTTTCGACTTCTTTGATCAAGAACCTTATGAAATCTCCTTGCGTCTCCACATCGGTTTTTATCTGCAATGTTCGGTTTAAGTTAAAACCGAAACCGGTTTATGAATTTTTTAAATTTTTTTGAAAGTTTACTCGGAAAAGGACGAGGAAAAAGTGGAAAACGACCAGTCAATTCTCACTGACGCAACAGAGTCAGAGAAAACTAAACCGGAATGTACTGAACCGGTTCAAGAGGGTTTACTTACCGCGAGGAGATAAACCGATCGGTTTTCTATTTCTCCGATCATGTCTCTGGCATTGGAACTTGCGAGTATTGCCTCTGCGGCGGGGTTACCACCGCCGGTTGAATCTCTTCTCGAGTTTGTCGAGTCTCTTCGCATCAACGAGTGGTAAAACTCCACGACTTCCGGAACTCTTCTCACTTTTGCCGACGCAATGCCTAAACTCTTCGGCGGCGGCGGTGGAGGAGGCGGAGGGAGAGCTTTAGAAACAGACGGAGGTGGTGGTGGTGGTGGTGGAGGTTGTTGAAGAAGCGGTGGCGGAGGCGGAGGAGGAGGCGGAATCGATTTCTGCGGCGGCGGATCTACTCTGTTCTCCGTGCAATCACCTAATGAAAATGAGCGTTTCGGCGGTGGTTTAGGGACTCTCGGAATCCTAGATCTGACGGTTGAGAGTGACGACGACTCAGTGAGTTCGTCCGAGTTACAACTCCGAGAATAATTCTCGATTTCGTCTTTCCTGTAAATGTCGCCGTCGGCGTCACCGCATGAAGAAACGCTTTTGTGGTTCTCTTGGTGCTGAATCGGGTCGGGTATGTTCTTCAACGACCCGACCCGTTTTAAACTTCTGATTAGATTAGACTTCGCCGACACATCCATTAAACCCTGAAACCTCTGCGAATTCGAGAGACCGTGGTCGTCACTCTCCGACGCAACAAGTTTCCGAAGCTCAACCATCTCCGCCTCCATTTCCTTCTCTCTCCTCTCACTCTCTCTCCTCATTTCCTCGCTCCGGTCAAACTCTCGCCGTAATGCCTCGTTCTCCTCCGCTAACCTCGCCGTCTCTTTCCTCAACTCCTCGACTTCGCCGTTCTTCTCGGCGATCTGCGATTCGAGCAGCGGAATAACGGAAACGGATTCTCGGAGAAGCTTAAGCTCGAGGACCTCTGTTTTCAACAGAGCTTCTCTCTCACGAAGCTCCTCGACCTGACGACGGAGCTCAGAGACGACGCCGTTATGTGAAGAAGCAGCTGCAGCGGCGTGGACTTGAGCGGAAGCGCGTGGGAAGTAAACGCCGAAAGAGCGAGTGAAACCCGGTTTACCAGGATTAGTAGACGGTTTAGTAGCAGAACCGGAAGAAGGCGGTTTAAGAGAGGGAGGAGGAGGTGGAGGAGGAAGAGGTAAAGGAAGAGGAGAAGTGATGTCTTTAGTTTTCTTGGTCGAAGGTGATTTGTGAAAACCCATTGTTACACGAACCTTACCACCAGCCACCATTGATGATGATGATGATGATAAGAGAGAGCTTCAATTTCAAAAATGGTTACTTGAGAAGAAAGGAGTGATTTGCATGGAAAATTAAAAGCATGTCGTTGTCCGTGCAGTTTCTTGAGAGAGAGAGAGTGATAGTGATGATTCAAAGTTTGGGCCTTTGGATTATGAAGAAGAAGATGAGAGACTTTGTAATAAGGATTGAATAAATAAAATTATAAAATAAAGTTTTTATACGCATTTTTATAATAAATTTGGTTTCTTACCTTTTTCGACCGTTGGAAGAATCTAATCTAATAAAATAATCTGAAATTGAAACTATGCTTTAGTAGAGAGAGTGCACATCTAACGAGGAACGTTCTTCTGTTCATCTTAAATTTCAAATTTTAAAACCAAAGTAAAAGAACACAAACAACACTTTTAAGACTTTGGTCCTCGTATCCTTTACCTTTGTCTTTGATAATTTCAGTTGTGTTCGGTAATACTGAGAATGGTAGTACTATACAGTATATAGATCAGAATGATGAGATTACCCAAATATGGTATTAACTTGTTTCCAATAAAGTTAGTACTAAACTCGTTTTTAAAGAACTTATGGTAATAACAGTTATGATCAATACCTCTGAAATAGTAACAAACAGAAACAATGAAACGGTACTCGAGTTAAGGACGATTAGATTTGATAATGGTAATTTAAACTACATTAGTGTGCCTTTAATTTAATGCTAGTTAAGCTCTGATTTAAAATCTCATCAGTCTCACATATTTAATTTTACACGGTAAAAAGTACCACTCTTTCGGTATCCACAAATATCAATTGTTTTATGATGTGATTTTTGATGTGATTTTCAAACTAATGAATTCATAATTTACTTAGATAAGTCATTATCATCTTAAAATGTACTCGTAGTTTAAATAACGTGTTTGATGTATATATATCACTGAGGTTAAGTGGTGTTGTTTTACATAAATTTGACTCATTTACGTACGTACGTGTTGATGCCTGCATGCTTATGTGTTAGTGTGAATAATATTTTAAAAAAAACAAAGATAGTAATTAATCTAAAAAAATGTTCTCCACTAGAAATCAATGTGATTCCATAGATTATATAACATAAGGAATTTATGTTTCATAAGACCAAAATTCAAAAACAATTTAATTGTTATTTATCATGGTTGTTGACTTGTACTACTTTAAATAATTGTATTACAGAATGTAGAAAAACAAATATAAGTTAAGATATAAAGCTTGATCATATAGGTGGAGTAGAACCGTAGAACAACAATATGGAAGAAGAAGAGCTGCTTTGATGCTGACTTTTTCCCGCATTACTTTCTCATCACATATCACATATTTGCTTTTGTCCTTCTTTATGTAAATTGATCAAACACAAAATTATACATTTATTAATTTAATTTGCGAACGTTAGTATAAAAAAATAGCTAGTATATACCTCTTATTAGTATTGGTATAATATAGTATAGAATAATTCGATGGAATAAAATGACGATATTGTGAAAATCTATTGGACCGTTTAATGCAACGCACTGATCGCAAAAATAAAGATAAGAAAAAACATATTGATCGCAATAATTAGTAAAATATTCTAAGTTAAGTAAATTTATTAAATGTTTGATTGGTGTTTTGTTTTTGTTTTTGCCAATACTAAATGTATTAGAGAGTTGAAATTTTTATAGTTTTGTTCAACTCAATAACTTTTCAAATTAACAAAGGATGGTGTCGTTCCCAAAAAATTTCCACAATTTTTACATAGGTCTTAAGACAAAAGTTAATCGCGGGAAGGGTTTAGTGTAACTTTGATGTCCAAATGTAGATAGACAAAAAAACAGGAAGAAGATAGGTATACTTGGTAATTGGTTGGTCTTTTTGAGAATGATTAGATTGATTTAATTGCGAAAAGCTTAGCTAACTATTGAAAGGGAAAGGTAGGAAATTAAATGTGAGCAGCGTCGAAGAAGGGGAAAGAACAGAGAATTGAAAAGAATGTCACATTACCTAGTGGGGGGGATGGCAAATATACGTATCCATGTGTCTATATTTTTTCTAATTAATATAACCCTAATAATAAAATATTTTTAAGGTGGTCCTTTTACACTCCAAAAAAAATCAACATCTTGTCTCTTCTATACTTTGCTATAACTTACAAATTTATACATATTAACACATGTGCACACTATATACCTAACTATATCTTATACATTACACACCATGTTCTAAATTTCTGATTATGATCTCTGGTGCAATGTTTTTGTTGTAAACTTGATTATATCCTTCCTTGTTATATGTGTTTTAGATTGGATCAGAAGACGAAAATTCTGATTAATTATAACTTTTGGTAGTCTCTTCACATTAAGTAAGGTTTCATTTATAGTTTTGAAGTTGGTGATGCTGACTTTGTGGAGTAACAAACAATGTAATTAGACATACTAAGATCGGATTGTTCCTATTTTGAGAATTGCATCTTTGTTTCTCGAAAGTGGGCTCTATTGAATTGTTGGTTTATGTCATGGAAATTTGTTGTATTGTATGTGTGAATTTATGAAAAGGATTTGTGTTGGGGACTCTTAGCCATATTCGAGGTGTTAAAGGGAGCTTTCTCTTCCCACATGCATTTGTTTATGCTTCTAAAGTAGCAAGCAAAATAAAAAATAAAAATGGTATCCATATCTATCTCTACTCCATCATTCATTAATGTACCAACCCTAGTAATCTAATATCCAATCTTTATACATATATACATTTCTAAATCAGCATTAGCTAGGGCGTATAACTTATAACGTTTTTTTAAATAAACCAAAGAGTGGTATTAAGTAACACGGCATTTTAGAATGGTGAAAACTGAAAAGATTATGTTGTGGGTCTAGTTAGTAGATATAGGTTTGCACCCCCCACCATCAAGGATCACCAATGTATAGATTCTTGACAATTGTTAAAGTTTCAAGTGGTAAAATATCTCTAAGTTTTATTTTTATACGAATTTTGGAAATTAGTTATAGAAACTACCACGATTAGAAAAAATACTTTAAAACTTTTTGAAGTGATCAAATATCATACAAAAGGAAAAAAAAATCCATTTTAACTGATCATATTATATGCTATGCTATTCATAAGAGTAGTTTATGACTTTGTGTATGTGTCCAAATACAGGTGCCGTCACACAGAAAAAGGTATCCAATTACAGGTTGTATTTCTGTTCCATTTTACAAATCTGAGTAGGAGGAAGGTTTACTTCAATTTGGAAGTGGTTTACATATTCACAATTTGGTTGGTTATCACAAACGCGACTATTACAAAATTGGACCACAACATGATAGGATGATTTTCCAAACCACGAACTATCATATGTAGAAAAAGGAAACAAGAGACGACATAATCAAAGCTGGCTTTCGACATATCACCTCAACACATCACTGAGAAAACTATTTTAGAATAGGATTATATGACTTTGTTTACCAAAAACTAAGTAACTTTGAAGAACTATTGCGCAGATCGTATGAAGTTTTTCTATAAATCATACACATCGTCCTTGGCAAATGATTTTCTCGCCCTATGGTTCAAAAGGTGTTTTCTCTTAGTTTCACCAACTTCACACATTGTAAGTATACTAGTCTTAAAAGATGCAAAAAGTTGCACCTAAATTATATCATATATTAGTCAACAATTTACTTAAAACATATTTTTTATTAGTAGCTAATGTATTTACCAAATGTTTAAATTTAGTTTAGTTGGTTGATTAAAAAATAATCAATGGATTATTGGAAAATCTACAGGTTTAGCCCTGTTAAACCCATGAGTCTATTAAGGCTAATCTAAAAAAAAACTCATTCATTGAAATGGATCCATCCTGACCCGTTAATAAACTAGGCATCTGTGAGGGTATCACACAATCTTTGTGTTCGTTCATCTACGATTATACACGTGTGTATGTACTGTTCGATTTTGTGGAGACAGTATTGGCAATGGTCCTCGTGAAACCCATGCATTGGACTCTGGACCATTTTCACCAAAACGTTCATACTTCAACATTGTACACACCAATTATTAGTTTATTACGTACTGTACATAATTGGCTTTTCTGCAGCTGTACAATCGTATTATAGTATGAATATGTACCATCCATGTCAAATAAACAATCAAAATTTTCACCGAATATTGCTGATGGTCGAGCTTTTTCAATCACATGAAAACAAAACCTTTAAGCTTTGTGTGAGAGAGACGTAAACAAAAAAACTAATACTAGATGAGAAACTATGCCCTATATATGGACGAAAAAGTGAAAGCTTCAAGCCCATTTTGTAAAAGGCCTATCTTTATAGCTTAGTATCAACATAACATGCATAACGAATTCTATTTTATTGTATGCACTGGTCCGTAGCCCTGAGCAGGAAGCGAATATTCGGAAAATTTGTGATATTTGTGATTTGTTTCGCCTCGACCGAATAGTTGATTTTGCTATTTGCTTCGATTCGTAAATTTTTGAGTATTCGGAACTTCGAATATTCGAATATTTTTCGTAATATTTGCGAATTACTTGTTTCGCTTCGCTTTGACCCATCTAATTTTTTTTTTAAACTAAAAACATATAGTACATAAATATAAAGTGCAAAATATGAGATATTAGAGGTTATTGTTTGACATGTTTTCAAAATAAGAAGAAAATGTAACCACTGTCCATAGAGTTCTCACATTTTATTTTTAATATTGATTTTTCTAATAAAGTTTTATTTGCTTAAGAACAACATTTAGCAAAAAATCAACGGGCCAAAATATGATAATTTGAATAATAGGCCTATAAGATATATACCCAATTCTATAAATACACCTATTATATATATATATATTATATAATAATTTATATTTATACATATACATAAATATACGAAGCGAAACGGATATTCGGCATTAAGAAAATCAGTATTTGTTATTTGCTTCGGTTTGTACGAATACTACATTTTCATATTTGGTTCGGTTCAATATCTTATAAATATTTGAATTTTTCGAATCGAATCGAAACGAATATCGAAGCGAAACGAATCTAACGAATATTTTGCCCATGGTAGTCCGCTATAGTTAATCATTGAGATTTGTTTAAGAACTTTGCATAACGTGATAATAAATCCACGGATCAAGATGCTAAACTTCCATATATTATGAACCTTCCACGAATTAGGAACTACTAAAAAAGACAAATCAATCTATAATTGTGATCTCAAGTCATGTAATTTATCAATTTGTGGACTTTTAGTTGGTAACACACATATGATATGGCCGTAAACTTCGGAGATATACGTGGCTCGTCATCGACTATATTATTATTTGAGATAAGATCAAATTAATTAATTATTTGTAGCAAATCATTTTTTCTATAATTAAAACGAAACTAAATGATCGTATTCCAAAGAAGATAATGCAGTGTCGACCTATTCAAAGCATATTGATATATACAAATACTCCACGTTTACAAGCAATTGACAATTTACTCAATTAGTGACAGCACACTAATGCTTTCACGTAATATTGTACTAACAAGATTCATACATTTATGTGTTCATATTGACATATGTTTAAAAAAGTAGATATGCCCGATTCGTTTTTCGTTAGAATTTTGACTTTTTACGTTTTAACAAATATACGAATGATCCAATTAAAATAAACCAGCTCGAATAGACTCATAGCAAAAAGCATCATGATGCATGACCAAGAAATAAATTAAAAAAGGTGAAAAGAAGATTAAAAGAAAAGAAAGGAATCGTTTGTTATATGTAGTAGGCAAAGATGAGCAATTGCTTTCCTTAAACGTTACAGGACTACACTTCTTTCCGGATAAATTAAGAAACTCAAACTTTTTGCTTATCATATAAAAATATATTAACATTTAATACCATATATATCGAGAACGATACTTCCTCTGCAACACGCCTAAAATACGCAATTAATATTCATATTTTATATCACCAAACCATCTTCAACATAATTCATATTCTTCGATTCAAAGACCTTCTCTGATCAGACAAACCTAGCAAGACAAAAAACATTAGAGATATCTGAAAGATTATGGAGGAAGAAGACAAGAAAGTGACGACGAGGTGTTTTAGCTTCAAGAGAATCATGAAGAAGAAGAAGAAGAAGAAAGAGGAAGAGGAGGATGAGAAGTTGATAGTGTCTAGAGAATTCGCCAAGAGATGGAAAGATCTGAGCGGTCTAAACCATTGGAAAGGGATGTTACAGCCGTTGGATCAAGATCTCCGGGAATATATCATACATTACGGCGAGATGGCTCAGGCTGGTTATGATACTTTCAACATCAACACCGAGTCTAAGTTCGCAGGTGCTAGCATCTACGCTAGGAAAGACTTCTTCGCCAAGGTAACATTGGAAAAAAAACGAAAAATAAAAATTTATATATCAAACGTATTGATTGGTATAGTTTTTAATCAGAACTGTGAAACGAGAAAACTTAAAATTTATTTCCATTTTTTTTCTGAATTGCAACAAGGTTTGTACCGTGATAAAAGAAACTTCATTACTAATTAAGATGGTATATGGACAAAATTAGGCTGGATCCATTCCCCACGAAAAAAAACATGTTATTTATGCAAAACCGTAATTTGTTATTTTTTCTAAATTGTGAAATAGAATAAAAGTATCCTAAAGTATGTATTTGAGACGGAACTTTTATAAAGATTATTTTTGATAAATCATGATTTCATTTTACGTGTAAAATAAAATAAAATAAAATAATAATAACTAATGATACAATATGCCTTATTTGTTAGAGTGATATATTATTCTCACTCCACCACCACACATATGTTGTTTTTCATTTTTTCTACTGTTATATAATGTCACGAATCGACGCAAGAGATATATTTATTTAATAAATAAAGGGAGATAGTACTTTCTTCTTACGCAAGAAACCATAATGCAAACCTTTTTGTTGTCTAAAAACGCAGGTGTGTCTAGAGAAAGCACATCCGTACACAAAATACAAAGTCACGAAGTTTCTATACGCGACTTCAGAGGTCCACGTGCCTGAGTCATTCCTATTGTTCCCAATTTCACGTGAGGGATGGACAAAGGAGTCCAACTGGATGGGTTACGTGGCGGTAACAGACGACCAAGGCACGGCGCTTCTTGGCCGGAGAGACATTGTGGTTGTTTGGAGAGGCTCAGTTCAACCACTCGAATGGGTTAACGACTTCGAATTCGGATTAGTGAACGCCAAGAAAATATTCGGTGAGAAAAATGATCAAGTACAGATTCATCAAGGTTGGTATTCAATCTACATGTCTCAAGATGACCGATCACCTTTTACTAAGGCCAATGCTCGTGAACAGGTCCGTTTATATATGACTCCTTTTAAATGAAGATGTTACCATTTTGGTTTTGTTTGCAAAAGCATCTGAGAGAGTAATCAAAATAGGTACTGCGAGAGGTTGGGAGATTGTTGGATAGGTATAAAGACGAAGAAGTTAGTATAACTATCTGTGGTCATAGTCTTGGAGCTGCACTCGCGACGCTTAATGCTGCGGATATTGTGGCTAATGGTTATAACCGACCAAAGAGTCGTCCTGATAAGGCTTGTCCAGTTACGGCTTTTGTCTTTGCTAGTCCTCGTGTTGGCGATTCTGACTTTAAGAAACTCTTCTACGGGTACGTACATAAACTTTCACGTCTAGTTTTTCCAATTCATTTTTGAGAAAACATATATAAAAAAAAAATCAGATATCAATAATTATTTGACGTCTAGTTTATACAAAACACGAAGAGACACTTTTTATTTTGATACCAAATAAATTTATATAAACTAAGAAAATTAAACTATCGTGATAAAGTTAAGATATATATATAATCCCCCTTCTTTAAATTTACAAATTAGATGTGATTAATACCATTGACTAAACTTTATTATAAAGGTCCCAAATTTATTATATATAGCCTATCTAATATTATATGATACGTTCTTTACATATGAAACATGACTTATAATGCAATGAAAAAACAGATTGGAAAATCTGCGAGTGTTACGGACAAGGAATCTACCGGACGTAATTCCGATATATCCCCCGATAGGTTACTCCGAGGTTGGAGACGAGCTTCCAATAGACACAAGAAAGTCACAATACATGAAATCTCCAGGAAACCTGGCGAGCTATCACTGCCTAGAGGCTTACTTGCACGGCGTCGCAGGAACTCAAGGAACGGCCAAAGCTGACATATTCAGACTCGATGTGAAAAGAGACATCGGATTGGTCAATAAATCAGTGGATGGGCTAAAAGACGAGTGTATGGTCCCTGGAAAATGGAGAGTTCTTAAAAACAAAGGCATGGTCCAACAAGACGATGGGTCTTGGAAGTTACTGGACCATGAGACTGATGATAATGAAGATTTTGATTTGTGATATATTTTTTTTCTTACTTTGTCAAGTGTCGATGTTTGAAAAAGACGGTATTATTTCATATATGTAACGTTTCATCTTATTCTTGAATTTTATTTATTTAACCCAAAATAAACCTTATTTTTTTTATTTCTTTAATATTTTGAATTTTAAAATCATAAGCATTTATTTTAAAATCTTGTGTTAGTTTGACAATTATTAATTTATTATTGATGTTTAGAGTAAAATGTATTTTCTTTTATCTATTTAACGTTGTATTTGACCCTAAATGGCTGAATGCATGTAGAATTATGAATGTCTGCCCATACGTTGTGTCATTGTGTGTGGTACATATGTCTTTGTTATGTATTAATAAGTTAGTTATAAGCATTTATGTTCGTTTTGTACAGCTGGGAATCACCTCCGACTCGACGATTACGAATAATCAAGTGTGGCAACTGGCAAGAGGGCAGAACAAGGAAAAGACAAGAACGTCGACATAATTCGTTATGAGAAAGAAGTTTTTGGTTCGATAGACATACTTTTTAAGTTTAATTCTTATACCCTGTATGACTATATCTGTACTAAAAATATGATATTGTAGCGACCGTACGTACGAAACATCTTGAGAGTTGAGAGACTTGTTTTATCTGTTTCGGGCCTTTTGGCACTATTAGTAGTCGACCAAAGTTAGTTGTGTAGAAGACCCTAATTGGTCAAACATGACTTATATTATTAAGGCTCTATTATCTTACATGGCACTTTCATCCAAATAAAACATGACTTATATAGTTATATATAATGCAATGAAAATCAGAACGGTTCATCTGAGAGTGTCACGGACAAATAATATCCAGGACGTGATTCTGATAACTTAGGAGCCTCTAATAGGTACAAGAACGTCAAGATACATGAAATCTCTAGGAAACCTCGCGGTCTTTAAATTGCCTAAAGGTTACTTGCACGTCGTTGCTAGGGATTAAGGAGCGACCAAAGCTGACTATTCAGACTCGATGGGAAAAGAGACATCGGATTGTTCAATAAATGAGTGGATATGTTCAGAAACGAGTGTATGGTCTTAGGAAAATGGAGCGTTATTAAAAACAAAGGTCCGGTCCGACAAGACGATGGCTCTTGGAAATTATTATAGACAATGAGATTCTGATTGATATATGATAACGATTTCTGATTTTTTTGGTTTCTATTATATATTTTTTCTGGGGGTCAAGTGTTGATGCTTGAAATGATACCATTTATATGTCATGCAGTCATGTTTTAAAAGATAAACCAGCGGATAACATCACAAAGGAACGTACGTACTGTATCTCCAGAGTCAAGACTCACAATATTATTTCTGTTTCTTTGTTCCTAACTTCCTAATTTCCTATTGTAATCTCAGGCAGGTGTGTTGTGAACATTAATGTGACTTGTCACCATATGAATTTCTAATAAGAAAGCTCAGAAGTTATGAAAAAACATGCACATAATATTTAACCACGTTTTAGTTTTCTATTGAATGTTTTCTACACGTTAATAAATAAACGCAATAATGTTTCTTCTGGATTCTTTTTCGCATTTAAATATATAAATTAGTAGAACAGAAATATTACTAGAGTTTGTGATTTAATAGTTTGCATCAGTGTTTGACAACTCGTGAATCCAATCTAGTAGACCGGGAAAAAACAACAATCCAAGATTTACTTATACTGCAATGTAGATAAACTACAATTACGTTTCATTAAAAAAAAAGCTGAATGATAATATTTTTGTATGGAGTTGAGACTCAGTCACTCAATGACCAAAGCGCTTCACATATAATCAAACCATACGTAGCTTATGTCTAAGCAATAAATCAACTATATTGGCTGATAGATAATCTCAACGCCACTTGCATTTTTTGATCAAGTATTTAATTTCATAGATGAACTACTTTGACAAATTCTTCGTCCACTGGCACATCATGTGGGTTTCACATCATGCGAGTTTTTATTATATCATGTGGAGTATGTATATCTATCGTTTTCACGCGTCATTGATTAAACTAAATGACGAAAAGAGAATCCTAGAAAATAAAACAGTTAGTTTTTGCCTCTTTTCATAACAACATGTATAATGCAAATTTCAATATATGGATGGTACGTAAATGGTAACTTATTAGTGATAAAACATTCACACTAACCCTATTTTTAAACTAACTTAAAGGACGCTACGCACCAACAACTGTAACACAAATCAGTCAAATATACATATATATATGGTCAAATTCCAATGAAAAATTCATCCAAATAACTTATAAATTATATATACAATATGAAACTAGTAAGAGTTTCTCGATCACAACCAGTTTGTTATTTGACAATTTCAGATGTTCCAAGTCAGAGTCAAATGAAACACATACAAAACAGAACTCGTAATGGTCCTACCTCAAAATAACAAATTAAAAAAAAAAAAACTAAAATGACGTGAAAACAAAAGTTTTTTCCTAGTCAACATGAAAATTTTGAATATGGTGATACCAAATTAGGATATAAAAAGGCATGCAGCTCATGAGCAATCCATAAGGCTAATACCAAACAACAAGAGCTCGACATAAAACTCATTCTTGCCTTGTCTCTTAAGCCATTTCCTTCTTTCTCTTAACCTAATTCTAGAACAAAAGAGATAACAAAATGGAACACGCTTCGACCGTGAGATTCTCTAGCTGTCGAGGTGTTGCGTTTGAGATAAAACCTCATGCAGATCCTTTTGCTGTCGTTACGATCGATCAAAACCGCAACGCAAACTTTGATCGTGAGGGAACAAGCAGCAGGTTTCGACGTCCATGGGATTTCTTGAGAAACCCCTCGAAAGTTTTCCCTTCATCGATTCAACACTCCATGAGCCGAGCCAGCAGCCATTTCTGCGATCTGGACTCCGACATGGACGATGACGAAGAAGACAAAGATGATATTTTCTACCTAGAAGAAGGTGGGATCAAGGAAGGAAACGAAGAACACAGTGAGACGGACGAGAAGCCTATCCTTACATCTTCCCTAAGCAAACACAGCGAGAAACCGCAGCAACCACCGGTCCCAAAGAAACGTCCTTCAAGACTCTCCATCATACTTCTTGATCAAGGGTTATTCACTGTGTACAAGCGTCTCTTCGTCCTTTCGTTGTCTCTGAACGTCCTAGCTCTTGTTCTCGCGGCCACGGGAAACTTTGCTTACGCAAGAAACAGAGCAGCTCTGTTTTCAATCGCCAATATTCTTGCCCTAACTCTCTGTAGAAGCGAAGCCTTCTTGAGAATCGTTTTCTACCTAACCGTATACCTCCTCGGACGCTCCTTTGTCCCTCTCCGCATCAAAATCGCGGTCACATCACTCTTACAAAGCCTCGGTGGCATCCACAGCGGCTGCGGCGTTTCCTCCATAGCTTGGCTCATCTATGCACTGGTTCTCACACTTAAAGACAGAGCCAACACTTCAAACGCAATCATAGCAGTTGCGTCTGCGATTCTCTGTCTCCTCTTCGTCACTTGTGCTGCTGCGTTCCCACTTGTTCGCCATTTACACCACAACGTCTTCGAACGCATCCATAGATTCGTCGGCTGGTCCGCTCTAGGACTTGTTTGGGTGTTTATAATTCTGACGATTTCATACGATCCAATATCAAGATCCTACTCCGATAATCTCGGCTCGAAGCTGATCAAAACACAAGAGTTTTGGTTTACGCTAACAATCACGATCGCGATTTTGCTCCCTTGGTTAACCGTGAGACGCGTTCCGGTTGACGTATCATCTCTCTCTGGCCACGCGTCGCTGATCAAATTCGGAGGAGGTGTGAAATCAGGGATCTTGGGTCGGATCAGTCCATCGCCGTTGTCGGAATGGCACGCTTTTGGGATAATATCCGATGGTAAGACATCGCACATGATGTTGGCTGGTGCTGTCGGCGACTTCACCAAGTCCTTAGTCTCAGAGCCTCCAACACACTTATGGGTCCGTACGGTTCACTTCGCTGGCTTACCCTATCTAGTTAACTTGTATGACAAGGTAAATAAATATCTCTTTCACTTTGGCTCTAAAACTAGTAACAGCTTCTGCTGACTTTTTGAGGGTATATTAATCCAAGTAGCCGTTGACATAACAGTTGATCACTAAGTTACTTTTTATTAATCATCAAGTTGTTAAAGAATAAAAATACCATTTAATTATGAAGATTGGAATATCACGAAACTAATAAAAATTACTTATTTGTGTTCACAGGTATTACTAGTGGCTACTGGTTCAGGGATTTGCGTATTTTTATCGTTTCTAATGCAACCGAGTAAGGCTGAGGTATATTTGATATGGGTGGCAAAAGGATTAGATGATAATTTCGGGTCGGAGATTGTGAATAGGCTTAGAGATTATCCTCATCAAGACAGGCTCATAGTTCACGACACTGCGGTTCTAGGACGACCCAATGTATCGGAAATGACCGTGGAAGCTTCCAAGAAGTTTGGAGCTCAAGTTGTTATTGTTACAAGCAATCCTGAAGGAAGTCGCGATGTTGTTAATGCTTGTAAGGCTTCTAGTGTTCCTGCTTTTGGTCCTATTTGGGATTCTTAATTACATTACACTACTCTTTTATTTTATTTTATTTTTTTGGGTAATTACTTCTCTGGGGCTACGTTATTTAGTTCTTTGTCGGTTATTTAACAATGATGTAAACTTCAGACTTGTATGATATTTTCGCAATAAATGAAATCTTATCAAGAGTAAAGAGTTAATAAGACAAGACATGTTCATCATGTAGTATATATGACAATGACTTTGTTGTTAACTACTTAATACCTCCACAAAAGTTAAGCAACGTTGTGCCAACTACGAAGACTTTGAATATGAGTTAGAGTGCAATCCGAAACAAAACAAAAGAGTGCAACTTTGACTTCTCAGTTCTCATCATATACAACGTACTATAATACAAGATTTGATCAAGTCAAAAATTACCCAAATGATCTGAGGTATTAAAAGTTGTGGTCAACAGAAAATAGGACTGTACATAAGTACACTTGAAGAAGTTGACTTTTTCATAATTAGGTGCATGATCAAATTATTATTATGCTTCTCTCTAGGTTATTTCACCGTTTTGTTATGACATTGTGTATTAACACGTTCAATCATTTATCTACGCAGGAATCCAGGACCTATACTTAATGGTTTTCTTGTAAATATGTAATACATGTGCATATATATCTTTATGAACATATGTTTCTTCCCTATTGATTATGTAATATACTAGTACATAATAGCAAAAAAAAAAAACATATTTGGACCAAATTTTAAATGTCGATGACATAAACTAATCAATTACCAATTACGAGTGTCCCAATAATACATGTACTCTAGAAACCTAGAGAATCATAATATTATCAATTCTCCAACGTTTCATTATAAGTGTTCACACTTATTAAAAACCTATTTTCTGTAACACATGTTTTGTTTAATTTAATTTATTAAATGGATGGGCGATAACTTTCGTTAACACATGTTTTGTGTAATTTAACATCTAATTTATTAAATTATTTAGGATTTCAAATTTAATATTTATCTTTTTGTAAAATCCCATAAAATAAATTAGACATCCACATAACAAAAAGAATACATATGTTAGCAGAAATTTACTTTTCCTCCAAACTGAAAGGAAACATAAATCAATCGCATCATTGTTTTTGTTTTATTAAATTACAGTACATCCCATTTGGTCTAATGAAAGTTGATTAAATTTATGTAAATATAATCAATCATAGATGCTTTTACTTGTAACAAAAACACTTTTGTATAATGGTACAAAATGTGAAAAATCTACTCTGTGGTCCATAAACACACATAAATACACTCAAATGGACCACTAGAACAAAATCTATGTACCAAAATAATTGTATACAAATGGACCACCAAAGGGTTACTCAAACAAAAACAATATCAACACTATTATGGAAATAATCCAATTTGGTTCGGTTTACTTCAACCACTCCGGTTCTAATACGGATCGACCCAACATCTATCATCCCTCACAGCTTTCTTCCAACGTTCCTTGAATCTCTTCATCTCTACAAATGATTTCATCCTCACTTCTGGTCTATTATCTACTTCACGAGACTCTAATGATTCCTGTGTAACCTCAACCAGATTATATTACATACGATTATAAATCAGAACTGATTCAAGAAATATATACAAACCAGACCTGATTCAAGAAACATATACCAAACAGAACTGATTCAAGAAACATATACAAAACACTTGAACGCACGAACATACCGTTGATTTTGGGTCTGTCTCATTCCGCACAGAGAGTGAAGCGGTTTCAACCACACCTAGCGTTGGAAGGCCGTAATGAACTATGTACTCCGCATCAACAACACCAACATTTTTCTTTCTGTCACCCTATTTGCAACCAAAAACGTGTTAATAAGAACATCGCACAATCAAAGGAATGCTGTATCAAAACCAGTCAAGAATTAAAAAAATGAGTTAGAAGAAGAAACCAACTTGAGCGCAGTAACCAAGCTGCGTATCTAGACCCCAAGCATGGATCAAATCATTCTGCAACACAAACCAAATCATTAAACAACCCCCAAGGAAAAACCAAAGACTCTCGACTCTATGAACAAAAGACGAACGCCTATATATATATGCTAAGGTTACCTGAATCATATACCAAGAACATCTCCATGCTCCTCTAGAGAAAACAGGTGCCATCATTTCTACCCATCTACATATCCAAGGTACAGGTTAATTAACCGAAAAATGAGGGAGACAGAGAGTTTCCCGGGCACTTTCGGGATATGTTAAAAAACATTTACCCGATGCAGGGAGGATTGGTGCTATGGTCATCACATCGCCCGCTACCTTTGTATTTATACATCCTCCTGTGAACTTTTCCTTTCTTGCGACGAGCGGTTATTGGATGATGCACTTCTGATTTTGTAGTGTCGAGAGCCGGTTGCGATATCTGAAGCCCCTCTTCTTTCACAATTGATAGGTATCTAATATGAGAAATGATTTCATCATGTAAATGAAAAAAAAAAGGAGAAAGATAGAAAGAAAAAAAAAGTGACAAATCCTATATTTGGCAAATTACCGTTGAGGATTGAAATGAGCTACACCAAGATCCTCGTCCCAAAGAAATATATATTCATACTCTGCAACTATATCGGGATGTAAGAATCGCTTGGCGAACCACCTGTGACATTATTCAATTGTAAGATAATACATAAATGTTGGTGAGAATAAAAACAAGAATTACAAGAAACGGACCATTTTGTTTGATTCATTACGGAAACATGAATTGCATGCTCATTCCATGGATACTGCTTCCAGTCATCGACAACACCATCGTAATGAAAAAGCATGACCGCAAAATCTCGAGGAGAGAACTGAAATCACAGCAATTTGCATCATCAGTAGACACAAAAAGGCGAAATATCTTAAACTCATAAAAGCAAGCAAAAGACAAGACAAAACCTTTTGGATAACTCTGTTGACTAGCTCCTTTTGCTTGATTCCAACTGCCATAGCTAACAAACTCATTGACGGGTTCGGACTTCTCTGAAAGAACAAAAGATCAAGCTACACAAATAAGAAGCCATGAATATTTACAAATCTTATGAGGAATCTGAAATTATTTTACAACCTTTTTTGTGTGATCATAGTTCCATAGATGTTGCGTTTCCAAGTTCGATGTCCTCTCGATTATTCCTTGCGGTAATGCTTCTGTACCCAATGGTTTCTTGAAATCCTAGTGAAAAACATATATTTGAAAGATTTTGACATCAAAGAATCTCATAAAGCTCACTCCAAGAAGAAGAAAAAAAAAAACAGAACTTCTTCCAAAACAAACCTCACACGTACGGGTTGATGTTGCGTTCTGCATCTTATCAGTGATCTCCCACTTTAGTAATCTCTGTAAATTAAAATCTTGTGCATTAAAATCAGAATACACTATTGTGGTTACTATACCTATTAATCTTGAGTAGACCATAAAATATGAATTCTTCAATAATCTCATGTTCTTCAAGATTGGGAAAAATACAAATGACTGATTACACAAGAAAACAAACAAACTGAACAATCCAACCAAAAAAGACAGCATCATACATGAGCTTAAGTAATGTCAGATGAAAAAGAAATATTTACCTCTTTAAATTCTTCAGCAAGGTAAGCATTGGCAATGAAATAAGCACCACAGATCAGAGCAGCAGTGATTAAGATACTAAAGAGACACGACCTATTCATCGAACCCTGCAATTTATAGCATTGATAACGAGGCTTCTTCAGAGAAAAGAACAAAGAACAGAACCTTTAAATCATACATCAGAACACTGAACAAGGTTATAAACTATCTGAAGAAACTTGTCTGATTCTATAGGACAATATAATAAATTGACAAGAGATTTTGTAGATTTTTCCCCAAATGTATACACATGAGAGGAAGCTCTAGCTAAACAAATCCGTAAATTATAAAAGAAGAAGTGAAATGCATTAATTTTATCATAAATCTTCAACAATTAACCAAACCATAGACACACAAAAATTGGATATATGAATTCAATAAAAAGGAGACAAAAGGAAGAAGAAAAGCTTTGTCTTTTACCTGTTTCATGAATTCGGGTGATTTGATTTCTCTGTTTTCTGCCTTTTTGGTGTTTCTCTGAAAAAAATCGAAACTTTTCTTCCTCTCCTTAAAAAAAGGTTTTAATTTTTTTGAGACAGAATAAAAACCCTTTGGTCTAGAGAAGAGGAAGAGACCAAAAGCAGAAGAAGAAACGAATATCCCGAACTTGGTCTGGTCGTTTTATATTCTCGTCTCCACGAATTCTATACCTTTACACAAAAGAAATAAAGAATCTGTCTACAAGTCTAAGAGAAGCTTTAGCTAAAGCATAATTTTCATTTTACTCCATTAACCCAAAAACGGAAGTGATCTAATTGAGCTGAAGGAAGAAAAAAAGATGAACACTTTAGAAACGGAATCTAAAAGAATTGATGAGGAAGATTGAAGTGATGAAGTCAGAGAGACACGTTTACGAGATCGTGTAGCGATTTCAAGGGTTCTCAGGAGACAAATGCAGAGAGAGAGAGGAAAGTGGTAAGTGGTGAGAAGACGTGGTTGGTGCTTATTGGCTGTAAATTTATTTCATTTAAGTAATTGTTTTTGAGCCGCGTGTGTATATTTGTCTCTCGCTTAGGAATTTGAAAAACCGACCGAGATATTATTTGTTGTCGTCATAATTACCAGATCAGATTAAAAATTCATAACTTTTTGCAAAAAAAGAACAAAACTTTATCTGAATTTTTATTTTTTTCCGGCGGGGTATCTGAGAACCCTGAAGCTTCTCAGTCTCTCAATCGCCGATGTTTTCATTAACTTTAATTCAACCGCGTCTTCGGATTTCAGAGATTCCGGTAGCTCAAACCTTTAAATCTCCGACGATTTGTTACAGTAGCGATTCAAGAACGAAGCGAGATGAACAGAGGAACGGGAGATTATCTGGGTTTCGACTTGTTTCTGGAAAGAGACCTTCTTTTAATTCGGGTTTTAGTGATTCTTTCGGATTACAGTTTAAAGGAGAGAATTTGAATGGTGATGCTTCATCTTCTTTCGATAGCGAACGGGTAGATTATGCTCTGTTAGCAGAGTGGCTTCAGTCTTCTAATGGGATGCGACTCATTAAAAGGATTCACGCGATGGCTTTGAAGTGTTTTGATGACCAAGTGATCTATTTTGGTAATAATTTGATTAGTTCTTGTGTGAGGCTCGGGGATTTGGTTTATGCACGTAAAGTGTTCGACAGTATGCCTGATAGAAACACTGTTACTTGGACTGCCATGATTGATGGGTATTTGAAATATGGTCTTGAGGATGAGGCTTTTGCGCTGTTTGAAGACTATGTGAAGCATGGGATACGTTTTACGAACCAGAGGATGTTTGTGTGTTTGTTGAATCTGTGTAGTAGGAGATCAGAGTTTGAGTTAGGGAGACAGGTGCATGGTAATATGGTGAAAGTTGGAGTGGAAAATCTCATTGTAGAGAGTTCTCTTGTTTACTTTTACGCGCAATGCGGTGAGTTAACAAGTGCGTTACGAGCATTTGATATGATGGAGGAGAAGGATGTGATATCGTGGACCGCGGTTATATCAGCTTGTTCAAGGAAAGGGCATGGGAATAAAGCTATAGTCATGTTTATGGGAATGTTGAATCATGGATTTTTACCTAACGAGTTTACGGTATGCAGTATCTTGAAGGCTTGTAGTGAGGAGAAAGCGATAAGATTTGGAAAGCAAGTACACAGCTTGATAGTTAAAAGGATGATTAAGACAGATGTTTTTGTAGGAACTTCGCTGATGGACATGTATGCTAAATGTGGGGAGATATCTGATTGCAGAAAAGTGTTTGATGGAATGAGCAATAGAAACACGGTCACATGGACTTCGATTATAGCTGCACATGCTCGGGAAGGTTTTGGTGAGGACGCTATCAGCCTCTTCCGGGTAATGAAGAGGCGGCATTTGATCGCTAACAATTTGACAGTAGTTAGCATCCTTAGAGCGTGTGGATCTGTTGGGGCTTTATTGTTGGGGAAGGAGCTTCATGCGCAAATTATCAAGAATTCGATTGAAAAGAATGTCTATATTGGAAGTACTTTGGTTTGGCTGTATTGCAAATGCGGAGAATCTCGTTATGCTTCCAATGTCCTCCAGCAATTGCCGTCTAGAGATGTGGTTTCATGGACCGCTATGATCTCTGGATGTTCGAGCTTAGGACATGAATCAGAAGCGCTAGACTTCTTAAAAGAGATGATACAAGAAGGTGTAGAGCCAAACCCATTTACATACTCCTCGGCTTTAAAAGCTTGTGCGAATTCAGAATCTGTTCTAATAGGCAGATCAATCCATTCCATTGCAAAGAAGAATCATGCTCTGTCAAATGTCTTTGTGGGAAGTGCTTTGATTCATATGTATGCAAAATGTGGATTTGTCTCAGAAGCTTTTCGGGTTTTCGACAGTATGCCTGAGAAGAACTTGGTTTCATGGAAGGCGATGATAATGGGTTACGCGAGGAATGGGTTTTGCCGGGAAGCATTGAAGCTAATGTATAGAATGGAAGCAGAGGGATTTGAGGTGGATGATTACATATTTGCAACGATTCTATCTACTTGTGGAGATATTGAGCTCGATGAACCTGAATCTGTTGCAACTTGTTACTTAGAGACCTCTTGATCTTTCTTCTTTAAAAGCTTATTCCCAAGGATTCATATGATAAAGTTTCTGCAGGAGATGCATTCCGCAGTAGCACCAATTCACCAAATGTACAAATTCCGCAGTAGGATTTAATGGGCTTTATGAATAAATATGGGCCTTACTTGTAAAATCCCTTTAGCTCGAAATGAATCCATTTTTATTGTTTTTTGGTGGTAGGAAAATGAACCCACTTTTTTATCCTATGATTTTAATTTTTTTTTTCTGAACAAATCGTATGATTATAATTTAATTGAAAGATTCAGTTGAGCTGCCAATAAAGTGAGAAATAGAAAAAATATTATAAAGTGGGATCTTCTTTACTAATAATAATTAGAACGCACTATGAGATATTGTAATCAATTTTTCTCTAAGTTGAATCTTTAGTAAATATATATTATTAATGTACTTATATATGCTATATATAGTAGAGGATCAAAATATTAAGAGAATTTTCATTAATTTTGGTTTAGAATAATGACATTTTCAATTTAGGTAACGATCTTCTCTTTCTTGAATTAGCATGCACATTATACAAGGTCCCCACTTTGGCACAATGAACCGATTTGATCCTTTCTTGTTTAGTAATTTTTAATCTTTTGATGTTTATAATTTTTATCTCTAAAGTTTGATTCTTTTTGAATCTTAATGCTTAATTATTATTTAGTGCCGGATAAGACCTGTTGATTACTGACTATTTCGATTCGTAACAATTTTTCTAGTTTAATGGGCACAAAGTATATTTATCAACTAGTTGCCCCTTTCATGGTACTATTTTATTATATTGTGAAAACAGCGAATTTTAAAATTCATAGACTACATATTTCATATGTTATGCACTATTTTCGTAGCATATAGTACACATAAGTTTATACCCTATAAAGTATATACTATAAAGGGTGCCTACTGTTCTTTATGCTTAATTAGTAATAGTACTGATTTTTATTTTAAAACTAAAGCTATACATATGGATGTCAACACCATCATACATATTACATATTTTATATATGATATTAAAAGGATCTGGGGTAGATATATAACTCATTTCATTAGATTAATCTTTTTACGATATTGTATTTTTAGCTTTCTTGAACTATTTTAACCCTAACCAATTATGGATTTTATTTTCTACCTTTTATTTAATTTTGTTCTTTCTTCGTCTGCAGTTATAAGTCTTCCTCATACAATTTAGCTGCCACCGCCCTCCAGCATTGCTAATTTTGTGATTTCATGAGCTAATTAGGGTTTAAGATTTAGAATTTTATATTTAATTTCGAGATTTAGATTGAAACTTGTGTAAGCAGTAAGCTCCAATACCATATGAAAGTTTTCTATTTTCTAATTCTAATTAAAAACATAATTTCTGCTATAAGTAAAATGATGTAAGAAAGTTACTTTGCGTCCATGAACACCATATTTCTGCTAAGTCCGAAATATTTATGTCTAAAAGAAAACAAAAGTGTTAGTTATTGTGCTTAAAAATGTTTTAAGTAAATTAACTTTTGTTTTTATATACATGTTCATTACATCACTGCCGCATTTATATAAGATATAAATCGTGCGAATGTATACAATAACATAAAGAAGGTCACGATGCTTATAATATCTATTGAGTGGTATTAATCTATTTAAAATAAAAAGCTATTAATTTATAACTTGGCAATGGGTCCATTTGGGTCGTGTGATAAAGCCATTGTATAAATAGGTTTTGGCGTTTGCTCGTAAAATACAATTTGCTTTTAACAAAAAGAGAGAATTGCTTCGACGTAAAATACTATTATTTGCGTTCGCCGTCTTTTGTTTGTCGATAAAGGAGACTTTATTTGGTACTAGCAATTGACCCGCGCTGTGCGCGGGAGGTTTATAATTTTTTGTTAACTTTTTATTCATATTGTGATATTTTATTTATTTTTTAAATTGATTTTCAAAACATATTATAGTTATTTTCTCTTAAATTATTATCTTTCAATATTTAAATTTGAATTAAAAGAATTTTCTTATTGATCATGTTATAAACTAATATTTCACTTTCAATTTTATTTTTTCCCTTTAAAATTTTATATATACAATTATATAAATGTTTTTTTATTCTACCATAAATTTAAAATTTACTTACATTCTTAAACTCAGTAACACATTTAAAAATTTAAACTATCATCAATTTAAAATGAAAGTTGAATTATATTAATACCACTAACTAATAAAAAATGAAAGTATTTCTTATTTAACATTTCATTTATTTACATAATTTATTTAATTTATATAAATTTTCTATTAATTAAATAAGTAGCATAAATATGCACTAAATGAATGTTTTAAATTTATTTTAATGTAAAAAATGTGGCTTAGGTGGATGCTTATGTGGCATCATGAGAAGAGAGAAAAAGCTAACTTTATATATATAGATTTTGATGCCATTTACAGCTGATATTAAATCCCCCGGTTTTGGCCCTCACGTTTGTTAACTTTTAGGTCAATATGCTTTTTCATATTGGTATAAAAATGATAAAAGTAATGAATTTATTATATATGTGTAATGTTCGACATAATTTTTATTTAGTTTTCTTTTTATATGCATATGATTTTATTTTATTTTTTGTTAAACAATATGCATATGATTTTATCATAGGAATCTGCCTTTTTCACTCATGAATCATGATTCATGACATATCATCCATAGCGTGATCATAGTATTAGGTGTTTGGTTTACTGTAAAGCATAATTAATTAAAAGATTATAAACTGCCTTTAAGTAAAGTTTAATTTGTACGTTCGTAAATCCATCTTTGAAAAAATTGATGGACCAAAATCCATGGTCCAAACTCTTAAAGTTAAATAACCAAGATATGTTTTGTAAACTTCTCAAAAACTTCAAGTTTCGTTAAACAAAACCAAAAAAAAAAAAACACGACTTATGCATCAATTACAACTTTAACAAAAAAAATTATGATGGTCAGTTATAGTTGTTAAAATCAGCTAAATTGTCCACAATTTGCAGGGGTTTTGCAGATTTAAAAAAAAAGAGAGTAAATGATAGTTTTGGTAAGTTTACCCATGGCTTGTAGTCATGAAAATTTTCCACTTGATTTTTTTTTTTTTTGGCAGAAAACCCTAAATTAAAACGTATATCAAAAACAATTTTGTTTGAAGGGTTTACGAATGAATTGGATGTAAAAGAAAGCAGAGATGAATGTAAGATCGCATCCAACATTTAAATGTCGTTAATTGAAGGAGAGAGAAAAGCATGTAATTGTCTTCAACAGTTTAAACTTTTATTTTGATGTACGTACTATCAATCTAAAACACGAGTAGCTTGTTATAGGACGATGACCATCTATATCGACTACTGTTCTGTCTGTTAAAAAAACAAATCATATATATATTTGTTTGATTAATTATTAGTTTTAACATACTATATATATAAGTCACAATCAAAATATAAACAAACAGACGAGGTAATCATAAGACAGAATCATATGTATTACATGCAGGACCATCTAAACCAACGTCGCACTGACGTTGCTATATACATGTATGTAAATTAAAGTCACAAAATTATAATGAAAAGTAAAAGGTTGATAATTAAATAAATATATGGTCCTTGTTCAGTGTTGAACGTAAAATAACGAAACTTTAGAATATCTAACGTACGTACGATAACGAAACGTATAGAAATAATATATCAATAGAACAGTGAAATTTGTAATAATCTTACAAACGCAAATTCGCAATTTTATTACAAAAAAAAAAAAACAGACTCAGTGCAGCCAAATTATTTGATAAGAAAACACATATCTCGAAGAAATTGAAAACAACTCTTAATTATAAAGGAAACCCTAAATAACTAATGATGTTGTGGGTCGGGTCCTCCTGGACTTAATCTCTCTGGAGTTTTCCCGTGGCTGCTGCTGCTACCCGCAGCTTGATCATTCGCTACATTCGGACTAGAAGCTTCGCTTGAAGGGCTTAGACCTTTCACCTTCACCCCGACAGGTGCCTGCTTAAGAGGGCGGCTTCCAACGGCGACTGAAGATAACAGAAGAAACAAGAAGAAGCATAGAGTGAAGCTTAACTTAGCCATTACTATTAGATTCTATATTTAGAAAAGCAAAAGATATAAGAGGGAGAGAGAGAGAGAGAGAGAGAGAGAGAGAGAGAGAGAGAGATTAGAATTGGGAAGTAGTAGTTCACGTGGAGTGTATATGAGGAAAGAAGAGATCTCAGGATGGTTTCTATATATAGAGTTTTATTTGAAGGGTTTCTAGTTGTGGACATGGGTCTAGCTAGCTTAGGGCTTTAGTGCTCATGCCAAGTGCAAGCATGAGTTGTCACCGAGGACAGTTTATCTCGTTACCTAAATTCTTCTTCATTAACAAAAACTTGTATAATAATCATATTAAACCAGCTTAGCAAGTGACTCTTGCGAGTTGCAAAATGCAAATTGGTGCTTTGAATAGTACAAAAAAAAATGATAAAGATCAACGCATTACAGTATAGTACACATATTTAATACGATCGACAGCTTAATATTATACATATTGTGTTAGGGGCTAGGATTGGCCAAGTCCTTTTTTAGACTCATGTGCGATCCATTTCTATACACTTGTTGATTTGTTAGGTGGCCTTGTCTCCTGGATGAATTTTATACTAATCCTCTCCCAGAAAAAAACTAGGTGAGAATATATATATATATATATATATATATCAGTGGTTACAATGCATTTTGCAGTCTAGATCAATAGAGTAAAATAACCGGTACGTAAATAAAACCAATGTTTAGTCTCAAATGATGTCGAACGTATGAGTTCCCAATCCAATCTCTTTTGAAGGATTTATCGTCATTGCGGTGTCAATATTTGTCAAACCCTTATGGCCTTATCGATCGAGTCATGCGCATGCGCGGTCGTTTCACTTTCATGTATTTTGAACATTCGCTGATTTGTTACTACCGCGATTATGAAACAACATATAAACTAATCTCGAAACATATATACACGACCAAAAGTAAATGTAGTGTATTAAAATAAGGAGCTTGGAGATACAGAGTTTTATCCATTTATACGATCGTTTCCGTAATTACATCATCAAAACTAAGAAAGATATGAATCTCATGAATATTCTTTACATTGGACTGTTAAAAGAGACGAGATAAGCGACGGCTTTAAGTGCTAATATTATAATAAATGTAAAATAATCATGTCGATAAAGCAAAAAATATTCAATACCAAACCTTACACCATATATTTTATAACTCTCGACCGTCCCTATCCAGTGATATATATGTGCATGCGCACACACAAATATTATAATACGTATGTGTGAGAAAGAGAGAGTTAATAATACGAGGTAATGATAATGGACGAGGATGGTGATTCATGAAAATCCAATAAGATAGAAAAGGAAAGGTGTAAAATATGAAAATTGAGGTCAAAGGGCGAGTGCACTTATATGTGTCTTTGTGTTGGTTTTGGATTGGTGTGGAGTTGGACATTTTCACTATTTTTCTATCTACAAATTTTTGATTCATATCAGGAGATTTCATTACAAGAAGAATATTCAAAAAAGTTTCAACCCCCAAAAAAAAAATATATATTCTTGAGTAAGGATATTATAATATGTGTATTGTCAATTGTCGGGACGTGTGGTAGTGATGGTTTAAGATTTCCACTAAGTCGAGGTTTAAGTGATTTAGTTAAAAGGATAAGTTTCGAACCAATCACATTGTAATTATGTTTTAACTGATGAATAACTTCTTATCCAAATCAATATATGGTGTCATACCAAAATTTGACTGTCAAAAAATATTATGCTACACATCAGTAAATCACTAGAGCATTTTTTACTCATGATGACATATAGAATGAATTCAAAAAAACAAAAATTTGATGAATTTTGTGAGAATACAAAAAAAAAGACTGGGAAAGAATTAGCAATCACTAACTTTACTAGATCAAATCACATGTATACACTGTGTAGAGTATTATTTGTTGATTTGGGGATACAACTATACTGATATTGAACAAATAATTAATCTGCAAGAATCATAACCAGAGTTGTATTCATGGAAATAAATCTTGTGTGTTTTGGTACATATGAATAATGCTAATGACGGCCTAATACAAAATGTGAATACAGATTCCATAAAAGGAAAAGAATCCATCTAGAGGAAGAAAAAAATCATCTGAAATTTACACAAGAGAAGGTCGAAGAAGAAGTAGCAGCCTTGAGACCAACAACACCAGATCTTCTCTTCATCCATTTTGGATCTAGTGATAACGATGGCGAAGAGGGAACGTGACGAATCGTAAACGAAGAGGACAGTGTTGATGACGAAACAAAGAGATTGGTGATGTCTCGAAGAGGCTTCCTAGATCTTTTTCTTTTTATTCTGATTTGGGTTTTTTCTTTATCAATGGATGAAGAAGAATCTAGAGGCTTGGCAAGTATCGTGGCCATGTTTGAAGGTGGGATATTCTCTTTGTTGTCGTTTTGAGACTTCAAATCAAGAGCAGCCATTGATGTAGCAGAGAAGAGATAAGAGAAAGGGAGAGAGGTGAATTGAGGATCGAAGGAGGAACTGAGGAAATGTATATGAAGAATGTGAATAGGAGGGACTTTGAACCAGATTTTTAGAAGTGACGGATCTGAGATTTTGATATTTGAAGTTTTCATTTTGTCTTGTGGAGGGATTTTTCAGAATTGTTCTAAAAATTCTGAAACTTGAAAGAGGGCTCTGTGTTATGGAGGGAACGAAGATGATTCTCTGTTTCCTCTATTTTGGTTTGAAATTTTTCGTTTTGGTTAAGAAGTTGTTGACTTTTGACTTTTAAGACCAGACGCCGTATTGTTTTTTACGCGCCATTTGATTTTAGTATCTGCGCCAAGAGGATGGAACTACCGGGTTTTGTTGTTTAAAAAAAATTAGAAATATAATTTTATCAAATTGGGCTCAACAACACTGATTCTTATTGAGCTCTATTTTTGAGCCCATATAGTTTTCAGCTGTAATGTACATGTACATTGTACCACTACTTGGTTTTGGGACCTTCATGTATTTGTGTGTGTATACATTCAAAACTCATTTCATTTTGAAGTGGCCCTAACCAAATATTAAGTTCATTAACCATCTAAACTCGTGTAGTTCGTCTAATGTCTATGGTGAATTGGTACGTCTTTCACGTGTATTGAACTCTTTCATTATCAGTTAACCATCAAACTTTAATATGTTATACATTTTACGTGTTTTCTTTATTGTCCAGCAAAATGAGAAAGAGGATCGAGTTACCTGAACTAATATGACGTCAACCTTTCTGAACTTTTCACGATTACGTGTTGGTGTAAATCCACAGAACCTATATAACCTCGGCCCAACAGGACATGTCACCAGGTCAAGAAATGAACAATCGGAGTATACTTGAGCCTTCAGATAATATCTCTTGAGATAGTTTCAGAGAAAATAAAAGGGTCATGATTCTAACCTCTTAACGCAATAAAGTTGTTTGAGTGTTCATCATGTGTCCCTTATAGTCAACTTTGCTGCGAACTTCTGGACCATACGAATGTTTCTGATTATTAAGGGTAAAACATAAAAGAGTCTCCATCGCTATAAGCGATACGTAGACAAAATCCAATTAACAAAGCAATAAAAAGGATATCTTGTCTTCATATAAAGGATGGTTGAGCATCAGCAGCTTATTATTGTTTACTACAGCACGGACAAGTAACTCTTTCGCTTCCTCATGTTTCTTCTTCAGAATGTTGCAAACCTGCAAATGGAACAAAAAGGCATAACTATAAAGATTAGAAATGTATGTACTATGAGAATGTTCCTGATCAAGAAGAGGCCTCTGCAACCTCTGTTTATATATTTACAAACTTACATTGTCGAGTTCTTTTGTATATGCTTCAGCTTTCTCTATGTTATCAGCATTCTCCGTGATTGGGATCTCCAGATTTGCCATGTTTATGTTCTGGTAATGAGACTTAGTCCGTGGACTTTCCTTGACAAGCTGTTTGGTTGTATTATTATCTATTCTACTCTCTTGGCTACAGAACTGGAAAAATCAATTGCATGACAAGTGTTAAGTAAACTAAACAAAAAAAGCTTGTCATGATAACAATAATCAAAGATCTGTTGGTGAATCGAACCTTTCCTTGTTCAGCTCTATGTGTGAGCTCCTCAACGTTCCTGTGCAATCTCAGCCGTTTTATATGTAAGAACTAATGCAGCAAAATTGTAGATATAGTTTAGATAACTTAAATTTGAAACCTGTTTTCTTTTGGCGGCATGGAAAAGCGTTTGAGTTGTGGCTCCAATGATCTATCTTCATCCTGTGGAAAAACAAAACTTTTCTTCGAGCTCCAGATATGTTCAGGAAATAAGAACATTGAAAATCTGAGTCGAAGAATAAACCATATCAAGAGCTTTCCGCTTTAAAGAAGACGGGCAGTGCAGGATTTGCACTTTGTCTCTAGGAACCAAATGATGAATCTCAGAGATTTTTTTAACTGGTGCTTCGGTATGTTTCTCCTTGGGTAGGGAAGAGCTAACTTCTGGTTGCACTCCAGAACTGGGTTGGTCTTTATTTACTCCAATGGTCCTATAGCAAAACAGATAACCAAATTTAGATTGATATATATATATATATATTAAGTTTCCATACTAGAACCTGTTGTGGGCTCCTTTTGTACCTTTGAGTTTTCAAGGCACGCAGATCAGACATAATATTTCCAAGTTTAGGCCTTTCAAGAGATACGATCTTGGACGTCTGCAAAGATTCGGCTCCAGAACTCAAATGTTTGCTTAGTTTCTGAGTCAAGCTAGAAGCATCAAGTTTTGAGCTGTGACAATTCAAATGCAAGGAAGCTTAATACATAACATTCTAATAAAAGTTCCTCGAGATAAAATGTAATGGCTACTAGTTTATTCTTTATACATAATGAGTGCACATTGGGTAGTAACTTGTTCAAGGACCATTGCAAGATATAGGAATCAAATGAATTAAAATGACTATCTCACCTTATATTGATCTGCAATATGGACTTCTCTCTAGTTGTATTTTTAGCTTGCAGCTTTAAATGATCCATCTGTCCAGCCACATTTTCTACGGTCTTGGCATTTGAATTGTTCTTGTGGATGATCTTTTCATGAGAACTGCTGGTAAAAATAATTGGACTTGTCCCCTTGCTTATATATATATATATATATATATATATCATCTTGAAAGAAAGAAAGAAGCTTATTCTTATGTTTGAGCATAAAAGCCCAGAACATTACCTGCTTGTATTATCATTTGGTGCATCCTTTTCGGAATCTGTGTTGACAAGCTCAACTGGAGATGTTCTAGTTGTGGATCCAGATAATGCATCTTTTATATCATGTCTGCATGGTGGAGAGAAAGGAAAGAGTGAAACGATAGTTACACAGAGGGCACAGAAAAGAAAATACTACCTCCTATCATTTGTAGGGTTCATATTCGACCCAATCCTTTCTCGGGTAACCGACTGAATCTCTGTATGATTTGGAGTGGACTCCAGCACATGGGATTGTGGTTTTTCTGTCTTCTTAAAAAATTTGGATCTGATAAGTCCTGAGTCTTTATTTTGCATGGCCCTCAAATCATTGATCCCTGACACGCTGCACTTAGTTCGCAGAATACAGCAATTGTTAAATATATTTCATCTTCAAAGTATACTGGCAGAATGACAAATTCGGGGAATAATAAAATTAGTTTTGGTTTCTAACCTGTGGGATGGCTTTAGTGGTAGCTTTGCACTTAAATCTTGTACCTGAGCAGTTTGGCTTGGACGAGTGGATAATTTCCCTGAGAGAGTTGTTTGAGAATGTCCGGTGTCTAGATCACACAGTGTTCCTCTAGTGTGATCCTGTATATCTGCTTGAGAGTCTGTACTCATTTCTTCCTGTTGATGTTCTATCTTGTCCAAACATAACTCAAAAGAGATGTTTGGTTCAGTTTGTTCATTCTTCTCATAACTTGATTCCATAGTGGAAATCATTTTCTTATTGGCACTCTGTTCTGGATCTTTAGGATAGTCTTCTTTTGTGCCAGGCCTGTAGATATCATGGATACCTGGACTGGTTTCTCTGCTTACTGAAGTATTAGCAGTCTCGGAAGCATGTAATGGAGTGGGTTCTGCGGTTTCATTAGAAGGACGTGCTTCATCTATTTCTTCAACCATTGAAGATGATGTCTTCAATGGTGAAGTGTTTATGAATTGAGGTCGGGTCATCTTCAATGGTGAAGTGTTTATGGATTGAGGTCGGACAGACATTGTATGAGTTCTTGAGGTTTTTATTCTTGGACCTTGAGGTGATTCCACCGCCTCCAAATTTTCCATGCTCTCTAATGTAGCTTGATCTGAGTGAGTGCTACTATCAACAACCATAGTAGCTGTTTTCTTGGAACTTTGGTTCTCTTTTTCAACTGAAGCCTTTACCTGAACATCTGAATTTGCCTTGGAGGGAGCTTGTTTAGGTATAGGTACCTCTGGACCAAAGTCCAAATCGTCTGACTTATCAATCTTTCTTCTAGCAGAAATTTCTTCGGTATCCGTGTTCCTGCTCGTAGTCTTGCCTCCCTTCTTCGGTGGGCTTGAACCAAGATCAAAGTCGTCTAACCTGCTCGCAGAAAAACATGGTGGTAAGTAATTTCTGATGACAGAGATAATTTTAAACAAGGAAATTGATTTATTGATGGATTCATACCCATCAAAATCATAAGAGAAGGCAAATGGATTTTTTTTCTGTTTTGAATTTTTACTAGATTTATCATCAGAGCTTTCTTTCGTTTTTGTGGTGTTCTTAGCTGGGCTTGAGAAGTCAAAATCTGGCATGTCCATTTTGAATGATGATAGATTTCCAAAATCTCCATCTAGATCGAAACCCATATCCCTGAGAAAGAGACAAAGAAACAGAACCATATGAGATGCTAGGCCTTGTTGTCAAGCAACAGAAACTTAGAGTAGTAATCCAATGATAAAGGAGGGAAAATTCCATAATTAAAATAATAGCTAGGGTGCAGACATGGTTTAAGAAGCATATCATATAGGTTACACTCACAGCTTGAAGGCATTCTTCTTATTTTTTGCTGGTGAGTCAAAGCCAAAATCCATTGGGTCATCTGTCATTGACTTAAAGTTCCATGTGTCCTTTTCCATTTCTTTGTCTGCAGGTAAACCATGGAAATGAAAATAAAATGGACAGCTTAATCACCTGTTTCAACCATGGGAACATTTTATGGTCTCTATATATGCCACAAAAATCCACAGCTGGCCAAAACTTGAGGAATTGAACAATGAGTAAGATAAAGAAGACTGAAAGATAGCCTGCATGATCTTTCTGATGTAACGTTTTTAACATCAAGTTATCAAGAAAGTCTATTTCATGATTCCTTCTCTTAAATGGTATTTTTTTCCACAAGTGGCAAGAAGGCATTCCACTAGCAATTCTATATTTTGTGTGATGTTTTGGATTCAATAATTTTCAGATCATAGAAACCATACCGAGCATTAGATCTTTCTCCTGAATATCTGTAGAACTTTTTTTAGCAGATGAAGACATGGCAAAATCTGTTCAGTATTACTCTTGAGTCTTGACAACCAACTGCAATGAAAAAAAACTATCATCACAATCATTGTAGCAATTACTCACGAAAGTACCTTATCTGTTATGTTAAGATGAACGCAAATCAACAAAAATATAAATCACGCTGCGTCACAAACTAAACTAGCATAGAAGAACAAATGTTATCACACAAATCATAAGTTCCATTAAAAGTCCTTCTAAAACTATCACTAAGGAGGAAACTAACAAATCAAACAGTGTGATTATCCGAGAAACAATCTAAACAAAGAAGAACAGTAGCAGGAATCACGTTATGAGATTCAACACCAATTTAACAAAACAAGCCATGCGATTCGTAGATTTTAGGTAAGGAGACGCCACTCGAGACTATTTTCAGGAAGAACGAGCCGTACGAAACTAAATTTAGGAGACAGAGTATCAGAAGAGAAAATCAAACATACTCTTGACATTAATCGAACATTTCTACGCACAATCGCTACCTCTAACATAGAAATGTTCACCGATTATGATCAACGATCGTCAAATCGTCGAACCTTAACTAACCGAAAAGCCAGAACAACGCAGAAGAGTGAGAGATTCTACTCAATCGATGAGCAACGAGTGTAGATTCTTACCGGTTGAATACAGTTGTATCGGAGGTAGGCGCTAACGGTCAACGTTCAACGGGAACAATGGCACCGGAGAGAAAATCGCCGACGGAGGAAATCGGAGGGGGAAGATTTGAAATTAGCTGGACTGCGAATGATTTTGATTTGGGCCTTTGTGAAACATTTATATATTTGAGCTATGACCAAAGAGCCCACCTTAAAAACTGAATCATATCTATTTGAAAAAGAAAAGAAAAAAGTTGAGTAAATTGAAATGTTATAGTTTTACGGGGACTGAATTAATAAATATTTATTTTCGAAAACGGAAAAATTGAAAAAGGAGATAGAGAAGGGAATCTATCTTCTTATCCTGACCACACAGAAAGCAAACTTAAACCAATAGAAACGAAATTTTTCTAAGGAGAAGAAAGCCAATCATAAGCTGAGTAAAACTCTAAGCTCACACAAAAATGGCGTCTCTTCTTGGAACATCTTCCTCCGCAATCTGGGCTGCTCCTTCGCTTTCTTCTTCTTCTTCTTCTTCAACACATTCGACCGCCACCATTTGCTTCAGGCCAGGTAACCCAACTCTCTCGAAACCTTAGACGTTACTGTTTTCACAATTCAAAATCCTGGTGATTCGAAGTGTTGAGTTCTTGTTTACAGGGAAAATCTCTGGAAGAAACTTCAATGCAGGAATCCAAATGAGGCCAAAGAAGAACAGGTCTCGTTACCATGTCTCGGTTATGAATGTAGCCACTGAAATCAACTCTACTGAACAAGTATGTGTGTATTTTCTGATGATGTTTTCTCATAAAGTTTCAGACTTTTCTTGATTTATAAAGCTTAGGAACATGTATATGATTGTTGTTGATGTGATGGTGGTTTTTGGGTTTTAGGTAGAGAAGTTTGATTCAAAGAAGAGTGCAAGGCCGGTTTATCCATTTGCAGCTATTGTAGGGCAAGATGAGATGAAGTTATGTCTTCTGTTGAATGTGATCGATCCAAAGATTGGTGGTGTGATGATTATGGGAGATAGAGGAACTGGCAAATCTACAACTGTTAGATCATTAGTTGATCTGTTGCCTGAGATTAAGGTAGTTGCTGGCGACCCTTATAACTCGGACCCGATAGATCCTGAGTTCATGGGAGTTGAGGTAAGAGAGAGGGTTGAAAAGGGAGAGAAAGTTCCTGTTATTGCAACTAAGATCAATATGGTTGATCTTCCATTGGGTGCAACAGAAGATAGAGTTTGTGGAACAATCGATATCGAAAAGGCTTTGACAGAAGGTGTAAAAGCCTTTGAGCCTGGTTTGTTGGCTAAAGCTAATAGAGGGATTCTCTATGTTGATGAAGTTAATCTCTTGGATGATCATTTGGTTGATGTTCTTTTGGATTCAGCTGCTTCTGGTTGGAACACGGTTGAGAGAGAAGGAATTTCGATTTCTCACCCGGCTAGGTTTATCTTAATTGGTTCAGGAAATCCGGAAGAAGGAGAGCTTAGGCCACAGCTTCTTGATCGATTTGGCATGCACGCACAAGTAGGGACCGTTAGAGATGCAGATTTACGAGTCAAGATTGTCGAGGAGAGAGCTCGTTTCGATAGCGACCCAAAGGACTTCCGTGAAACTTACAAAACCGAGCAGGACAAGCTTCAAGACCAGATATCAACTGCTAGGGCGAATCTTTCTTCGGTTCAGATTGATCGGGAATTGAAGGTGAAGATCTCTAGGGTATGTTCGGAGCTCAATGTTGATGGGCTGAGAGGAGACATAGTGACTAACAGAGCAGCAAAGGCACTTGCAGCACTCAAAGGAAAAGATCGAGTAACTCCAGATGATGTTGCAACTGTTATCCCTAATTGCTTAAGGCACCGTCTGAGGAAAGATCCACTGGAATCCATTGATTCAGGAGTCCTAGTTTCCGAGAAGTTTGCCGAGATTTTCAGCTGAATAGGAGATTTGATTCTGTGATCATTTTCTTAACTTTTCCTACTCTGTAAACGGTGAGAAGAACAAAAAACAACAAACAGGCAAATCTGATTGAATATAGAGTCTATGTTTTCTTCATTAAGTTGAGCTGTTCAAATTATATAAACTAAGTAAAATTCTGTATTTTTTGTTTTGCATCTACAAACGTTCTTGCATTGATTAAAGCTGTAAAACTATCAAGAAACGTTGTCAGAATCAACTGTTATTATGTTTTGAATTGCTGGTGGTAGGCTTGGTGCCTAGAAGGACATAGCATTTTGCCGGTTCTGGTAAAAGTGTGGAGCAACTTCTGTCAGCCAAGAAGGATTTATAGTTACGACATTCCGCATATATTGACGCTCTGTAGAGACAATAGATTGGTATACCACCCATTTCGGATTCACCCTGAAAATTGTATATACATATACTAGATAAGCTTTCACAATCAAAAGAAAGATCTTTAAACGTTGTGATGTTATTGAGGTTTTTGCTAGAACCATAGCAATAAGATTACTACTAACCTGAATAATACGGATGACGGGTGAATATAAACTTCTTCAGAGCCTCTAATGGTCTTGTATACCCCATTGCTGTGTGGCTAAAACACCATAACACAAAAAAAATATGAAATTTTGATTTCTCTAAAAAAACCAAAAAAGATATGTAGAAACAGAAATTTGAAATGGGTTACTCACTTCTAAGCGGCATGCATTGGCGAAAAACCCTGCAGTCACAGCTTTTCTCACAGCCTGAAATAAGGTAACATTAAAAACCTGCAACCTTTTTTCAGTTGAAGCAAGGTGGTAGGGTTTCCTACCTCCATGTCTCTGTCACATGATTTCAAGGTGATGCCTAATCTCCGAGCAATCCGTTTGAGTTGATCCCTGATTTCAACCACTTTTTTCTGCGAATGAAACAAAAACAAATTGGAAATGGAGAAAGGAAAATAATGACTAAATGCCAATTCTGTTATTATAAGCACCATGGATTGGTAGTTGAGGAAATTCTTGTAACACCACTGTGAAGACTTTTTTGACTCAAGAAACCCTTTGTATACATTCAGGAATGTGACATGGTCACCCTGGATAGACAAGAACAATGATTTTACTCAGTAAAAAAAAGATTTATAGAGATATAGTTTGCTCAAGGTTATATATACTTATATGGTAATATATACCTCCGCGGCTGCAAATCTCAGTTTGGCCTCATCCTGTTCTTTCTGTACTCCCCTGGCAATGACCCAAACGGACTGCATATACATCCCACAGTTTACACAGTTTCCATTTAGTTTCAAATCCCATAATTCAGATGGAAAGCAAAAAATTACATATGCAATAAGGTTCATACTTCTTATGCATTTAAAGAGAAGAAAAATTTAGTAGAGGAAACAGAGTGAAGAGCCGCCTTTACCTGGATAGAGAGAACTGCCGCTATTGTAATGATCTCATCTGAACAACCAAGCTCACTTGAAGCTAAAATCATTTTTGATATCATTGGGTCCTAGCAAAAATGACAACACTGAGACATGTTAAAATGCAGTAAGGATGAAAATGAATTTTAAAAATAACTCAAAGTTAGGAAGATAAAGTACCAGTGGAAGTTCTGCAACTTGGAATCCTGTTGGCGATGTGAGTTTTGCATCATCGTCGAGGATTTGAAGTGAATAGAGTACTTCAAGTGCCCGGATCATTGCTTGTGGGGATGGAGGTGAAGGCCAATCAAAACCCAATATATTATCTACGCCCAAAGCCTTAAGCTATATAAAAAAAAAAAATCAACAGAACTTGAACATCTCAGAACAAGAACTTCCTCTCATCTGGATATTTACAAACTGGATACAGTGAAAAGCTTGAAATAAAAAGAAACTTATCTCTGGTTTTGTGTAACACATCCCTAATTGTGAGTTCTTACAAAATTATATGACAAAAGCTGAGCAATTTTGTACCTGTATAACTGTAGAAACAAGATTCGACCTCTGCATCTCCGGTATGCCGTCTCCAGGCATTTGGTTGAGAAAATAATCCTCAGTGTAAAGCCTAGTTACCATAAAACAATTATTAGGAAGAGGATTAATAAGCACAACTAAACCATTAAATCAGACACAATTTAGTCACTTTTATAAACGGATAGAGAATTAATAACCTGTAACACTTCCCAGGTCGGACTCGCCCAGCCCTACCAGACCTTTGTCTAGCGGATGCTTTGGATATGGGTGCCACCACAAGACTTTCGATATCTGAAATCTGTGAGGGTAAGAAATGTTAGAGATGATTCAGAAATGTTCAATATATTACAAAGGACAGAACTAAAAGATATAAAAAAAATGGAGATGGACTTACTGGGTTATAGAACTTTTGCTTTGAGAAACCACTATCAATCACATAGACAACTCCCTGAATTAAAAAAAGCGAAACAGTTATTGTCAGTGATGATTCAACAATATATGTATGAGAGAAAAAACTTGGCAACGAAAAGACAATAATGAGGAAACCTTGCCTCTAAAGTCAATGATGTTTCTGCAATATTTGTTGAGAGTATAACTTTTCTCTTTCCTCTGGGAGTTGGAGTAAAGATCAATTCCTGATATAAAGAAATGAGAAAACAACAACTCCATCGTTTCAGTTTTTCAAATACTCTAGAAAGAATGGTTTGGGTTGTCTAGAGCCTTGCAACAAAAATCAACCTGTTCTGATCGAGAAAGCCCTGAATATAATGGCAAAGGTAGCAGTCCTGAAATAGATGTGAATTTTATTATAGTGCTGAAAACTGAAGGAAAATGCTAAAGTCGATTAACAAGATCTTACATATGTGTAATATATACAGGTATTATACCTGAAGAATTCTTTTGATTGCTATGAGCTTCTTCTTCAAGAAGTTTTATTGCAGTTTCAATATCATCTTGACCCGTAAGAAATACAAGAACATCCCCAGGTGGCTCCTGAAAATAAGAAGATACAATTTAAAGATAACAGTCCAAGGAAAATAATTTACTACAACAGTTTAACACATTAGATGGTTATAAAACACCAAATCAAAGTACCCGCTCATTAATCAATAATATCGTTGAAACAACTGATCGGATATAGTCTGAGACAGGCTCCTCAACATAGTGAATTTTCACACTGAAGCCTCTGCCCTAAGAAAATTTCACCAACAAAACAAGAATCAGAAACTATGACATATAAATAAGGGTTAAGAAAGAATAATCTTAAGCAAGATAAGAGTTACAAAAATACCTCGACAGATAAGATTGCAGGTTCCAACTTTGGTCCCTGGGTACTACCTTCTAACGCATGCCGTTTTTTACTATTTTTTCCATAATGAATAAGAATATATATTTCATTAGTGATTCCAAGAGAACGAGACCCAGGGCAAAAAAAATCATAAGCATTAAAAGAGATCAGAACCTGGAGTTGAAGAAATTGAACATTGCTTTTGCTTCGATTGTGGCGGACGATATAATCAGGCGTAGCTCAGGACGGCGACGTTGTATCTAGGATTAACAATTTATAGGACTTGAGAAAAGCAAACTGTAAACAAAAAAGGTTCAAGAAAATCTAATCGTCTATGTCTTATTGCTATACCTTTTTTAAGAGACCCAGTAAAATGTCCGTTGAAATAGATCTCTCATGAGCTTCATCTATCATAATAACACTACACAATGACATATGATTAGATAAGGTTTACCAGCACCATTGACTGACCTAAATTATAATTCAAACGAGATTATGCAGTGCGAAAAAAATCATTACCTATACTTTGTCAAGAGGGGATCCTCCATCATCTCTCGGATTAAAACCCCATCTGTGAGAAATTTCACACTAGTCACACCCTGTTTTAACCAAGCAGAAGATCTTTGTAAGCATCACCAAAATACTCCATACAATTAAGGATAAGTAGAAGGATGTTAAGGGAAGAGTCTCACAGAAGTTGTATGATCTTCAAATCGAATTGTGTAGCCAACTTCATTCCCAAGATTAACTCCCATCTCTTCAGCCACTCTCGCAGAAACCGCCTAAGTCAATTACAAAACAAAGAGTATATATATGATCAAGCACGAATTGCAAAACTTGAGCTGAGACATCACTCTTCAAACTTGAGCTGTAAGGTTTGGTGGAGGAGAAGAAAACAAACCTGGACAGCTAAACGTCTTGGCTGTGTGCAAGCAATAACTCGGCCTCCTTCAGCCCATCCAGCTTCTTTCAGGTACTACAAATTATTATAAACAAAGCGGTATCAACACTTGCGGGCAAGAACCAAGAAGATTCTGCTAGTGGTTGAATTGCAGATATCTCCAGTTTCTCCAACTTCCCAAACAGCTAGTGTGAGCTTAAACATTGTAGGATACTGAAAAATTGAGCAAGTTTTATGCCTCTCTAGCTACATTTCACATATGTCAGCTAGTGACTACTACAATCCAAATTCACAACCTTCAACTCTAATCAAAATTTGCCAATTGGTCTTAGAACCCTGAAATTAGCAAAGCTAGGTGCTTTCCCCAAAGAAAATAAAACCAAGAACAAAGAACAAAGAAGAAACCTGAGGAATTTGAGTGGTTTTACCACTGCCCGTCTCGCCAACGATAATGGTGGTAGCGTGATTCTCCACCAAATAGAGAATCTCAGTTCTGTACTTGTACACAGGCAATCTCTGTCTTTGCTTCTCTATATTCGCATACCCATAACTACAAATTTCGCACCATTAAGTTATAATCAACCGCAGAACAAGTACGAGTACTACCAACAGCAATTAAGAGAGAAGAAGCTGGCATACCTAGAAGAAGAAGAGGATGCGAGATTGTTGGACATGAACACTATGCCTCCTTCACCATCATCTTCGAAACGCGGTTTCTCAGTTCCTGGTTTCCAAAACGCCATTTTTTCGCCCAACGAGCTTTTGGCTTCTTCGGTTGTTTCAGTTTATGTATCGGCTCTTTCTCTCTAATATGCCTTTTGGTTGTTTACGGCGGCGGTGATCCCGGTTACCGGCGAGGTTCGGTTCTAATTTTAGGCATTTGGTTTAAATTATTTCGGTTCAAATCCAAAAGTTTAAATTTGGTTCGGTTTAGTCTCGGTTATATGTTCATCCTTCCCTGGACTCTATATTTAACAAATAGAAGAAAATGAATTGTCTTGCTTCTTCTGCGTTTCCATCTTGCCACACCACTCCACTGCGCAACAAGCTCTCAACTTTACTCCTCCGCCGCAACCAAAGTCAGCAAATTCACCGTCGGAAATATCAGATTAAAGCAATGAGAGCTGTAATCCAGAGAGTCTCATCTTCCTCTGTTACTGTGGATGGTCGAATCGTGTCGGAGATTGGTCCTGGTCTCTTGGTTTTAATCGGAATCCATGAATCAGATACTGATTATGATGCCGATTACATGTATGATTGCTCAAAATTTTCAGTTTTAGCTTGATTCTTCCATTTCAAAGTTCGTTATAAAGTTTTCTGAAATCATTTTGTAGATGTCGAAAAGTTTTGAACATGAGACTGTTCACTAATGAAACCACTGGCAAAGGATGGGACCAAAATGTAAGTTCTGATAGTTATATTAACAATTTTGATTTAAGGGATTCATAAAAATGTAAACTTGGATTTTGCAGGTAATGCAGAGGAATTATGGAGTTTTACTTGGTAATGGCATCTGTTTGTTATATCTTCTGATTAGAGAATTCTTTAGCTTCTGGTTAATGTACTGAGATTTGTCTCCTTTGCTTGCTCTGGTCTTTGGATCGTTTGTTCGAACAGTTAGTCAGTTTACATTATACGGATTCTTGAAAGGTAACAAACCCGATTTTCATGTTGCAATGCCTCCTGAGAAAGCAAAACCATTTTATGCTTCTTTAGTCGAGAAGTTCCAGAAAGCATATAATCCTGATGCTGTAAAAGGTAATACATACTCTGACTGATCTTTCTTGATCAATTCACTATTTCTCTTTAGTCTTCCTGAATTAGTCAACTCTTTTCTTATAAAAAAAAACAGATGGTGTGTTTGGAGCTATGATGCAGGTAAGAGGACAATCCTTCCTGACTTGCGTGATTATTACAAGTTCTCTTGCTTATAACACTACTTTTAATCATATTGAAAGGTCAATCTTGTAAACGACGGTCCAGTCACGATGCAGCTTGAGTCACCTCAATCCTCCAAGTAAGCAAAGATGTTTTGCATAAGCTTATCTGGCACTGATTTGTTACTTAAACAAGTCTTAATGTGTTTCAGGAATGAGACAAAGGCATCAACATAATCATAAAATCACTCATCTTGCATCAGTGAAACTATGGAATCTACCATTCAGGGAGACTCAGAATTATATATATTTATGTGAAACAATCATAATTCATTGAACTGTAACTGTTAATTCCTACATTACATGTAATTTCGTTGCTTTTAATCTAATGCAAAGCCTCTAGATTTGCTAAAATCTTGATTCCTAGATGCCTAATGCTTTAAGCTTTTGCCTTGAGTACCATTCCTGCAGTAAACAGCACTTCTTTCCCAAAAGATAGAATCTCGATTTTTCTGTAACAATCATGAAAGCTTTTGATTAGACAAAGGAAAGCTATGTATCGAAAATGAACTTAGGGTAAAAGAAACTGCCACTTACTGATCTACTTGCTTAAGACTAGTAAATGCAGAGATGATAGTATTGCATATCTCTGTTATAGAGTCTCCGTCACTTGGGTTAGAGAATGTGAGCCGAGCCTGATGATAATTAATCAAAATTAGGACAAGGAGCAAAAAAAAAGATAAAGCTCTCAGAATGTGAAAGGAGAAACAAAGATATCATTGTTACCAGAAAGGCATGTCCGATGAGGATCTGAACAATGTCAGGTCCTATCTTTTTGGTGATGTTCTTTGAATTTGTGCCACTGGAAAAGGTCTTTAAGATCCCATTTAGTGTTTTTGGATCCTCTGCTTGAGGAACGTTTGATCTTCGGGTACGAACAGAAGGCTGCAACCAAAGATAGATTGATTCAGAGAGAACAATCAGAGAATCAACCAAAAGAACATCATTGTTGGAGATGAGGAACAAAGGGGAATCAGAGGATTAACAACAAACCTTAGGAATGTATTTGGTAAGGTATTGGAGAACAATCTCTAGCTTCCATTTAGGATCGTCAAAAACCTGCTGGAAAAATTGCACTCAAGAACCACAGAGAAGTATTTAGCCAACACAAAGTGGTTTGTCTCTTACCTGAAGAAAGTTTGACAGCAAGTAACCATTATATGTCAGCTCGTCGAGAATGATCTCCATTGCAGGAGTCCTGCATCAAAATGGATCACAAACATGGCGAAACACACAATTCAAAAGAGAGGCCAGAATTTGAATACCTTATGCCATCTCCTCTAGAGGTAATCCCTTCTAAGTCAGCTTTCTGCTTTGATGCATCAAGGTCCATCATCTAAACAAGGAACATAAAAGTGAGAGAAGAGAACTTCAAATATAGTAAACTTTATACTCTGGTTATAACTTACAACTTACCATTACTAAAAGTTCCTTCATAGCAGAAAGCATGCCCTCGTGCAATTCTACCAAACTGGTAGACTTTTCATCAGCATCAATGGGTGCACACATTGTTGAAAGATAATCTTTCATTAGAAGTTTGAAATTCACTTTTCTTGAAGCCTACAAGTGGAACCACAACACTAAATCACGGATAAAGTTAAGGGACTAGACTAGCTTCTGAGCCATTAATTATGGGAAGTACCAGAAGTAGATTCAGTGAGGACTCCTTTAAAAGACTCCAGTTCATGGTTTCTGGAGCACAAAAGGACACAAAGCTTCTAAAGTTTTTCCCAAATTACACAAGATAAAGAGAAATCTTGAAACTATGAAGACACCATATGTACCTTTATACACTTGATTCCTCGGTGTAAAATCCAACTTAAGAACATGAACAAGATACTTGAACAGGAACAAGTTTCCCAGGATCTACAGAATTCCAAATAAAAGGAGCAAGAAGTGTGAAAGTCTACCAATTTGTTAAGCTAAGCAAAACAAGGTTTAGAAGAAACAAGTAAGCCAACCTTTAATTCCGATTCCTCAGACTCATTAACTCCTTTGTTCATGTTTTGAATCAGCTGCTGAAAAACTGAAATCACAGAACAAGAAATCATGATAAGCAACAACGAAGAACAGCTAATTCAAAGAAGAGACAACGTCCTTACATGGGCTTCTCACTGATATTTCCTTTCCATCAGAATCAACATCAGACCCAAAACTAAACGGTGACCAAGCCTGCCATACAAAACCATTAACACACAAATGAAATCAACCATCCCTACCACAACAAAAAATGAACAACATCCGATCAGAGCCTTTGTAACAAGTACCTCATCAACGATTTCCAACTGATCAGCTGAATCAGATACATAAACCCAAGGAAACCGCTGAAAACAAAACAAAAAAAAACATAAGCAAAACAGTGAAACTTTACACACATTGTGAGAAAAAAAACTACAGAAAATTTCATATAAGTACCTGATGTAATTGTGTCAAAAGCTGGTAACTTGCAGTTATAAGTTCCAACGTTCTACCAAATCTCAATATCCGAAACATCGCTTGGTACATTTTGCTTCAAATTCACAAAACCCCAAATCAAAATCATGACTCTTTCAAGGCAATGACTTCAAATTTCTTATAAAAGTTTCTTAGTGTAATTTACTTGGTTGGAGGAATTCCAATTTCGGGTACAAGTGAAGCAGCACGAACAGCTTCCAGATACTGCAAACCTAGGGTTTCATTCAACGGATCAATACAGTGAAACAAACAAAGGGAATTAACGCAAACATATACGGAGATTGAACAAAATTGAGAAAACGTACGATCTTCGTTAGCGTCGCGACTGTCCTTAGCGCCAGTCGAATCAAGCATGGCCAAGGTGTTTGCTTCCAAGCCACTTCCATAGCTACTCATCACTCTGCTAGTATTGTTACCCTTCGTCGTCTCTTTCGACATCTTCTCTTCCAAAAATTCACTAATTTATTCGCAGCAGAACCCAAAAAAAAACCCCAAAATTAGAAGGGAGAGAGCTTCGTAGAACCCTAATAGTCTAAAGAAGTCAATTTTCCCGCCATATGAGAAATTGCTCGCAAAAATAATTATTCTTCCACTTATTGGTGATTTCGAACCCGGGTTATTCAGACCAAACATACTCTACGACAGATTTATTGAGTTCTGTATATTAATGCTAAATAATCGAATTTATTTTTCAAAGATAAATTGCTAATATTTTTAATTTGTTGTTAGATATTTGTATAAATTGTAAAACTATATACACCAATAATATTATATTAACATATTATCTGATTTCATATATTTCATATTCACAGCTAGCTAGCTGAGAGATGACTTTGAACTTACATATAAAGTTTCTAAACAATACACTGAATAAAGATCTTTTATCTTTTTCTTTCAATTGTACACTATGTTTCAAAGCGTGTGCAATATGTAGATGATTACATCTTACTCAATTTGGAAATACTAAATATATACATACATGATTGTGTCACTCATCATTGTGTCAAATCTCTAGAGTTCAGACCGTCGAAAGATCATATGATACGAATTATAAGAAGTACTTTTGGAGAAAAGGTTTGCTAATGACGTAGGTCTTACACTCTTTCTGATTTCGTTTCACATTTGATATCTTAGAAAATGTTGCTGGCCATAAACCTACGAATACGATTATATACCAAAATTAATACGTATCAACAAACTTAACAAAATAACTCAATACTCGTTGATGCATAGAAAGCTAAATCAATATTAGGGTTCATTAGTCCTTTAAAAGCTATATAAAAGTTCCCAATATATATACCAATACCGTAATAATCTGATCCTAGATAACACAATTCTCCAAAACAGATTTGTGCCTCTCGTGGGAACACATCAATAGATTCTCACAAAGCGTAAAGCTCAAGATTATTATGTTCATCACAAAAGTAAACACGAAAATCGTGGGATAATACAACACAAAGCCGTCTTTTAGTTACTCGTTAAACAAACATATCTGTTTACGTAAGTCTATTCAACGAGAATAAAATTTTACTTCTATTTTTAAGTAGTTGACATAAGAAATGTTTAAGAATACTCTGCATCTAGTCTTTTTCAAGAGTACACAATCTTTATACTTAAAGAACAAGTAATATTACAATATTTAGTTATAGAAAAAAACCCTGATTTTATGTGGAACCTAAAACCCTGAATAAGTTACATGAAACGAGGTAGTCAGTACCTTGGATTACAAGTTTCACCAACTGTACTTTCCCAATTATCCTGCCGCATATTTCCCATTCAACGTACACACAAAATCCCCAAAAGCAAAAGTATCTCTTTAAAATGCCTTATGTCTCACCAATACAATACTTCCTCTCTTTCTCATTCAACAATGGCTTTGGGCAATGTCCAAGAACCAGACGGAGAGATCCTAAAGAATGTTTGGGAGAACTTCATCAGAAAACCACAAACCGATAAAACATCAGTTCATGTTCCAGATATTTCTAGAACTTGGGAAGAGTTGCCTACTCTTGATAACATTAACATACCAGAAGATTCTAAAGAATTGCTTCCAAGCCTAGATATGTCGATGGAGGCCGAGGAATGGACAGAGTTTCTCAACGCCGTTGCTTCTTCCCCAAACAAAACCAGTCATGACCCAATAACCAACCCTACCATTGAGTCTTTCTCTTCTCGGGTTTCTTGCAATACAAGGAAATACAGGGGAGTACGGAGACGTCCGTGGGGGAAATTCGCTGCTGAAATCAGGGATTCGACAAGAAACGGTGTAAGGGTTTGGCTCGGAACGTTCCAAACTGCAGAAGAAGCAGCTATGGCTTATGATAAAGCCGCGGTTAGAATACGAGGGACTCAAAAAGCTCACACAAATTTTCAGCTCGACACGGTTATTAAAGCTATGGAAATGGATTGCAGCCCAAATTACTACCCGATACACAGCTCAAATACATACCATACCATAAGAAGCAACCACGGAATTGGATCAAGAACAGAAAAAGAAGCGATCAAGGCTTATGATAAAGATGTTGATGGGATGGTTGATAACCACTGTACCCTAAGTTATCGATCAACTCATGAGGAGTACACGGAGACTTGTGGATTGCGTGAGAGTGGAGGAGAAACTTGGTTAGGTTCAAGAAAGAGAAGAAGGAGTGATAAAGATTTTATGTTTCAAGAAGTTAAAATGAAGAAGATGGTTACCGAAGAAGAGACATTATGTGATGTGTTTGGTTTGTTTGAGTTTGAGGATTTTGGAAGTGATTATTTGGACACGTTATTATCTTCTTTTTGACCTCTAAAAAAAACATTGTAACATTAATACATGTATATATCATAATTATGTCAAGACATTAGTTTATTCTATATATAATATCTTTACACAAAAAAAAAACTTTATATATAAGATGGTTTTGTGTATAACAATCAATTCTTGTAAATTTGTTCGTATGTATATTTGTTGACAATCAACACATGAGTATTGTTTTATGTGATTTCCAAACATCTTTTTTTTACTGTTTTCAGTTTTTGTTTTGTGGCCAAAGAAACTGATCCAAGTATGGGACAACAGGAGGGTAAATTTGGAATTTAAGTAGAGAATAGAAATGCGCAGCTGTGTTTTCTAATCGGATTCTCCTAAAACCCTAAAATACTAATTGATCGGCGGTACATTTACGCCAAGCATCCACCACAACTCACTCACTCACTTCTAAAGCTTGGATTCTGGAATCTAGGGTTTATCAATTGTTTTCTTCAATGGCTTTAACCAACACTAAAATCCCATGTTTCGGGCTAACAGCCACAAGAAGTCTCTTAAACCCTTCAAAATCGCTCTGCTTGGCTCCGAGAGTTTCGTTCTCTGTCTCGTCTACTGATTCTCTCAAGCTAACCACTTCAAGAAAGGTAAACCTTTTCTAGTTCCAAGCTGAATTTTTGTTTGTGGGTTTATGCTGAGAAGCTGTAATCTGATGTTTTCCGATACGAATTGGCTGCAAATGGCTATACTTTAGGTGATAGCAATGGCTGGGGATAGTTCCAGAGTCATGGAGATGTCGAATTTAACTGCATTATCGCCTTTGGATGGACGTTATTGGGGAAAAGTTAAGGAATTGGCTTCTTCGATGAGCGAGTTTGGGTTGATCTATTTCAGAGTACTTGTCGAGGTATTTCCATTTGACATTAGCTGTTGTTGTTACTCTCCAAGTGGAGATTTATGTTATGATTCATTGATTGACAAGATTGTACTAGTTTAGTGTTCTAAAGCACCCATTTGCCAAAATCGTTGATGTTTTTGTATATATGTGCTAGATCAAATGGCTTCTTAAGCTTTCAAATATTCCTGAAGTCACTGAAGTTCCAAGCTTTAGCAAAGAAGCTCAGAAGTACTTGCAAGGCATCATCGATGGATTTAGCTTGGATGATGCGTTGGAAGTTAAGAAGATTGAGAGAGTAACAAATCACGATGTGAAAGCAGTGGAGTATTTCTTGAAACAAAAGTGTGACTCACATCCAGAGATTGCTAAGGTTTTGAAACTTATCTCTCACTCTTAGGTTCTTAGGGTTTGGATGCTTTGATGCCTTTGACTAATTCTCTCGTCTTTCAATCAATTAGGTTCTTGAGTTTTTCCATTTTGCTTGTACGTCTGAGGACATCAACAATCTTTCCCATGCTTTGATGCTTCGAGAAGCACTTAGTTCGGTTATACTTCCTACCATGGACGAGCTGATTAAGTCAATCTCTTTGATGGCTAAAAGTTTTGCGTATGTCCCGATGCTTTCACATACTCATGGGCAGGTAATGTCAAAAGAGAAGACTTTTACCAATTTATCTTTCCGCTTTTTCAGTTTCGGTTCTGTCTATCACTATGTTAAAGCACTAGTCATGATTTTGATTCTGTCAATCTCTTTGGATTTTGTTTTTCTATGAATTATAATGTAGCCAGCTTCTCCTACAACCTTGGGTAAGGAAATGGCGATATTTGCTGTGAGGTTGAGCGAAGAAAGGAGATATCTTTCAGAAACTAAGATTAAGGGGAAATTTGCGGGTGCTGTTGGGAACTACAATGCCCATATATCCGCATATTCTAATATCGACTGGCCTCATGTTGCAGAGGAGTTTGTTACTTCTCTCGGATTAACATTCAACCCATACGTGACACAGGTATATAGTTTCTCTTGATCAGATTTTCCTAGTGGAGGATTTTTTGTCGCATTTATATAGTTCTTCATTGATTGTTCTCGTGGGTTTTGCAGATTGAACCCCATGACTATATGGCTAGACTTTTTAATACAATTAGCCAATTCAACAATATCGTAATCGACTTTGACAGAGATATATGGAGCTACATATCTGCAGGGTACTTTAAGCAGGCAAGTATTAATAAATGATAAATAAAATATGTCGAATTATTTGAATGAGAAAGGGAAAATTGTCTCATTGTTTGAAATTTTGATGCAGACAACTAAAGCGGGTGAAATCGGATCATCGACAATGCCTCACAAAGTGAATCCTATTGACTTTGAGAACAGCGAAGGGAATCTAGGTATAGCAAATGCACAGCTTGCTTTTCTCAGCATGAAGCTTCCCATTTCACGAATGCAGGTCTGACCAATTTTTTTCATATCAAGTGTCTCCAGTATATTTTCTAACACTAATGTACAAATAACCCTGAAGATTAAATGTACAATCTGCAGCGTGATTTAACCGATTCAACTGTCTTGAGAAACATGGGTGGAGCTTTAGGACACTCCCTTCTCGCTTACAAGAGCGCGATTCAGGGAATCGGGAAGCTTCAGGTATTGTTACCGTATCCCTAAGATTCGTTCCACTTGTCAGAAACTAAGAATGTTCTTGATATAGGTTAATGAAGTTCGGTTGAAAGAAGATTTGGATGATACTTGGGAAGTCCTTGCTGAACCGATACAGACTGTAAATTTCTTAACTTTATAGTCTTTGATATCAATTTAAGTTATTCTATGTATTGCTGAATTATTATAGTCACGAAATTGTTATGGTATCAAAAAAAGGTGATGAGGAGATACGGTGTTCCAGAGCCGTATGAGAAGCTGAAGGAACTAACAAGAGGAAAAGCTGTGAATGAAGAAAGCATTAGAAAGTTTATCAAAGGTTTGGATCTGCCTGAAGAAGCAAAAGACCAACTTTTGGAGCTAACTCCACACACATATGTTGGCGCTGCTGCTGCATTGGCGCTGGCCGTGGATGAAGCTGTGCATTTGGGACATTGATGAAGATCGAATCGGTGGTAGATTGTGCTCTTGTATTATGCTATTCTTTTCCAAATCCGATAGTAGAAGAAAGTCAATTTATAGATCGATGGCTTATACATTTTACAATGTTGAGAAAAATCTTGTATTGTTATGTTATTTTTTTCCTCTTTAGGTTTTTGACCATTACCAAATGAATCACAACCTCTCTTTTTTTATCTCTTGAATTATAAGGTGTGGTCAATGATTCTCAAACCAATATTAAATTTGGTAGTTAAACAGGTCATATAATGAAACTAATTACATTATAGTCAAATAATAAAGAGTTCACAAGTTGATTTTTTTTTCTTTCAATTTGAGTGGTTTTTGTTTTTTATAACCAAGTGTTATTTATCAAAATCTAGTCAAATAACATATACCAGAAAACTAATTGTGAAAATATTGTTAGTCAATTAAGTAATTCTATTTATAGCTAACATTTACATGCACTGACACATATTTTTATGTCTAAAATAAATGTTACTAGACCTAGGCACCTAGCTATGTAGTTTTCTCAAAAAATACATTACTAGTGTTCCTTTATAGTTGGTATGATAAATCTCTAGACATTAAACTAATTAAAGGTCTAAAAACGTGTCTCTCATACTAAGTGTCATATTATCATATACAACAACTCAAAAAGTTAAAACACAAATTGACAAAATCATGAGAAAAATGCCAAATGCATAACTTTTCCTAGTTATCTTCCTACACATTGCTATCGTCTTTATTTCTTGAATAGTTTCCTAGTGATTTCATTTGAAAATAACAATAAACTGAATTTAAGAAATAAATTATATGTTATTTATTCCTGCAAGTGTTTTGTTCTGCGTTTACTAGTTCATGGCGGCCATAAACTCGAAGATTTAGTCAAACATCTTTGTTCTCTAATCTTTCCAAAGACTTTCAAAAACATATATGCATATGCTTAGTCATTGCATATAATAATTACAAATCATTGAATCCCAAATTTATTAATCTTATTGTTTAAAGACAAACAAAACCAATAAGGTTTCGTCGTTACCCACTACCATTGTTTCAGTTCATTACAAAACACAACAAACACATCATCCATTTCATAAGATCTTACGACATCTCTCTGAATTCTTCTTCAATATTTGTTACTCCGATCAAAAGATCTCGGAATAATGGGAGCGTACAGAGCCGACGACGACTATGATTACCTCTTTAAACTAGTCTTGATCGGAGACTCCGGCGTCGGGAAATCAAACCTTTTGTCTCGATTCACAAGAAACGAATTCAGCATCGAGTCAAAGTCAACTATCGGCGTAGAGTTCGCCACAAGAAGCGTTCATGTCGACGAGAAAATCATTAAAGCTCAGCTTTGGGACACGGCCGGTCAAGAGAGGTAACAAATCCTCGAGACTTCTCTGTTTTATCTTCCGCTCTGTTTCTTTCTTTATCTATATTTTAGTTATACTCTGTTTCTACGGCTCTGTTTTTGAGCAATTTCGTTTTGTTGTGATACAGATACAGAGCAATCACGAGTGCATACTACAGAGGAGCAGTGGGGGCACTTCTAGTATACGACATAACCCGACACATAACGTTTGAAAACGTTGAAAGATGGCTCAAGGAGCTTCGTGACCATACCGATGCAAACGTTGTGATCATGCTTGTTGGAAACAAAGCCGATCTTCGCCACCTTCGCGCAGTCCCTACAGACGAAGCTAGAGCGTTTTCTGAGAGAGAGAACATGTTCTTCATGGAAACTTCTGCTTTGGATGCTACAAACGTCGAGCAAGCTTTCACTCATGTATTGACTCAGATCTATCGTGTAATGAGCCGTAAAGCACTTGATGGTACTGGAGATCCGATGTCTTTACCTAAAGGACAGACCATTGATATCGGAAACAAGGATGATGTTACCGCTGTTAAATCCTCTGGCTGTTGCTCAGGTTGAGATTATTGTTCTTGTTTTTGTAAACTGTCTTTTTTGGAAGAAGGTTTTGGTTTTGAATTTGGATTTGTTGTATCTGACTTTTTTGGGAAATCAGACCGGTTTGGTTTTACAATACAAACCGAAATTTGTATGAGACTGGACAAGACTTGGTCTGCTTAATAAGTTCGTTTTAGTCGTGAATAGGGCGATAAACGTTTGAACCGAATCAATTAAATTGAACCACGCAAACTAATACTACTTAAGAGTTCAGTTATATTGTTCTTACAGAATCAAATTCGGTTAACCAAACCTATAAAAATTTATTCGAAATATCAAATATGCATGTCCACCCGTAAACATGTTAATTTGGGTGTAAAACGTATTAATGACGAATTAGGGAGGTAGTTTATGGTGTGTGTGTGTTATAATTGTCCTAATAAGTAATAACAATGAATGGACTAAGAGAAATATTAAGTTATTTATGAACAGAAATCAAAGTGGAAGAAGAGCACAAAGGAAATCTAAAACTTACCACAAACCCAAAAGCAAAGAAGAAGGTAGTAGAAGTATACCTTTTTCCACACGGAAGCAAGTTAGGTCCACCGTCCAAATTAAGTATGACAAGATCTTTCCTTCCAAGTCTCAGGATGTTTATTGTTTCGTGCACTTGACAATCATCATAATATTCATGCGAATATGATCATTTATTTACTAAAATCATGAGCTATGATAGTTGTTTATTACCGAAGAAATGAGAGCAATGCACCAAAGAGAATCACCAAGCAACGATTAAAATCATATCAATACGAAACCGTTACTAAAGACCTAACTTTTGAGCTTTTCCTCTCCCTTTTTTTTTCTTTACGTTCTTAGAAAATTATTTTGAATTTTTTTTATAACCGAAATGTCTAACGTGCAGGTCTCAATGCATGATATTTCGTAATTTAACAATTAAAATGATGATATAATTTTTTTTTTTTTGGGTTAAAAATGATGATATAATTATTATATCTAAATAAAGATTCTTGTAAAAGGAACCATCAAGGTGAAAAGAAACGAAAACTCGTGGGTTGACTAAGCACTTTACGTTAATTCAACATATGATTACCCAATTAATATAAATTACTTATTCTATTTGTTAGACCTTACTTGACCTCCACGACGGATTAGTCATATTTTTATAAATTTTACGAAGATAATGTTTATCAACCACTTTAAAACCGAGTATACATGCATGCTCGATATCAATGTTAATTAATTTAAACGATTACAGAAATGATGTTATAATAATCCCACTAGATTGTAATTTACGAATTTTGAAATACATTACACACCCAGAAACAAAAACAAAAAGATTTAGTAAACGACATGGAGGAGAATTGTTCATATGAAATTTAGATGTTAAAAAAACGTATGATTATATTAAAACAAGAATAAGTATAATCCCCTTTTAATTAAACAAAAGTGTGGAAAGAACATGCTTCACTTAAACAAAGACTTTGGTTTGGTCTCAAAGGTTACTTGCAAGGAATAAGAAAAGTGTAAAGCTTCTTTTTTTTTTTTTTTCTCTCACGTTGCTCTCTCATTATATATCCTCTACTTTTAGATTTCCTCATCATTCTTTCTTACATCAAATCATTTCCTAAGAATCAGAGACAAACATAGAGACAAAGAAAAGCAACTTCAGAGACAGATATGGAGATCAAAGTTGATGAAGATCATCAAAAGAGTACAAAAGAAGAAGAGATCAAAAAGCCACTTCTTGAACAAGACAAAGACTTTCCTGATATAGAAAGAACAACATGGATACAAAAGGCAATAGGTCAAACGTTCCAAACCACTGCTCATTTAGCTAATCTCTTACCAACAGGGACCGTTCTCGCGTTTCAGCTCTTATCGCCAATTTTCTCAAACGGCGGTCAATGCGATTTAGTGAGCAAGATCATGACATCGACTCTAGTAGCAATATGTGGATTCTCTTGCTTCATATACAGCTTCACGGATTCTTACAAAGACAAAAACGGCACTATTTGCTACGGATTCGCAACGTTCCACGGGTTTTGGATCATCGATGGATCCACGACTCTTCCTCAAGAACTATCTAAGAGATACAAGCTAAGGTTCATAGATTTTGTTCACGCCTTCATGTCATTTTTCGTGTTTGGCGCCGTGGTTTTATTCGACCGGAACGCTGTGAACTGTTTCTTTCCAGCACCGTCAGCTGAAGCGTTGGAGGTTCTCACCGCGTTGCCTGTAGGCGTAGGAGTGTTTTGTAGTATGTTGTTTGCAACATTTCCTACAACACGCAACGGAATTGGTTTCCCACTTTCTAGCAAATGATTTGATTACTTGTAACTTTGATCTATCGATGTAACTTGTGTGTGATTCAAGATTCTCTTTGATGATCTCTTGAAAGAGACTTCTCCTATACTGTTTCTTGTATTCAAGCTAATAATATAAAGGGTACGGTATTGTTGCTATAATAGTGAATCAAAAAAGCAATAAAAGAGAGGTAATTAAGATTACCTCAAGACATCTGCCACTAGGTGGTGGTGTGATGAGTTTGAACAACCGATTGAATTATCTAGTTGCACATTGCACAGTTTAAATTTAAAGCAGAGGATTAACTCTGCCGACGAAGTACCCATTGGAACCCTAGTGTGTGAGACTTGTTAGGTGACACAACCACTAGGAAAGTATTGAATTAGTGTCCTAATCTTTAATTAAATTGTACTAATTTGACCAAGGGAAATAAGTAGAGTAACCTAAGAATCCGGTTTAGGCTAGTTTGCTAAATCAGAAACGATTCAAGGTTATCGATTGATGCATTAGCATCTTACTCATCAAGCCATCATTAATTCGAGATCAGTGTGTTGTTTTTTTTTAATGTTGTTCGACGAGAGTAGAGTGTTCGTTCTTGTGGGTTTTGGTTTACTCTTGGTTTTGTGACACAGTCTCTTGAATCTCTATTGTCTTCTTCGACATATTTCAAATCTCTGTTTCCTGGAAAACAGATTCAGTTATGGGTTTTTCTAAAGATTCATGATTTCACAGTTGTAAATTCTGTAATCATCACTAATAATTAACTAAAAAGAGAGGTAATTTAGATATAACAGGTTCCTTTGTCCAAAAAAAAAAAAAAGATATAACAGGGTCCCGGTTTATTACATCGGTTCTTTAATTAGTTTTACAAACCAGAAACAACAATTCGGGTTCGAGGATTGCATCGTCGTCAACACCGTATGATTGTCTGATCTGGGTTTTTTATTTTCTAAAGAACTTTCAGAGTTCTTTGATTGGAATCTAGTGGATAAAAATGGAGAGATGAATAACGATTTCAGAGTTCAATCATGTAGAGAAAGGCAAAAGAAAAACAAAAGAGAGGTAATTTAGATTACCTCATTTAGGTCTATCCAACCACAGCGGTGGAAGACGACAACATCCGACGAGGAGTTTGAGTCAACCTCGGGAGAAAGGGCGCTCCAGATTAAACTGGGAAGGTTTACATTCCACTACGGGAAGAAGATGCGCCCGGAGGCGGCTTAGTAGACCATCCTCGAGGCTTAGTGCTCGGAGGACGGTAGAAGTTTCACGAGCAATGATGCTCGGACAGTAGAAGGTTCTCGAGGCATATGATGCTCGGATGAAGCCAACTTGGGTACCAATATTGCTCGAACCCTGGTGGGAGTCGTGCTCAGCTGAGCCTCAACCACCTTGACCAGGTTCGAATTGGTGTCCTAATGTCTATTTTATTGATACTTATAGGCTTATAGACATCGTCGGGTAAATGAGCTAACGAAAGCCCACTAAGAACCCAATCACTGAGCCCATTAAACTTTAACTGTACTCCACAGCGGTTGACTTATTTTCTTCTCTTCTTCTGTCCTTCCTTCTCAAAATTCACTTAAAAAGGGAGTTATTTGTTTAGAAAATAGAATGAAAAGAAGATAGTTAGCTTCTAGAAGTTGTAAAAGAGATTGAATGTTGACAAGACAAACTTTAAACGAATATCTCGCAACAAGTCTCGTGTCGTGTGTGAGTGTCTGGTACACGTAGAGATACAGCTAACCAAACAAGACTTGTAAAGCTTAATTTGGTCTCGATACTTGGAAACTCTAGTACTCTACGTATCTCTACTTCCACTGTTCGTTCGTACGGTCTATAGTTCTCCGATATTTCTTCTTTCTTCTTCTCACGTCGTATTCTCATAAACTCAAGTGGTGAGATTATTTTTAATATTTTTAGATTTTCTTTTTCTTTTTATAATGTTAATACCTTTTTAGATCCAACTTGAAAGATTTCAGATAATATTTAGGGTATATTTGGACCGACATAATTATGATATATTTTTTGAAGTATCAGTGATAGATACTATAATTAGCTTTTTATTATTTCTTTTGAAAAAAAGAAAAGAAACTATTGTAAGTTGAGTACTGACTATAACTGAATTATTATAACTTTTTCTAAATATATAGTACTATGTCTTTTAATATATAGTTGGCTGACTGATTTTATTTTTATTTTATTTTTCTTTTAATATATAGTTTAAGCAACATGTAATATGAAAAGCATGCACTATAAGTTACACAAGTTGTGGGTACACTGAACATCCTAATCTAACTTTTAATTAGTTCCACAGTTTAATTAGACTGAACATCTTTATTAAAGTAAAAAATCATAGTTCAAAACAAGAGGCATATATATTAGTAAAGATCTTTGATTACATAAATATCCGAAAGATATTTGATGAGAAATGTGTGGTTTGTTTCTACGCATCAACAACAAATCATAGAGAAAATTTTGTCGTTACTTGTAAGATCGCTAATTTTGTCTATATCAAAAACTAGTCACGTACGGTACGTGTGTGGTTACAGAACATTCAGTCAACTTGGACCAAAGACAACCGTTCATCCACCTGTGACCTGTTTCTTTTTATTTCCCAAACAAATTGAAACCGTGTTTTTTCTTTTTTGGTTTGTCGCCGTGTATTAAACTCTCTCTATATATACCCACCAAGAATTCACCAATGAAACTTAATTAGAAATCCCAACACTTTCAAGACTTTTCCTCTCTGTAAACATTTTTTCAAAGAACGAAAGAGAAACTAGCTAGAAAAAGATCGAGGTTCCATCATGGTTAGATCAGAAATCGTAAGACGGAGATTCTTATCTAGAGCTGAAATGGCGCCGGCGCCGGTTATTTCTCGCCGGACATGTTCAATGTCTCCGACACTAGAGACCATTTTCGAAGAAAGGTCCGACGATAGTTTTAATCATCAAGATCCACACTACAGCAGAGTCATCGCCGTAGGACAAGGACATCGTTTGCTTCTTCTTGTCCCAGCAATCATATCCGCTGTATCTTGTGTTTTGTTGTGTAGACAAGATCGTGTTGTTCGATTTTCTTGAACATATACATATATACATATGTATTTTAATATAACTATATGTATTAGCAGAAGAGTTTTCTATAAACTTATGTCTTTGTTTCAATCCATAGTGTTAATTTGTTTATTTGATTCACGAATAGAAATGTGTTTTATGCTCTTAGTACTTCTGGTTTTTTACCAATAGGACATTACTAATTAACACAGCTCGCGAGGTATTGACAAATGAATTCATATGCAAAAACACGTCCCATAAATCAACAAAACTAGATAGTATCAAATAATAATGCCCATGAATTATAAGTCGTTGCCAAATATAACTCTTCACAACATGGTTTAAATTATTTTTAGACCTATGATATGCAAAGCAAAACACATGTTCTTGTAAGAATAAACCCGGGTCTTTCAAGTTTTAACTCTGTTTTTTTTTTGTACCTAAAATCATGGATAGGTATTGTTATGAACAACACATCCAAATTACACAAATCAAAGAAGCAATCAATAGTCTTTGATCATAATCTTGTAAAACACAAAGTACAAACTCATTGAGAGTAGAAGAGGAAGAAATATCACAATTCTTTTGGGGGCCTTGACCGCAAAACTGTCATATCCTTCTTCAAATATCGTTTCCAGTTTAGGTTGCGAGATGCTTTTCGTTTTCGATAATCGTCTTTGCTGAATCCGATGGGATAGTGAAGGTGCTACCTCTCCCCATGTTTGAATGAACCTCATTTCATTGGCCATGGTTGCGGTTTTTAGTATTTCCGTTATTGAAAGAACAAGCTTTGTCTTTAAATGTGCAGAGGAAAGAAGATTAAGGAGTTATCGAAAGTTTTTGGTTGTCTAATTAGTGGGTGAGAGAACAAAGAAAGAGCTTATATATAGAGAAGATTATAAGACCTTTTTTAAGGTTATAAAAATGTGCGGAAAAATGTCAATATCCAAAGACAACGACGTTAGTAATCTCTTAAAATTAATTCTTGTGGCTAATTTTTGAGGTTCTAGAGAAGTAGAAAGTAGAACATATGTATAGATACCAGAATAAACAAATTGTGCTATTTATAAGTGTGGCCATGAATGGTTGTTGGTTTTTAAATAGTTTTTAGATTATGATTTTTGGTTTTTAGCTTTTGGTTTTTGATTTTTAGGTTTTTAGTTTTTGTAATAGATATTATTTTTTGGTTTTATTTTTATTTTTTATACATAATAGAAAGAAAAAAAATGAGAAGTGTCGTTAGTATTTTCTTAAAATCTCAAATACTATGTGGATTTTGGTTTCTATTAAAAATTGTTAAGAAAACTTAAAAACTAGTTTCCCTATTTTTTAGGGAATCTATTTAGTCTAAAATCTTGAATGGAGAAAAATTGGGTTTTTGAAAAACAAAATCCAAAATCTATTGTAGAATCTATTACCATTCAAGGTTAGCAAATACAAGTCACTGAGAACCTAAGCAGTTTTCAAGCAGAAATCTGAATTTGTTCTCAACTCAAGTATATACGTCAATAACTTAACATGCGAATAATTTCATACCTAACCACAATTATCAAAAAAGAAAAGAAAAAAAGAAGAGAAAAGAAAAGGTTTAGAAGACCACATACCTGTGATTGTTACAGAAGTCTGCTACATTTTGGTTGAATCGCCTCTGGAGTATTTGTGATCTGTTTAGAAGACCACATACCTGTGATCTGTTTCTCCGTCTAAAAGACTAAAGACTTAACAATGTCTCTGTCTAAAGAATAATGATGTTTTTTTCCCATGTAATGGATCGTGTTTTTTTTTCCAATCTCAGTTTCTGTCTAAACACTGATGATGTTTAAAGCCGTGGATATTTGGAATTTTTATTTCTAAATCTCAGTCTTTGGTTTTTTTAAGAACCAAAGTGTTATCCGTGGGCATTAAAGCCACTCCCACCAAAGGGTTGTGTTTTCCTATCTCAGTCAGAAAGACTAATGATTCTTGTAAATTTTAATCCGTCTCTAAAGGGAGATTTTTTTCGCAATCTTAGTCACAGAGACTGATGTTTTGTTTAAGCCTTAGGTAAAAGAGATTGTGATTTTTTTCTCAATTTCAGTCACAAAGACTTATGTTTTTTTGTTTCGTACGCCGTGGGTAAGGTAATGTTTATTTCCCAATCTCAGTCACAAAGACTGATGATTTTTTTAAGTCGTGGGTAACTAGAACCAACCCAACCAAAGTGTTATGTTTCTTTAAGCTGTGGGTAGTAAAACCAGTCCAACCAAAGTGTTGTATTTATGTCTTAACAATGTCTTTGTCAAAAGATTATTTTCAGCCGTGGGTGGGTACTACTAAAACCAACCCTACCAACATGTTATGTTTCTTTAAGCCAAGGGTAGTAAAACCAATCCAACCAAAACCTGTTCTGCTTCTTTGTCTTAACAATGTTTTTGTCCAAAAGATATTTTTAACCTATCCAACCATAGTTGTTACTTGTTAGCCGTGGGTACTAAAACCAATCCAACCATAGTTGTTTGCTTCTTTGTCTAAAAGACTTAACATCCAACCAAAGTGTTAGGCGTGGGTACAAGTTACTAAAGCCAATTCAACCAATGTGTATGTTTCCCAATATCAGTCACAGAGACTGATAACTTTTGTAAGTGCCGTGGGTGAAGGGAATGTTTTTTCGCCATCTCAGTCACCAAGACTGATATTTTGTTTCTTTGAGCCGTGGGTAGTAAAACTAATCCAACCAAACTGGTTTGTTTCTTTGTCTTAACAATGTCTTTTTGTCAAAAAAAATATTTTCAGCCGTGGGTGCAAAAACCAGTCCAACCATAGTTGTTAGCCGTGGGTACTAAACGCAATCCAACCAAACTACCAGAGTGTTAGTCGTGGGGTACTAAACCCAATCTAACCAAAGTATATGTTTCCCAGTCTCAGTCACAGAGGCTGATAATTTTTAAACTCGTGGGTGAAGCCGGAAGGGATTGTTCTTTTCGCCATCTCAGTCACAGAGACAGATGTTTTGTTTCAGCCCTCGTGAAGGGAATGAATTTTCCCAATCTTAGTCACATGAGACTGGTGACTTTTTTAAGCTACTGGGTAAAGGGATTGTTTTTTCCCATATTCAATCACACAGACTGATGATTTTTATAAGCCATGGTAACTAAAACCAATCCAACCAACATGTTTTTGCTTCTTTTTCTAAATGACTTCACATCCAACCAAAGTGTTATGTTTCCCAAAAGTGTTAGTCCAACCAAACTACCAATGTGTTACCTCTGGGTACTAAATCCAATCCAACCAAAGTATATGTTTCCCAATCTCAGTCACAGAGACTTATGTTTTGTTTCAACCCTCGTAAAGGAAATGATTTTTCCCAATCTTAGTCACAAGAGACTAGTGACTTTTTAAAGCAAGAGGGTAAAGTGATTGTTTTTTCTCATACTCAGTCACACAGACTGATGATTTTATAAGCCATATTTAACTAAAACCAATCCAACCAACACGTTCAGCTTCTTTTTCCAAAAGACTTAACATCCAACCAAAGTGTTATGTTTCCCAACCACAGTCACAAACTAATGATTTTTTCAAGTATTAGGTATAGGGACCAGCCTCAGTCACACAGGCTGATGATTTTTTTAAGTTATGGGTAACTAAAACCTATCCAACCTATGAATGTAGAGAATGTGTTCTCTCTTATACAACCAAAGTGTTGTGCTTCTTTGTCTAAAAGACTTCACATCCAAGATCCAGCCAAGGTATATATTTCCCAATTTTAGTCACAGAGACTCATAAATTTCTTAAGCCGTGGGTGAAGGGAAAGTTTTTTTCACTATCTCAGTCACAGAGACTGATATTTTGTTTCTTGAAGCCGTGGGTAGTAAAACCAATCCAACCAAACTGTTCTGCTTCCTTGTCTTAACAATGTCTGTCAAAAATATATTTTCAGCCGTGGGTACGAAAACTAGTCCAACCAAAGTTGTTAGCCGTGGGTACTAAAACCAATCCAACCAAGGTGTTATGCTTATTTGTCTAAAATACTTTACATCCAACCAAAGTGTTAGCCGTGTCCGATCCAATCAAAGTTTCATGTTCTCAATCTTAGTCACAGAGACTACTGATCTTTTTAAACCCGCGGGTAAAGGGAATGTTTTCTTCCCAATCTCAGTCACAAAGACTGATGATTTTCATAAGCTGTGGGTCAGAGGGATTGATTTTATCCCAATCTCAGTCACAAAGACTGATGATATGTTAAATTCGTGGGTAAAAAGGATTGTTTTTTCCAATCTCAGTCACAAAGACTAATGATTTTGTAAGCCGATTGTTTTTTTTTTTTTTACTCAAGTCACAAAGAATGAGGATTTGTAAGCCATGGGTAAAAGGAATTGTTTTTTCCCCAATCTCAGTCACAAAGACTGATGATATGATTTGCTAAAGCCGTGGGTAAAAGTGATAATTTTTCTCCAATCTCAGTCACAAAAACTGATAGATTTTTATAAGCCATGGGTAAAAGTGATAATTTTTCTCCAATCTCAGTCACAAAGACTGATAGATTTTTATAAGCCATGGGTAAAAGTGATAATTTTTCTCCAATCTCAGTCACAAAGACTGACAGATTTTTATAAGCCATGGGTAAAAGTGATTGTTTTTTATCCAATCTCGGTCACAAAGACTAATGATTTTGTAAGCTGATTATTTTTCCCAAATCTCAGTCACAAAGACTGATGACTTTTATAAACCGTGGGTAAAAGGGATTGTTTTGTCCCAATCTCAGTCACAAAGACAGATAATTTTTTTAAGCCGTAGGTAACTTGATCTTAGACCAATAAACAGAAACCAATCCCAAATATACTTGTCTGTCGAAGTATTCTGTTAAGCCGTGGGTAAAGGATTGGTTTTTCAGCTTCGGTCATGATCGTTCGGTCCAAACTCGACGGGACAATATCCCCAAAAGAAAATCTGACAGAACATCATTAGTTGAGTGTTTGCCTTATGATCTCTCTTGGGTTTGAAAGAAAACAAAACGAAAAACTCAAACAAAAAACGAAAAACCAAAATAAAAAATAAAAAACTAAAACAAAATACGACTGGTAGTGAAATTTAGAAACCCTAAGAAATCAAGAGAATTGGAAGATTTCTTACAATGAACATAGGGCAACAAAACTTCTACTTTACCAATCTTCTTCTGAGAAACTCGAGTTCAAAACGATCGAGCGAAACAGAGAAAGAAGAAGGCAAAACAAAATTCGGAGAAAAATTACGTTCTCTTCTCACGATAAGATTCATTATATAATGCTTAGTTTCCTTTTCTTTTTCATTAGATCAGGAAACTTTACTTTTTCCTTTTTATTAACTTTACTTTTTCTTTTTTTGTTCTCAAACATCCGTTTTTTTTTCTTTTCTTTTGTTAAGTTTCTATTTATTTACAAAAGTGGCTTAAATTGGCCCAATTAATTTAACGGCCCGATTGATTACTTCCAACGTAATTATCATTATAGTGAGGATTGAGACATAAATTTTTGTGCTATATGTAGTATTTTTTTTGTATCAAAATATATAATGCCTATATATAATAGTTTTTCAAATGAAATATATAGTATTTTTATTAGTTATATATGTATTTTTTGTGCTATATGTAGTATTTTTTATAAGACATAAATCAAAAAATTTCATTAGTTATATATGTATTTTTTGTATCTGCTAATTTTGTATGTAGATAAAATGTTACTAAAGTTATATATAATGATAGAAATGGTTATGAAAAATGTGAAAATTTTGATTTTTAAAACGCATGAAAAGAAATTAATAAAAGAAAATTTTGAATCAAATATATAATGCCTATATATAATAGTTTTTCAAATGAAATATATAGTATTTTTTATTTTGCACAAAAGAAAATAAGATTAAGTAAGTGAAGTCAACATCTTGTCAACACTGTACTACTATAGAAATCACAAAAAAAAAAAAGAACCTTTTTAATAAATCACAGCGGAGAAAAATGGAAATTAGGCGATTTTGATAACAATTTAATTAGGGATTTAAATACAAACCAAACCAACAAAAAAAAAATTCGATCACAGTAGGAAAAAGAGAAACTCGAAACATCTTCAATGGCGGAAGAAGAGATGCGATCTCCACCTGAACCTCTTATTTCTTCTCCGCCGGAATCATCCCCTCAACACGAAGATCCACCGCCGGAAACCTCTACTCCTCCTGCTAAATTCGATCCTAGTCGAAGTAATTCCTCTACTTTTTTTTCTCCCTTTCTTCCACAACGTCAAAATTGATTTCTAGGGTTTCGCTTTCTGGGGATTTTTTTCTCTCCTCAATTAGACTGTTGAGTTATCCTCCGCCATTGTTAGTCTTACCCAAAGCTCGCATTTTTGTTCTGTTTTCTCAATTCTAATCTGAACTCCTTTGTATAGCATAATGACGAATTTGACTAAGTGTGGAGAAATAGCTTTTATGATTCCTTTGTTTATGGAGATATTGGAGCTGCGATTGGTGTGAACGGTAACTCTGTTTCTTAGTTTTAGAGAGATCAGACGAAGATTCATGAAAGTTTAGTCATTTCTCATTCTGCATTGTGCAAGGAACTGTGTGTGTGTGTGTGTGTGTATACATTATCATTACTCATGTCAAGATCCTTGTTATACTGCTGTTGTTGTTGTGTTCATATGAGTCGTCACCAGCTTGCTGTGTTAGCTATTTATCTAACCAAATGCTTTGGAATTCATTCTTTTTTTAAAGTGATTGGGATCATCAAAAGGAAAGCTTTGATTAAGGATTTGGCTGCAGCTTACCACACTGAGTGTCTTGCTCTTTGCCGAGAACTTCTGGAGTTACAAAAGAGAAAAGATGAGGTTAGAAATCCATCTTCTATCTATTCATTGTGAAGGGAACTTTAAGCATGTTTTTCATAGTTTCTCTGTACAATGAACCCATTATTATTTAAGTACACTCCTGGTTTATCATATCACATCAATCACGCATATCGACTCTATGAATTTAGAACGAATCAAAGCATGAAAACGATGAATTAATAAGGATAGGGATTTTGTAATTGACTACGGGGAAGCCATAAAGTGGCATGAGCGCAAAGAACCACCAAGGGTATGAAATCCAATGTGGGTTCTTTCAAGTTGGGATTGAAATTGTTATACTTGGAACCAAAATGGTATAACTTGATGACAAAACTGCGCAGTGCGCAACAGGTGCGCACCAGGCTAAACCGCTTTTCATGTGTTCTAAGTTGTTTGATATTGTTCTTTTTTTTTATGCAGCCGTTTCTGGACACAAAAGCAACGGAAGATCTAAGGAAAGAGATATTGAGGTCCTCTTCCAAACGAGCTAAGAAAAAGCGTTAAAAGTATGATGCTTAATCTACGTAGGTACGGTGTTCATAGATCGGTTCTTATGCTACAAGTGATGTAAGAAACATGTTTAAAGATTGAATTTTTATTTGATATATCTAAAGTATATACAATATTCACACAATTACTAAGAAGAATTCGAATCACCCTTTCTAAAGACATCTCTTAACTAGACCGAGCGAAAATCCGGCAAACCGGTCTAAGACAATCAATCGCAGCAACCGCCTGATGTTTAGCCTTCAAACAGAATCTCTGAAACCAGTTCGTGTCAGGAGCAATGACAACCATAGAAGATTGAACATACATAGAAGCCGCTCTTTTCACGAGCTCGTTACTAATGGCGATGTTAGAAGAATCCATCTCAGACAAGAGAAACCCGTCTTGTGAAGGAACACAGTGCTGGCTGTTATAAAACAACGAACCAAATCCATCGGAACTTGAGATCACGTCTTTCAAGCTCGTGTACTGGAGGTTATTGTGATCATTGTCGTCTGAGATAAAGAGGCAGGGTGGTTTTTGCAACATTTGGAAACCTTGTCTCCATATTCGTAGTACAGATTTAAATGCTGGGGAGGCTGATGAGTTTAAATATCTTCCCCTGTTCTCGACGACCGGTGATTCCTTCTATTTAGCCAGTCTTATCGGAAAGGCCCTAAATTTTTTGATACTTTCCACTTTTAAACAGCATATAAAAAGGAAAGAAACTAAACTATGTCTATACGTTGGTGGACAAACCAAACCAAAGTTTTGCTGTAGTCGCTAAACTTAACTCTGCATTATCATTGATATTGAACTCTTGAACCATTCTAAGATAATGGCGGCCCAAAACGATATAAATACATCAGGCCTTAGCTCAAGTACATTCTGATCCAAATTACTATTTTGGAAAAGTAAACTATTAAAATTCATAACACATTTTTTATTTTCGTTTGCTTTAATCATAATTTTCAACCTCGATGGAAACATGACTATGAAATCACCTCAACTATGCTATAATTTTAATAATATGCTATAAAATATTTTCATATTATTTAGATTAGATGATGTACAAATATATATGAGTGTGTATGTTGTGGTCCTCCCATGATTGTTGTCTGAAAGATACATGACCAATAAAAACCAAGTTTAGTTCATAGACTAGTTTGAAATTGATTTACATGTAACAGGGTTATAATAAATTAATCAGAGTTAATCTAATAATGGAAAGGTATATACCTATCTTTCAAATCACAATTAGGGTTTATTCCATATATAGAGCATATAGAAGCCTTAATGGACAAAATTAATCATGAGTCAATGACCCACTAGATTCATTAATGGTCCATTAAAAAAGGACATTAACTTCACTTATATATTTTAATGTAATATACTCTCGCTTAAGTCTTAATCACTCTACACTTGACCCAATGGCTTGAAGGTTTACCAAATATTAAAATAGGTTGTGCTAAAACCGAAATTAGCTTTAAAACTCAAATATACTTGTCATCTAATTTACTATCATAAAGTGAAATATTTTGGAGCTTCAAAGGAAAATAATCTATAGAAGTGAAAGTTAACTTTGCATTTGCAGTCTATTTGAAGTCTCATACCAAATAAACAAACTACATAAAGATTAAAAAAAAAAAGAGTCAATTCATTATTGATTATGTTCATCGATCTAGATATATCATACGAAGTCCTTTTTTTTTGTCAAACATAAGAATTGTCTTTGTCCTAGAGAAATAATTATATACAAACTGTATGATAAAATAAGAGAAGCGTGTGGAAGCAAGTCTTCGATTAACATTATTTCATTTGTACATGTTCATTTGGTACTAGAGAACTTCTAAACATAAAAATATAGTACTAATTAACTAGAACTTTGGGTATAGTATAGTGTGTTTAACCATCTTTAACCGTCCATTTTTTCAAAATAAATATAACTTGTATATGATAGAAAATAAGTAGATTAAAAAAAAAGTAATTTTATTTGGGTTGTGCAAAGCAGTAAAAGGTATGTATATTACATAGTTGGAATGAGCAGTAAAATAGTACATAGTTGCTATGACCAGAGAGAATAGTACATGTGCAATTAAAAAAAAGGCTGTTTATAAAATCATAACATCACATCACCCCAACTGTGGTCAAAAACAGTACCACTACAATACGAATCTAGTAAAGATTCAGATCCATGCACCATTATTTTCTTATTTTCTACTACTATTTCTTTGATAGTTTGTTTCAAAATATATTTTATGTACATGCCAAATTCTTCAAATATACAATGTAACACATTCAACGCTTAATATATATATATATATTTATATATATTTATATATGTCTATATATGTGTGATAGTTACCGAAAGAGATATGCATATGAGCAATTACATTTTACAGTGTGCATATAACATATTCAACAGCAATAAGGTAAAATCATAAACATGTCAAAGGGCATTTAAACATGGATGGCTTAATCTTAAAACTTGTATGAGTAACACTGTAAAATTAAACAGCAAAAAACATGTATTAGTATTTAGTAGTATCGTAAAGTTAAACAGCAAAAATAAACTTGTTAACATCCAAATCTACATTATATAAAATCCTTAACCTTATTAGAATTGACAATGTTAATAACATATAAGAACCAAGTCATAAGTTTTAGATTACATTTTTAGTTGTGGATTAGTAGAAAAAAATATAAAAAATTAGTAAGTAGGAAAAAGATAAAATAGAGAGAGTAATTAGCACTTAGCAGAAATTTGGGTGACCAAGAAGCAGACACGTGCAGTGGTCTGGTAAAGGCAACAGTGATCGAGAAGTCAGCAAGTGTCCGTTAAGACAGCGACACGTGCTCTCGAGCCCGTCGTGAACCACTTGCACTTCCTCTCACATATCTTTGCCTTTTTCATCATTTTATTTCTTAATTATCCATTATTGATTTCCTAAAACCACATTTATTTAACTAAAACATATGTATTAAAGCTAATCAAATGTGGTGTGTGTAATAACCACTTGACTAAGATGACAAAAATAAAAGATCTAGTTTATTAAAATTGCAAACAATTTGTTTAAGTCTACGTGTTTTTTTCCATGGAGTTCGAAGTGATGTGATGTGGGTTTCACTTTCACATAGTATAAGTTATTAAAATATGGGTTAAGGATTCTTGATCAATATGATTAGTGAAGTGGAAAAAAGAAGTATAGAAAGGTTTAAATAAAGTGATCGAATAACTTTCATGCTTCCTTTGAATACTCCGTAAATTTAGTTATTACTACTTTTAAACAGTTGGTTTAGTTTTTAGATATATGCTTGGATTCTGTGCTTACACTTTGATGATTGCATTGCAATTTGCATTGTCTTCAAAATAGGATTTGTATAATGTGATTAGGTTAAGTTAAACTTATCATTGTATAATATGTTGGAGGTTGTTTTCTAGTTATCATTACGATTGCGACATGTGAATTAAAACTTCGTTGAAAATACCCAAATTACAGAAGAGCAAGTTGACAGAAATACCAGAGTCATATATATTTTTCGATCATCTATACAATAAATGAAAAGTTTTCAGATCACCAAATTCCTTTGATCCGATTTGATTACAGCATTTGTATATTATTTATATAAAACAAACGTAATTTTTCTTCATCTTAACAAATTTGGATTCTTTATACATATCATTTTTTTAAGATTCGAAATTCAAGATGGTTTATATTAAACCAAGGAAACATTAGGAGGACTATAACAAGTTTTGAAAAAATTAACATTGTTATATAATTGTGGGAAAATATAAGGTATGTATTGTTATGATTAGGGCAATAATACATTTATTTCCTTATATAATTATAAGTTTTTCATGATCGAAACATATAATTATATAAACATGGTGTAGATTTATCGCGTAGCATTACAATTTACATGTACAACAAATTTAGATAGAAGGGTGTTAATGTTCAGTCCTAATTCTATGAATAAAAAAATTCATGAAAATCACAAACATAAAATATATATGATTTTTATTCTTATCTCATCTATTTTGAAAATGTTCATTTCCCAATTCCCATAACTTAATATACAAAATTCTGACAAAAAAAAAACATTTTTATTGAGATAATATATGATATTTTTTTTCTTGTCATAGTAAAGCATTTATTTGTGTCTGACATTTCTATGGCATTTATATGTTCACATTGTTTTTCTACAAAATCATAAAATGTAAGATTTCAAAAGACAAACAAAATTTAATGCCAAAAGACAAATAAAAATTTTTCTGCTTAAAAAACAACTAATATAATTAACTGATTTTTGTGTGTGTCAAGAAATAACTAAATTATTTAAACATTATTTTCCTAGTTTATCAACTGAAATCGAATTGAAAATCATAAAGACAATATTACTAAGGATGACCATATATAAATAAATTCAGATATTTTGTAGAGGACCATGGCAATTTCAGTGAAAAAGCCATCTTATAAGGGGTAAAAAGGGAAATATAAACCAAAGACACGGTTTTATGCCCCAATATTTCTTCTACCTCTCTCCATCTGATCATCACTCCTCCTTTAAAAAAAAAAATCACCATCAAAGAAAATTCCAATTTTCTCGGATTTCATCTGTTTTTACAAATCCCTAAAACCCTAATCCCTCTCTCTTCAGTCACCTACTCAACAAGCTCCTCTGTTTCTGTAAGTGTCTCAAATTCTCTTGAAAGTTTCCAATTTTTATCAAGAAAACCAAGAAAACGATCTTTATTCACATCAAGAAACCTCAATTTTGTGTGTGCTCTCAGCTTTGATTCAAAAATAAAACTAATTTTAGATCTATGATTTTGGTTTCTTGATGAGAATTTGTAACTGTAGAAAGAAGTGTATGTTTGTTCATTTTGAATTGTGTTTTTTTATTTTGGGTTCATATAATCAAAGCCAAGAGCTTGACACCTGTTTCATCCAGAGTCCAACGATCTGCTACTGCATAGAATCCAAAACACTAAGCATTAATAATGATTCCTTTATAAAGATTATTTAAATCTCCGTTGTGTTGTTGGTAACTAAGAAACAAACACTCTTTTTCATAATTAGAAACACTAATCTTTATTTAGAGAAAGTTTTTAAAACAAACACCATTTTTGAAAGAAAAATAAAAACTCGATTTCTTCATTTTTTGTCTTCTTATCTTTAAAGTCCCCTCCATTGATAATCGCTTCAGCCGAAAGCTATAGAGAGCTTAATTATTGTTTATCATAGCTAGCTTCTGATTCTTATTCTTTAATTTAAGATCGTTTAACTTTAAACCTCATCTTTTGTTCTTGTTTGTTGTTATTATGTCAGATCTAAAATGAGTAGAGAATAAATACGAATCAGAATAACTGATATCTTAAATATGTATATATATGTGAATATGAGAAAAAGTTAGATAAGGATGTAACATACATATATATATTTTTATATATGTAAAGATTTGTTCTTATGAGAGATTATTGTTTTTGTGTTTTCATGGTTTTTATTGCAGGGCCTTATGTGTTGTGGCTGATATCATTTCAGACAGTGCTTTTGATGACTCTGCCAACTACAACAACAACAGCAGCAGCTGCTGCAGACAAAGCTTAAACGAAGCTGTATCTACTGACTTTGATGGTGAAATATCAAAAACCCTAAATTACAAACTTTTTTAATTATCTTTTTTTTTTTGTTTTTTTGGGTTTTTCCTCTGAGGGTTTTCATCATCAATGCTTACAGCAAAGTACAGTGGGTAAACCAGAACCAAAAAAAAACCAAAAAAAAAACCCAGTTTTTTCTCTCCTTTAAATCCTCAAGCCAAAAAACCCTAAAGTTTCGATTTTTAAAATTTGGGGGAAAAGAAAAAACCCTAAAGTTAAGATTTTTAGAAAAAAGGTTAGTAGTGATGAGATTGTTTGTGTGGAGATGTTTCCGAAGCTGGGAGATGATGATGAAATGATTGGAGATCTAATGAAGAATAATAACAATGGCGACGTGGTTGATAACAACAACAACGGAAACCGGTTAAGCCGGTGGCATCACAATTCTTCCCGGATAATTAGGGTTTCTCGAGCTTCCGGTGGTAAAGATCGGCACAGCAAAGTCTTGACTTCCAAAGGTCCACGTGACCGGCGTGTCCGGTTATCAGTCTCCACCGCTCTTCAGTTCTACGACCTTCAAGATCGGTTAGGCTACGATCAACCGAGCAAAGCTGTCGAGTGGTTAATCAAAGCTGCTGAAGATTCCATCTCCGAGCTTCCTTCACTCAACAACGCTAATTTCCCGACCGATGATGACGACAGTCAGAACCAGACATTATCAAGGTCGGTTGCTGCTGCGAATTCCTTGTCTAAATCTGCTTGTAGTAGCAATTCAGACACGAGCAAGAACTCATCTGGTTTGTCTCTGTCGAGATCGGAGCTAAGGGATAAAGCTAGAGAGAGAGCTAGAGAGAGAACTGCTAAAGAGACGAAAGAGAGAGATCATCAAAGCCACACTTCGTTTACCGATTTGTTAAATTCCGGTTCAGATCCGGTTAACTCAAACCGGCAATGGATGGCTCAAGCTCCTGCTCCGGCTCCTTCTTCATCTCCGATGGAGTATTTTAGTTCCGGTTTAATTCTCGGGTCGGGTCAACAAACCCATTTCCCGATTTCAACAAATTCTCATCCTTTCTCGTCAATCTCCGATCATCATCACCATCACCATCCTCATCAAGAGTTTTCATTCGTTCCCGAGCATTTGATATCTCCGGCAGGATCTAACGGCGGAGCGTTCAATCTAGATTTCAACATGTCGACATCCTCCGGCGCCGGAGCTGCCGTATCCGCCGTATCAGGAGGTGGGTTCAGTGGTTTCAACAGGGGGACCCTTCAGTCCAATTCAACAAGTAACCATCATCAGTCATTTCTCGCAAATCTACATAGGTTTCCAACAGCATCAGAAGGTGGTGGAGGAGGAGGAGGAGGTCCACAGTTCTTGTTCGGTGCACTGCCTGCAGAGAACCACCACCACCACCACCAACACAACCACCAGTTTCAGCTTTACTATGAAAATGGATGCAGGAACTCATCAGACCATAAGGGTAAAGGCAAGAACTGATGCTGCTTGCATCTTTCGTCATTTTGTATGTTTTGTTTTTTTTTGGTTTAAATCAAGCAAATCAAATGTCGATTTAATATCGTTAATGTGTGTTAAATTTGTTTTAGGGTTTTGTTTCTTGTTTTTGAGGGTCTTTCGAAATCATTTGGGTTTTGTAATGTTGTATTTGTGATAATAGTCATTTTGTTTTTGGCTTTCTAATGCAATTTTAGCATTTGCTTTATTTTAATTATCTTTATTATACTAAAGGATACTGTTTCTTGGTATACATGAACAAAGGGTAGGTCAAGGCAATAGGGCGATCCTTTTAAGGATACTAGATTGAATCAAATCAAATATCAGAAGATGAAGTAAATACAGAAAAAATTAAGTGAAGAGACAAAGAAACTTTGAAAAATAAAATTGATATACATATTGATAAGAGAAATAAATAATTATGAACTGTAAAAACAATGGGTAAGGCCATAATAATGCATTGAAGAGAGTGAAATAAAAATAAAATGATGAGATGTCTCCTGTTGTGCTCTATGTTTGGTTCCCTTCTTCCTTAGCATCTCTCTCATCTCTTTCTTTCTGTCTCTATGAGTATTTTGTTTTTATAATCTAATCTTTTAATCTATAGATATGATTATATATCTTGTTTCATTTTGACAGCTGTTGTCTTCAACAATGGCTATTCCCAAATTTTCATGATCTGTTTGTATATTATTTTAAGTTTTTCTTTTCAACTTTTTTTCTTTTATGGGGCTACTTGATCTTCTTCTTCTGCACCCACATGGGGCTAACCCATCTTTTAGGGTACTAGACAAACTATTATTAAAATTCATTATTTTTTAGTTGTTTCATAATTTTATATATTATTTCAGAAACCTTTCAACTTTTTGCGTGTGGTTTTGGGAATTAGAGTAAAGATGTTTATCTTGTGATTCATGTGTTTTGAGGATTAGGTATCTTCAAGTAATTTCCCAAAAGTGAGAAAGTAATATTCTCAAAACAAAAAAACATTTGATTGAAAGAAGCTTTATATTGGCCTAAAAAACATTAGAAACAATAAACCAGTTTTTTTTTTAAAAAGACATGAGAAACAATACATATTAATATTGCAGTTTCAACTTTGGTTTTTTTTTTTGTTGACTTCCATAGATTTATGAATTGGTGTTTCCAAGTTCCAATGCATTTGATATCGTCTCTGTTCACCGCGCACACTTTATTGTTTGAATTGATAAAATCTTCTCTGCATCTTCTTATTGAATGAGTCAAATTAAATGGTCCATCCATATTATTTATTATTATGAATTTTGTAAGTTTTTATCACGTTTATAATGATTTAAAGATTGAAAACAAAACCAAAAAATAAACTTTATTTGGTGGGTCATTGACTCATTGTAAAGACAAACAAATCAGAATTCACCCCACAAAACAAATCAGAATTCAATTTTTTACATAGTAGTTGTAGAAGCTAGTAAGACTATATAAACTGATAATTTAGAACATTGGCCCATATATCTTTAGAATACTAAACAGAATTTTTACAAAAAAAACTATTCTACGATCTCTTGTGGTTTCTTTGGACGAAGATCATTTGGACTCCAATGGGCTGGAAAGAAATAGGCCTTTTATAATCCCGAACCTCGTTTTAGAAACTTATATATAGCTCTTAGTTTTACACATTGTTGATTGTATTATGATAACCCAAATCTTATTAGCATGTCGTCCACGTATCCCTCTTTTAAGTCAAAACAAACAACCTTTGTTGACTCTATTACGTCTACATAATTAGCAAGTTTCACGACATTTACCACAAACCAGACTAACCAGTGTGTGAACATGGCTGTTTTTAAACCAAAACATAAAGGTAAAAAACATATAGCTAATATAGATGGTTGATGTGTTTCAACCTTCCCAAGCTTATTTACAAATTAAACATAAGAGGTTCGTCGTCATATTATAAAGATAACCGATGTTTCTAATTGAGATATTTTAACTATACCAATTTTTTTATATAATGTTTTCATTTTGAATTACACACAGTTTTGCTCTGAAGAGTGGTGGAGGGGTCATTTTCTAGATTTTGGTATAATATATTCATATCAATTCATGTATTATATGTGCTTTTGGGAGAGAAAGAGCCTTAATGTTCGGGAAACTTTATAATCATCTTTTTATTTATTTTTTCCTCTAAACACCTTTTAGTGCCTATTATTGTCTCTCTTCGTTCCCTTGTTATACCTTTATAATTATATTCAGTCAGATTTATTCGTAAATATAATGAAACTGATTAAGAGAGGAAGATAATGTACATTATCTATCTTTTTTTTTTTACCATAGATGATGATGCTGCGTTTGGTTTATTATACTTAAAGCATAGAAAATTAAATGTATCGTTTGCAAACGATAAATGGGTGATTTGTTCGAGTGTTAAGCAATGCCTAACCCTAAGGTTAAGCAATGCTTGAATCTTACAAATGTCACCATAAAGTGGAAATGACAAAACTAAGTTTGGTTGGAGGCATGTTCTTAATCTTTGTTTAGTGAATATACAATTTGTATATAGAATTCATTAATCATTTTATAACTTTCATTCGTCACCAGATTATCAAAACTATATGAATATTTGTTATTTGTAGACTTAGTAGTCTTCATAATTTGACGCGCGTTCAGGAATATACGACTTTACTGGTAGTTTATAACAAAGTGAAATTCTGTTTTTAGAAGAAAAAAGATTACAAAGATTAAAGTCTCACTTAGATAACAAATTATAAAGCGTATCATTTTTGTTTTCTGTAAATTATATATTTTAATGGTAAAAAGTGTTGTGCAAACGTATCTGATAAATAAAGTTTTCATCATATATTATTACGAAATATTATACTATTGATTTGAAATAAATAAATAAAACACTATTGTGACATTCATTCTCTACATTATCATCATTCAATGTCCACTGAAAATTTCCATTAAGTAATTATAATTTTGGTTGTCAAAAAAGTTGGCTAAAAGGGTACAATAATTTCATCCCAATTACAAACTTTTTTGCCTGCCCGAAAGTGAACAAGTGGGCTCTTCCTTCTTGAAGTATCCAATATCTTTCAAACAGATTCAACATCTTTTACATTTATAATCCTTCTTGTCATGTGATATGCTTATGTAATCAATCAATGTAAAGCCGAATTAACAAAGAAAATATCATTCTCAATATTAAGCATCGCCGGATTTAGACCAAGTTGCATGTAATTGGCTTTTAAATCATTCGATTTACAGAAAGTGCAAAACATTTGTAACCAAACGTGGTAGATTATAGAGAAGATTGCAGAGATTAATATTTAGATATATATATAAAAAATAAAATATATAGAGTTTTTTTATTTAGCTTTGGGACCAAACCCGAATCTAATGGTGGTACAGTGTTACTGGTCCCTGAGTGTCCTGAACCACTCTTCTTCCCCTTTGGTATTAAAATGTATAACTTATTAAATAAAAATACAAATTAATGCCAAAAATACGAAAATTAAGTAAAAGGAATCACGAACAAGTAGTACTTATTACATTACTCAATTTTTTTTTATTTTTATAACAACTTTGGGAGAAGTATACAAAAGAACAAGTAGAAAGCAAAGCAACTGTATCTCTTACCTACAAATTTTATATTCACATAATAATGAAAGAAAAATAAAACACATTGAAGATTTTATAAGATACAAACTTGCTCTTCTTACACGATTGCTTTGCGAGCTGAAACAAAAAAAAGCAGCCAGCGAATGTGGGTTTCACCGGTGTCCAAGCACACGGAATCCGAACCTTCCAAGAGACCAAGCATTGAGCACCATTTGGTGAATCTAGCATTAGTCACACTTCATACAAAACTTATCTTTCTGCATTGTAGTAGTCTCTTTCAAAACCTGGTTAGCCTTTGTGATACATGCACCTATCAAACACGGATGAACCAACAATAAGGTTCTGACTTGTGACAATGAAACTTATCCAAAGCCTAAATTATCAGTCTTTACAATCAATGCTAAATCAAAAGGTTTCATCTTTTTGATAATACTAATCATTTGAAACAGCCACATACTGTATTAGGAACTTAATCTCATAATTGATCATACCCAAAATTACTTGATTTTCATGCGCAATATTTCATACCTTATATCCGACTTTTGCGAAATCTTGCAGCTTTTAGAACGAATTCATCTCAAGACAATAAGTCCTTCTCTTAACCAGCATCTTAGCAGCTACTCCATAAGGCTCATCAAAAGCAGAAGAAACCCAAGACACATCAGAAACCTCTTTCTTCGACTCACTGGGTCTAATCGCCACAAGCGTAGCTCCTTTCAAGACCGTCCCATCGGGCAATTCCAAAGTAGGAGCATACCATAGCCTCATATTCAAAGCAGGCACAAGAGTCCTCTTAGAAGCCGAAGAAGCTGACAATGGTTTCACCCTCAGTTCTTCCAACTGATCTCGATTCATACACAGTACTCCTTGTCCATCGACATCAGTAAGCACCAAAGTATCAAGCGTCTTATGCTCTGCTATAATCGGCTGCAACAAGTAATGTCTCGCGGATGCAGCGATCAAAGAGCTTATAGTCCATACCACACGAAGCTTTAGCCCTCCGTTTGTGTAAAACGATTCAGGGATACTTCCATTATCCTCCACCACCGCGTTGTTGTTACTGCTACTCAGATCAACGGTAGTATCGGAATTAGTCGCCGGAATCACAGAGGAAGCACCGAGGATCACACAATTCTCAAGCGTAGAGCCAAATTCAGCTCTCCATTTCAACAAAACACCATCGTCAACACCCAATTCACCACTAGGAAGCTCGATTCGAAGAAACCGAATCTCATCGAAGTTTTTCAAAACCTGAGTGGGAGAATGATGCGTCACACCTCCTTGTTCAATCTCACCATCATCACCACCGCCACTAATCAACAACGAGGAAGGAGAAGACGACGAAGCTGAAGAAGACGAAGACGAAGAAGAAGAAGAAGAAGCGGAACCTGAGCGTTTAAGGAACTGACCCAAAGCTTGTAACGGCTTAATCATAAGACGATAGAGAGCAGAGAAAGGAGTAGCGGCAACGGAAGCAACGGATCGAGGCTTATCAGAGACGATAGAGGAACCATCGTCGTCGGAGATAACGCAATCGACACGAACGACGACATTCTCGACTTGAGGGATTAAGGAATGGAATCTCTTGGAGACGACGCAGCAACGGCCAAGGGATTTGACGTCGCCGATGTTGTTGAAGATGAGGAGGAGGATCGAGTCAGGGAGGTGATCGAAGTGGTCGATTTGTTGTTTTAACGGTTCGGGTTCGGGGTGGATTCGGGAGAGTGGATCTGATGAACGGAGAGTTATGGCCATTGGAGAAGATCGAAGAAGAAGATAACAGAGCTTAGAGAGAGAGAGAGAGGTTTGTGGAAGGAATCTAGAGAAGAAGAAAAAGGATATAAATGGAAGGCAGAGTAAAATTAGAGAGAAAGAGATCCCCACTTGTTTTTTTCTTTTTTTTTTTTTGTCTGTAGTTTGAAAGACTGACTTATATATAAATAAATAAATTATATTAAGCGCGTGTGACGCGTGAAGAGAGATTTGATTAGTTTAATCAGATAGTTAACACAAATTAATGATTAGAGTTCATAGGTGTATATAATAATGTTTTGTTACAGTGCATGGGAAGGTTGCTTGATTGATGATAACCAGGTATTGGTTCCGGTTTACAATTTTAATCTTGGTTAACCAGATTTCTTACCACCAATACCCCAATGGTTTAAGTTAAACCATGAACTGATTATAAGCTATATATGATTAATAACACAAAAAATAAATAATTGTGAATGCTTCGTGGGTGTTCAATAATCAAATATGGATTTAGATGAGAAGACACAGTTATATAATAATTTTATATACAAATATGATTCGTTCATTCGCATCGCATGATGATTATTGATGATGATATGGGATTTTGCATTATTATTAATAATATACACTCATGCATGACTCAATAAAAGATCTTCCAAACTTAGCTGTACCACATGATAACAAAGTCGTTAGGTCATTTCTTGAGAATGATTTGGATTTGCCTAGTCCTCTACTCTACTCTCCTAGGACATTTCTTCAACTTTTTTCTTTTTATTTAGTAAGTTCGATAATTATATTTGATCCAAATGAAAAAAACAAATTATAGTAATTATAATAACATATGTTGGTAAAACTTTCATATCTCTTGAAAAATATATGAGAATGGCAAATTTATCTTATATTCTTGGATTTAAAAGTCTTGTTCTAATGAAAAATGGGTTTGCCGAGAATAAGCAAAGGATACATTAAAATTCTTTGCACAGCTTGTTAAGTATTACTATAATCAAACCTCAATTGTGATATTAAAATACTATAGTTAGAAGAGATGATATATAATTGGAAGAAAGAAGATACGAAAGTGCATGGGACAAGTCATGTGTTAAATCTGGAATAGCCACAGTACAGAGCATTAATTTAGATCTGAATCAATCAATATAGGGGGAAAGAAGAGACTTAGCAAGGAAGTAAAAAAGAAGAAGAAAGAAAGCCGCAGATATTGGTGTCACATGCACGTCGTGTCATGTGTCTATTCTTCGTTCGCACGCCTCGCCGGGGTTCCACCTTTTGGTTTGGTCATCATCGACGTAAAAACGCCGCGTCGTCCGTCCGTACAAAATACCATCATTCATCGATCAACTCACATAATTCTTACATTGTACTAAACTTTTAGTTTCATTTGGATTTGTTGAAGTTCACTAATAAATCAGTGAATTTCTCAATATAAAACAAAGCTTGAGGTTAATAAAGAAAGAAGTAAAATCTTGGTGTGTAAATTTTATGATAAAAATACAATATTTAGGAACTTATAAATAAGATGCAAAATAATAATGGAGTACAACAGAGAAAGTATGTGACTATTAAATGCAAAAAAAAACAGCAACGTAACTCGATAAAAGATGATCATGAAACATCTAAGATTCTTCCGTCCTAAATACCAACACACACTTCTCTTGCATTTGCATCATACATAATTCAAATAATTTAAACGAATAAATCCAGCTAAATTTTATATATTTGTAACACGATTTCCAGATCATCGTCTTTTTCTAACTATATATTATATATATTCTCAAAAGTCATTTTGATTTTCTTTTACGTTATGATCGTACGAATATATATAAAATGTAGACCCAACCAATTACATGTTTGTATTTGTAATCATCCGTAATACGTACATGTGCACAACACAAACATATTCATCCTTTTTTTATATAGTTACAAAAACAAAAAAAAAACTTAATTACGTACATACATACGAATATACGATAACTCGATAAGGCTTGTTCGCAAATTCAGGTACTTGTATAGATAATAGATGCATATTGATTTATTTGTGAATTGTCAAAGGACTGAGATTAAGGTTGAAGCAGAGTTTCATAAGAAGAAGATGATAAAACAGTTTAGGTATCGTAAAACTCTTCCACGGGTTGTTTTTACAAATGGATTTTCCAAATAATATTAGATTACAAAAGGTATTAAAAAAAAACTCACTTCAGAATCTCTTTAGAGATCTTGAAGATGATTTTAAAGACTACTGTTGTTCATAGCAGAGAGTTTTCTAAAGAAAACACCAAGAACCTTGCATAAATGATGATGAGAAGGTACAAAGCAACAGAAGAATAAAGATCTGAACTTTAATAGGGATTATAACCTCAACAAGTTCATCCTTCTTCCCTTTTGAGATACGTATATTAGCATTGGTCCTTTTCCTGATTTTGTTTATGACTGAGCCACTTTTCCCTATAACACATCCAATAACCTTGGAAGGAACAAGAAATTGCATCTCAACGTTTTCCGCATTCTCGTCATTGATATACTCTTGCAGCAGAAGAACAGCTTCAACAGCCATAGACTTCATATCATCATGAGACTGAAGAAAAACACACCAAAAAATAGGAACGGAGTACTCAAACAAAATAAACAATATCTACATAATTAATAAAAGATAGATAAAAAGCAGACCCAAACCTCTGTAGCAGTGACAATGATAACACACTCATCATCACCACACTTTGTTCTTGAGTCATTAACCTCAATACAAGAACCGCTTGCTTCTCTTATATTTTTAATGGTTGATCCTCCTCTCCCGATTACACGAGTAATATTTGTCAAAGGGCACACGACTTTTAAAACCAACTCTTCTGTTCTGGAAGACAAATAAAAACCATGAGTCACAGGGAGAGAAGAAGCAAAAACAGGCACTGGATTCGCAGCGGTTTCTGCATAACCTTGAGAGTCAGATACAGATAGTGCATTGGAATATGACGGAACACCCGCTTTGTGCTGAAGAATATGATCCTGATTTGCGTAAAATCCAGTTTGAGGATAGACAGAGTTAGAAAGATCTGATGTAACTATACTACTAGCTTTAACATTTTGGCTGTTTGAATCTAGAGGAATCTGTTCACGAGGATTGATCTTGTACATGATTGCAGAAACAGAAAAAAAGTGCTTTCTTCACGGAATCAGGCTCACCAGATATCTATATGATAGAGAAAGACGAATACATCAATACAAATAGCTAAAAACAGGCCAAATAAATACATAATAAAACTTTGAAAATTTGAGATACTAACCACAACAATATTGTCATATTCCATGGCACAAGCGTGTGAAGGATCTGAAACATCTTTGGAAACAGCCTTAACACTAGCTTGAGTTCTACTTCTAATCCTCTTAATGTTCGAACCAGCCTTACCAATCACACTAGAACATTGACTAGACGGTACTAAAAGACGGCATTCCTGCTTATCATCTCTAATTCTATCTATCTTAGAATTCTCTCCAGCACTAGCTACAATTGCCTCATGGACTTTAAGAAGAGCATCTTGCGCTCAACCATCGTTAGTGTCAAGGATTTAGAACCTGGAAACAGAATGAGACCAAATGGTGACTAAAAAGCACGCAAAGGACCAAACTTTAGCTGAGAACTATTAAAATTAAGGCTACTTAAGTGCAAAATTGTTTCACTGGGAAAATAAAAGCGACAAATGTGTTCAATTTTGAAGATCATAAGAGTTTGGAAATTTTAAAAGAAGGAAACAAGACATACGAAAGTATCTATAAAAAGTTAGTAAGACAATGGGAGAGATTTCATACAGAGATTCTCCGAGGTGAAAAGAAACAACTTTGAGATTGGTCGGAGACAACTCTTCGGAGGATGATGACGGAAGAGGCGATTCTTCGATTCTGGATTCTAAGAGCAACCTCAACGGAAGATGTTTATGAGGTTCTTTAGGCCAGATTCGATTAAAAATAAATGAATAACAGCAGTTATTAAAGAGAACCGACTCCTCTTTAGGAGCTTTTAATAAGTGGAAGAGGCGGTGACGTGGCGATCATATATTGGTTGATGGTAAAAATATAAAAAGAAAAAAAAAGAGCAAAACAATTCATTTTTCTTTCTCTTCTCTCTCCTCGTTGAAATCGCTGCTTCATAAACACATTTTTTCTTCTTATTAAACATTCCCAATTTTTTCTTATTATTAAACATTTCCAATTTTTTCTTCTATTCTTATTAAACATTTCTTATTAAATATTCCTAAACAAGAAAATGTTTTCTTCTTCTTCACTTAATAATCTCCAAGATATGATGAATGACGCATTTAATCAAACTTTCGACGATCATATCGAATTTTTTTATATATTTGTTTCTATGTTATGTAATGTAATGTTTTTAAAAGTCATGTTTATTTAAAAAGTAATAAAATACAATCATTAAAAAAATTAATAATTAAAAAAAAATTAAAGAACCTAAAGATTCTTACCATTGAAACACAATAAATTTAAAAACCCCATCACAAACTCTTCATCTCAATTTTTTCAAAAATTATATTAAAAAAATTGCAAAGAACCCACAAAGAGTCTCTCCCATTGTGGATGATCTAAGACCAAACCTGTATTTTTATTTATTTTGAAATTGACTATCCTTTAAAGTGATAGTTCAATTACATTTCTAATTGAAAATTAGAAAAATAAACTTCATCTTTCGACATTTTAATTTTTTTCATTGTAACCACATGGTTTAAATTTACATCAAAAGTCAAAAAGGATGAAAACAAAATTTTTTAAAAGTACAAAGGCCACGCAATAATTATGTGCCTTTTGTTTTTGAGCTTCTTCTCTCGGGTCAGTCATAAAAAATAAGAAAAACTCTGTAATCGAAAAAACCGAAGTAAGAAAGCCCTAAGGTTTGATTTCTATCCCCAACTTCCTCTTCTGATTCTTGTATAGGGCATTGATAATTATGAATTTGCTTCATCAATGTCAAATCTTTTTTGTTTCCCGTACTTTTGTTTGCATTGCTAGACTCGAAAGTTGTGAATTAGGATTTTTCCTGGGAAAATTATTAATTGGCTTTTGGTTCATATGTGTGGTAACTATATAGACTTTTAGATTCCGGAAGTAGCCTATTTGAATGAATTGAGCCAAGAACCAGATGCATCTAAGAGTTTCAGAGCATGGGTGTTAAAAAGTTTAGAACTTTGGTTAATTACATCTTATAGGATTCGAATGCTACTCTATATTCTATTTCTTCAAACTTTTGATTGTTCCCATTATGTGTTATTGATGTTTTAGCTTGTTTTTGGGTTTCAAGAATAGAAGTATATAACAAGATTAAGAAGCCAGTTGTTGGGAATGGAACAAGAAGCCGAGAGAAGCACCAACATTGTTCCGTCAACCTCTGATTTAGATCCGATAGCACGAGTGAGGAAGCTCTTGTTCCGTCAGATGCTAGTGGGAGTCAAAGACGGGAGATTCTTCCTTGGCAATTTCCATTGTATTGACAAGCAAGGAAACATAATTCTCCAAGACACTGTGGAGTACCGTAGCATAAGAAGATCGTCTCCTTCGCCTACTGAACAGCGTTGTCTTGGTATGATCTTAATCCCTTCCTCTTGCAGGACATCTTGCCATGTTGATTGCTCTATCGAGGAACAGCTTTCATTGATTCAGCTGAAAGCGTAGAGCCTCCTTTTAAGACTTCATGAGAGAATCATCCTAAATGTCATCAATGTGTATCCAAATGTTATCATGGATTTGGTCTCTTCATCATGCTCAAAATCAAAACTCTATTCCATGTACTTGTATGCTCATTGATTCATATGTTTTTGTGAAGAAAAATGTATACATACATTGGAAACTCAGGAAACTTTTATATTTACATTTAGAGAGACAGGAGTCTGAAAGTTTACAGAGTGTATTATGAAACAACAATATAAAAAAAACTCAAAGATGTGTTTTCTTCTTCAGAATCTGTCTCTGTAAGCTGTTCCATACACAATGAGGTAGGGTACTGTTCGGACAACTGTGTCAATGGGAATAGCAAAGTTGACACCAGAAGACATACCACTCCCTGCAACACAAAAATTGTTCACTTCAGTATGTTATTCGTGTCGGCAGAAATATCGAATCAAAGAACAGAGTTATAGTTGTGTTTTAAGATTTGGTAAAAGATCTCTCGTTCCACCTTTTCGAGTGAATGTGGCAGTGTTTACGCCTATGGTATGGCCAAAAGAATCAAGCAATGGCCCGCCAGAATTTCCTGTATTACATAACGAAGAAATTGCAGTTTTCATAAAAAACTGAATGAAATGAGAAAATTGATAGACGTTTGTGAATTACCAGAGTTAATATCAGCATCTGTTTGGATAGCTTCTCGAATACTTTTCCCATTAGGTGAAGGTATCTCTCTTCCCAACCCACTCACTACCTACAACCCCCATGATAACAGTCCACTTTCAAGTGAGATGTTTAGACTCGAGTGCTGTTATATACAAAAACTCAGGACCTTATTACTCTTACCCCTATTGTCAAAGTGTTTTCATATCCATATGGATTCCCGATCGCAAAGCAATTTTGACCTACGCGTAGGTCATTGGAGGTACCGAGAACAACAGGTATTAATTCGCGTCCCTCGGTTTCAATCTGTACATTACAGTAGATAAAAAGAGGTAAAGTAATGTTCATTCAAATGGTCTCAGTGAAATATGCAACATCCTTGTCTAAGATTTACCTTCAACACAGCTAGATCATTATCTGGATCAAGACCCACAATTTTCCCGTCCTTGGTAAATCTTGTCCCGGTAGCATCAACTAGAGAGACCTAAACAACAACCAAACTGTGATTGTCTCTTAAGTTACTTGGCTTGGCTTTGTGACTTTTATCTACTATTGAATGGAAAAGAAGATGGAGACCTTACAACGTTGTGAACCAAGCTGATCTGTAGCTAACTTGGCAATGACATGATAGTTTGTCACCTACATTGTACAAGAAACAAACTTTCATTGTTTTGCCAGGATTCAGATTTCAGAGCCACAAACATGAGCACGGAAGAAGAATTAGCTTACAATGTGACCAAGCTTATCCCAAACGAAGCCTGAACCTGTGCCTTCGATCTTTGCATTTTCCTCATCACTAAAATCACCAGAAGACGTTTTGGGCAGCTCAATGTCTTCAATGTAAACAACAGACGGCGAAGTTTTCTGTAAAAAAAAAAGTAAGATTTGAAATCTTTTTAAATCAGAGATACCAAAAGAAAAAAAAGCTTCTGAAGGGAAAATAAGGCAAAACCTGGAAGAGAATGACATTTCTCTCTTCTTCTTCCTCAAGCTCATCTTCTTTTTCCTTCAATTGCTCCAATGCGATCGCAGACTCCACCGGAAATATCTGAAGATTGGACGGAAGCAGAGTCGACGCGAGTGCCAAACTCGAACCGAAGATCATGATTCTTCTTCTCCGATCAACGATGTCTACTTGATTCGAACCCGAGCAAGCTAACACTAAATTTGACCGATTGAATGGAGTTGAAGTATGATAGATTGAGGAGGAAACTTTAGAAGAAGCAAGAGCCATAGCCATGGCTTCTTCTTCTCAAAGCTCTCCTACAATGGCTCTTACTCAAACTTCCACTCAGAGATGATAAGGCAGAGAGAATAAAATTTCGGTTTGGTTCTAGTTAAACCGGAAATGGTTCTGTGACAAAAATAATTTTGTTAACCGGATTAATTTTCGGGTATATTAACCATCACGTGACAAGCACACATATGTAATGTGACATTGTTACTATAGATTGGCTCATGATTTGGTTGGTTTGCATAATCTTGTGCAGAGAATCACAATGAACTCTTTAAGGAGGATAGAAACTCTTGTTTCTCTGTGGCTCCATGAGACGATTGAATCCAAAGATAATTCATTAGCCATCACCTATGTTTTTGTTTTGATGAGAAAAGGTGGGAGAGTCATGCATGAGCTTTGATGAAAGCTCAATTATAATTCTCATCCATCTGCCCAAGAGGTAGTGGGCTGGTGGTAGGAGAGCTTGGAGGAAGGGTGCAACTCCCACAACCTGGGTTCGATTCTCCACTTTGCTGTTAACACTATCTTTGTGGGAAGTCTGTCAGTTGGGCTTAGGCCCAATTGGTTTACCTGGTAATCAGAAATGCAGGCGGCCTGATTACCCCCGGGCATTAGTCGGAAAGCGTTAATCTGGATTCAGGCGATGTGGTAGCCCAACACCTAGGTATTGGCGACGAGTCCACATTGTAGCACTTCGGTGTGATCCTCCCAAAGCTGACCGGATCAGCCGATCGGGTTTATCAAAAAAAAAAAAAAAATTCTCATCCATCTCTAGTAGAGATAGGTACTACAAAAACTTGCAATCACAGTAAAAAAAAAGATACTAATAATGAGGAACATGACGCAAGTAAAGGAACTAGAGGTTAAGTAGATTCACCATATGACACTAATAATGAACATAATTAACAACAATAAAAAACAAATTGAAACAAAAAGATGTGGGATGTCCAAATGTCATAAATTTATCATTGCATCTCCTAACATGAATTAAAAAAAAAAAAAAAAAAAAAATCTATACTGTTTCACAAAATTAGAGCCAAAACAAATGTCTAATTTTGGTTATGGTAATGGGTCTTAAACGGGCCGGGAATTAACTATGTTTTGTAAAATGATAAAAAAAGCCCAATATGGAGCTAAGTAATTTTCTTGGGAACGGACCCAATCATGTGACAATCACACACACTGACAAAATGTTTATTTTATTTTACACAGACACAGAGAGAGACGTATGTTTCTTGGTGACTTATTATGATTGTGTCCATATCAGTAATATTCTATTCAACAATTTTTTCTTCGCCACCTTCACGAGAAGAAGACCAAGTCGCTTCGCTCTAGGCCTCTAAGAGTCTAAGGTAAGCTCTGTGTTGCTTCTCTCGTTCATGATCGTTCATTTGATTGTAGATCGAAAATCCAACGAGTGTAGATCCTCTGGTTTTTAGAATCTGGATTAGTTTTTTATGATTCTTTTGATTACATACTTCTTCTACTGTTGAATTCAGGATTTTGAACTGATTTAGAAATGGAGATAACAAACGTGATGGAGTATGAGAAGATAGCAAAGGAGAAATTGCCAAAGATGGTTTATGATTATTATGCATCTGGTGCAGAGGATCAGTGGACTCTTCAAGAGAATCGTAACGCCTTCTCTAGGATCTTGTAAGAGAAACAAACCAAAGAATATATCTTTTTTTATAGTTTGACTTTGTATTTTTCTGTGGAATTTAATTGTGTTTTGTGTTTGTTTTATGAGTTGGAAAACAGATTCAGGCCTCGGATTCTTATCGATGTAAGCAAGATTGACGTGAGCACTACGGTTTTAGGGTTTAACATCTCTATGCCAATCATGGTTGCTCCTACAGCTATGCAGAAAATGGCTCATCCTGATGGTAAGTGATAAGTCTTTCTAGAGTTGTGTTGTGACTGTAACCAAAAAAAAAAAACCAATCTTGAGTGTCTCTTCTTTGTCAAGGACAAGCCTTTTATTTAGCTTAGATTATTGTATTGTTAAAGACGTTAAGTTCACTATGGTAAGTGGTTTTGTTATCGTTGTAGGCGAGCTTGCAACCGCAAGAGCTACTTCTGCTGCTGGAACAATCATGGTTTTGAATTCTTTGTCTCTGTCTCTTTCACTTGATTGGATATCTACTTTATGTATTCATTTTCTGTGTTCTTTGATGTTATCAGACTTTATCTTCATGGGCTACTAGTAGTGTTGAGGAAGTTGCTTCTACAGGACCCGGGATACGGTTTTTCCAGCTATATGTAAGTTTCAGAATATCTACTTGTTTGTTTTTGAATTTTTGGCTTTGAGTCAACTGTCTGTTCTCTTGATTCAGGTGTATAAGGATAGGAATGTGGTTAGACAGCTTGTTAAAAGAGCTGAAAAAGCTGGATTCAAAGCGATTGCTTTAACTGTGGACACTCCTAGGCTTGGAAGAAGAGAATCTGACATCAAAAACAGGTGATGAATCGTCATACCATCAAATAAAACCAATTTGTTCGTTAAATCTTTCGGTTTTCGTGATGGTTTTATCTTGCAGATTTGCGCTTCCTCGAGGTCTGACATTGAAGAACTTCGAAGGGTTGGATCTTGGGAAGATAGACAAGGTCATAAGACTTATAAAAAAACTTGAATCAATCATCTAATAGCTCAATACTAAAAATTGTTGTTTTGCTCTGTTGAAAATTGCAGACCAATGACTCAGGGCTAGCTTCATATGTTGCTGGTCAAGTTGATCAGTCACTTAGCTGGAAGGTCAGAAAATGTGACAAGATCAACTCTTTGTTTTCCCATTCCAAGATTCAGAAACATGATAGTCTTGGCTTCGTTTCGCTGTGTATTTTCTTCTTACAGGATATAACATGGCTCCAATCTATTACAAGCTTGCCAATTCTTGTCAAAGGTGTTATCACAGCTGAGGATGGTAAGAGACACTAAAAATGAGAAAATCTGCATCAATCTTTACTTAAAACTTTCACAATGTTAGGAAAATTCCTCTGATTCTTTTGAAAATTTGGCAGCAAGAATTGCTGTTGAATATGGAGCTGCAGGGATAATAGTCTCTAACCACGGAGCACGTCAGCTGGATTATGTCCCTGCAACTATAATGGCCCTGGAAGAGGTTGTTACATTTAACCTTTAAGTGGATCTAGATTGAAATCTGTTTTCAAATAAAGGTTTCAGCTCTCTTCATTGATAAAATCAAGCAAAATCGCAGGTAGTAAAAGCCGTGGAGGGTCGCATACCGGTTTTTCTTGATGGTGGGGTTCGCCGTGGAACCGATGTCTTCAAGGCATTGGCTCTTGGTGCTTCAGGTGTCTTTGTAAGTTCATATCATCACATACTCTCTTAGCTCTTGTAATATTCCCCTGCTTCTCTCACTATTTTCAAAAAATTGCATGGTTATATATCATTGATGCATAGGAGTACTCTCACAGACCATATGATATCCCACATGACATGTATATGCAATTACTCTTGTTTGATTAGGTCGGGAGGCCGAGCTTGTTCTCGCTTGCAGCGCATGGAGAAGCGGGAGTGAGGAAGATGCTACAAATGCTGAGAGACGAGTTTGAGCTTACAATGGCACTAAGTGGCTGCCGTTCCCTGAGAGAGATCAGCCGTAACCACATCAAGACCGATTGGGACACTCCTCATTACCTCCCGGCCAAGCTCTAGGGAATCTTATCCACTTCTTTTTGAACTCATCAATCAAAAGAAAAGAGAGAAGGATGTTTGAATTTGTAATCCAATAATGTAGTCACATATCCAACTTTATAATCGATTTATACTTCCATTTAAGTAAAAGAATTTGATATGAGAGATTTTGTAGCTTTAGTTCAATAAAGATGGTAAGAAGAACTACATATATGTAAGTTGAGGAACAGGCGTTTGATAATTGAGTCTTCGGATTTCAACTTTTAGATTGTACTTTTCCTTAAAATGTGATAAAATCATATTTAATTCTAGTTACTTATACATACTAGATTATATACTAGCAACAAATAGCTTCATTCAACCTCAATATGTTTTGTAGTATCCGAATTCAAATGAATTTTTTATTACCTCCAAATAGAACTTTGACTTTGTGCATGAATTAAAAGTTTGTTTTTTTTCTTTGTTACTTTTGATAACGTAGGTTCGAGACGTTTCTGAATCGGAACTACACATATGGAACATAACAGAAATGATGAAATATATACATGGGTAATACCTTCACTGTATAAACTATTTGTTTTAAGATGACGACCATCAATAAATAACAACAATTTGGGTCCAAATAATCTTGGATGATCGAAAACGAAATGGTTACAACGTACGTACGTGTAGCATTTAGCCATGCAACGTTTGTAAAAAACCATGAGGTCCATGACATCATCACCATCGCACATTCATCTGACAATCCCACCGATTGTATCCATATATAAAGACATAAATATGTACATAACATATCGGCTTTATATGGCTGGCCACTACATACGCTTTTACGGTATATAGTATTAACTAAGCTATACAATTATACAGACGTGGCTTCACTTAATACCACAAACACGTTGCCCATCATTTGTAAATTGATCGAAACACTTCGGAATCTATGGGAATATTCAACAGTCTTTTGCTGGTTTCGTGTGTTTTATCTGTATATATATGTAAGTACGTACGAGAAAATCTACGTCTGATTCTCTCATCGTCATTTCTACTGTTTCGTCATTGCATCAGTCATCTTCTGTAGACTAGGACAGCTAAGTTTCTATATATACAGAGTCAATGCATGAACGCAAATGATCCTAATCAGAACTCATATATTATAGCATCTATATTACTACATTATAAGATAACAATTCGAAACAAACGTCGAGATTATATTATTAAACACGCCATAAGACCATCTACCCAATAAAACGTTATCCTTGAAATATTATGGTCCAATTATTTATCCGTATTAATCAGGATCTTAATTAGTTCATATAATGTTTGATGGCGGATATTTTATTGTCAAATCCGTCATTAACATAAGTACATAACATAATAACCAAGTGTTAGGCAATTACGTGAAGTATAAACACACCATAATCGCATAATAATAATAAGGCCATGTCGCATAATATCAAAGCACAAGTAACGAGTGTTTCTGTGTTTGTATGATGAAGATGCATGCAACCAGATTTTTTTTTTTTTTTAATTTCCTTTACATATTTGTATTCCGGGTAATTTGCTTATTTTTCTTTTTTAGAATATAATGTTATTTTGTTCAAGAATATGTTAATTCTGAGCTATCTTTCAAACGTATGTTTCTCTACGTACGATGCGTACCCGAAGAAAGCCAAATTATATAATCTAAACCCATTCGTTACTAACATTGTATAAATTGTTAGAAACAATTGATAACATTTTACAACCTATCTAAGTTTTTTCTAATTTATCACATTATTCAAACGTTACATTAATTATTATAATTGATCCACGAGTTCCCTCGAATCCACGAATGTCCCATGAAACCCATACGGTACTCTAGACGGTAGCTTAATCGTAGCTTCAAGCTCTAAATTAACGGCGTTAATAATCTGGAGCTCCGACGTCTCTTTTTCTTCATCATGAACGTGACAGAATATATAACCGTCATCTTCATTTCCTCCGCCCTCACCGGGCAAGAAAAACGGTTCTCCGCCGTATTTCTCACCGCCGTAAATGTACTTTTTCATCTCTCCGGTGAAAAGATCGACCTTAGCGAAACCGGAAACTTTTGGCCAAGGATCAGCGATAGCCAAAAACGCGAACCGGGTTTTTCTACCTAACCGGTTCCGGTTAACCATACCGATCTCTAAATTCACATCCTCGTTAACCAGCAAAGCACGGCGCGTGGCTTCACGCGTCCTGAGGTTTATCCTGATCTCTGACAAGACGCTTCTCAAGCTCTCGTCTCTCTCGTTGAAGATTGAATCCGCCGGCGTCATACACGACCCGATCACCACGATCTCCTCCGTCTCCGGCGATTCCCACGCGTTCCAGAGATGGAAACAGAACGTCTCTGGCGAATTCACCCAGATGATCTCAGAAGCATCCGTCGCGTCTTTGGGCATTATCCCCAATCTCGATACCTTTTCTCCGTCGAAAACCACCGGAGATTTACCGGAGATCATCTCACCGAGCTTAAACACGACTTGCTGATCCGGAATCACCACGAAATTCTCAGTAATAGCGAAATCGTGAATCATCGTCGGAGTTTCGAGAGGGATCTCCAATTCCGGCGATTTCACGCCATCCGGCGAGAATCTGAAGTATTTCAGGTAAGGCTTCTTAACGACGTCGTAGCTTAACGCGTGAAGCTCCTTCGTAACCGGGTCGAGTTTCGGGTGGGCTATCATGGCGGATTTTAACTGACCGTCGAAATCGAAACGTCCAACGGTTTGGAGATCGCCGGTTTGAGTTACTTTTAATTGGTACGGTAAATCGTCTTCAGACATAGCTAAAAGCCGGTTATTAAAGTAAACCAAACCGGCGTTGGCTACTCCGACGCCGTTTCGGTTGTTGATGAGACCACAAATCCCACGTGCGTAAAACAGCATCAAACGTGCGATTCCCGAGTGGCCATGAAGCTCGCCGATTGCTTTCGGAAAAACCGGTCGACCCAATCGTTTTTCCTGAACCAATCTCTCGGTTTTGGTGAACCGGCAAGCGTAGCTAGCTGAACCGTTGGTTATTTTAACGGCGTGAACCATACCGTCACCGTCGAACAGATGGTGTCCAGCTATTGGCTCAAACATCGGATTTGCACCGTTACGGACATAGACTCCGTCAATGCATTCAGGGATTGTTCCTTCGACGGTGAGGTTTCTCCGGACGGGAGATTCAGATACCGGAGAATAGTTCCCGGCTATTTGAACACGTGGATCGGCGGTTTTGGGAAGAGGAGTATCATGTTCACGTGATATTAAAGCGCGCTCAGCGGCGTCGATAGCAATCGCCGCCGCTTTTTGGAAAATGTTAAGGCGGAGAGGATTATGCCGCGGGGGAGTGGCGGTGGTTTTGGGGGTAAATAGTTGTCGTTTTTGGGTTAAGTCGGTAGTAACGTCGATCTGCACCGTGCATTTAATAATCTTCGACCGTCTTGTAATGGGCTTAAAGCCCAAATCAGTGTGGGTTTGAGGCCATGTTTTAGCACCAGTCATCGACATTGCAAGAAGAGAGACCATGATGATGGCTTTTGTGTTTGTTGATCCTAGTAGTTGTATATGTTTCTGACACTGATTGTTTCCCTGTTGTTTTTTTCTGGTCTGAAGAGTGAAAGAGAGAGAGGAGAGGAGAGGAGATGAGAGAAGAGAGAGAGAGTTGTTCGATGAGAAGAAGAAAAGAAGAAGGAGGAATGTTATATAGAGTTGGGTAAGAAAGAGAGAAATAGTGTGTGTAATGACTTGATGACATGAGCATGCGGCCAACAAAACGATAATAATATGAAATAAATTTGAAGTCATACAGAGTTTTAATAGTTTGTGGGTTTTTTTTCTTTGCGTGGAGAGAAATTCCAAATTTAATCTAATTTTTTAATGATTAATGTATATAGTTATAGCTATTTAATTTCAAATTTGCGTTCGAAACTAATAAAATAGACTTACATAAATCTTGATGACAAAAGATTATAACTATTTATCCAATATTTTTTTTTAAAACACTACTTTCAACATTATGTGTGATATACTTAAGTTTATCTACTTATCAATCAAAAGCTGATGTTTAAAAGGATGATTCTCCAAATATTTATCATGTTTTATAAATAACGAACCAAAAAAAGGAGACTTAAACTTCAAAGTAATATTTTCTAGATTTAAGAAACTTGCAAAAAGTTAAAATAACCTAATCAATGAATGAACAACCTAAATACCTAATACAAGGAAAAGAAAAAAAAAAAGATCCCAGAGTTTCAAGAAGAAACGAAAATATGTGAAGAGATCGATCTGAAGTGGTAATAAATAAAATTTGAAATTTTCGAGGGAAGAAAATGAAGCAGGAGGAAGAAGACCACCTCACACTGCGTGGACGAAGATACCCACGTGGGTTTACCACTGACCCACCACGTGTCTCACCAATATTGAACTCAAGTGTACGTAAATAATAGATTTTGTCGACGCAATAATAAATTTGCGTAAAAAATTAAATAAATGTAATAATAATAATAATAAAATTGCGTACCTATTTTTGCATATGGAGTAGAAGAACCATGACATGAGGAAAAAAAAAAAGAAAACCATCAGACAGAGACAATCACTAATGAAAACATTCATGAAAGGAAAAAAAAAAATAAGGCATACAAAAACATTTTTTGTTTCTCTCATTTGAGAGTTTCTTAATTACAATACTCAAAAACTTAATGGATTTCACACACACACACACACACATATATATATATATACTTTATCGATCCAGCATTGCTTTGCAGTTCAGTTCATTAATTATAGAATATATATGTTGTATGTACATATCAAAATGTTTTTGTGAAAAGATTAATAGAATTTAACCTAACAGCTGTTAGAGTATTTGTGTTTTATGAAAAAAGAAAATACGATGTCTGCAAAAAGGGAAATTCATGTTGTTTTTTTTTTTTTTTTTTTCTTTTGATCAAGGGAAATTCATGTTCATTCTTCCTGCTTACAAGTTACAACAGTAACAATTGACTATTTTAAATATTATTACAGGATAAGTGGATGTGTAATCAACGACTTATGATATTACGACTACCAAATGAATATATATGATGTAATCAAAGAATTATGATCTTACGACTGCCAAATAAATAAATATATATATATATATATATATATATATATATATGATGTAATAATATAGATATATAATGTGTGATTTATTGACATATAATGTTGGTAGTATTTGTTCGTACAAAATCATTAATGAAAAAGTAGTAATTAATAATATTTAACAATTACAGTTTATCTTAATATATTTTTTTCTCTTTTGTTAGTACCTACTATATTTTATAAAGCTTTCATAAACTTTTATTTCTTTTTCTAATTAAAATTTATATATCTGATTACAATCCAAAAAGCAAATTCGGAAAAAAGAAGTCAAGATTTTATGTAAGGATGTTCAGATTCAATGCATATAAAGATGCTAAGATGCTATTTTAAAAAACACACAAAAATTATGCTAATTACTATTTTTAAAGCAACATTTTACGATTTGTCAATGTTTTCTTTTTTTTTTGTGGGTAAGATTTGTCAATGTTTTCTTATCAAAACTTTTACTGAATTTTATTAAACATATATCCTACCATTTCTATGTAAAAATAGTGATATTTTGAAGGTAAGAAAGTAGATAATAGTAGTATTTTTAAAAAAGTATGCACAAAATGGTGATATGTTTGCAAAATGCAAATTGTTTTCTAACGTCGTACTCTCGTATTTTATTTGATGAACTGATCATCTTTTCTTCTTTAATTATGATATCTGAAAATATAGAAATATTATTTACTACCGAAAGATCATTGGCAGATTATTTATTTGTTAGAGAAGACCTTATACATTATAACATTAGGCTATAAAACTCTAAAACCATAATCGAATTTGAATAGAAAACTGCAATAAAAGATAGTCAAATTAGGCAGAAACATGATGATTGCTATCTAATCGTAGAAAGTGTTTAGATGCTGCTAGCTAGATCCAATTGTTAGAGTAGTACGTGTCCAACCTCTTAGATAAACAGCTATTTTAAACACGTTGAGGTGGTCTAGTTTATACGAATTAACAATGACAATTTGGTTATGCCAAGAAAATTAATGCTTATTTTAACCTGTCAATTATTTAGACTTTGATATCTACCTATGACTATGAGATAAAGATGAGTACTATACAAAGCATATTTGATTGGTAAGATCAAAAACAAATTCGAGAGTGGTTAATAATGCTACAACTTAAGGCAGGTAAGATATAAGCAAATCAAGAAATGTTTTGACCATCCCTATGCCATTATCAACATTTTTTATCATGACCATTCTTTTACGTCAATGACCAGCCCTTTCACACTCGCACAACTCAAACACCACTAAATATATTTATAAAAAACATGGAATGAGTTAAGTGCTGATTAACAAGAGAAATCTATTGAAATAATTTGAAAACCATAATTGAGATCATCATTCTAATCTCCCAACCAGTTTTTTCCTTTGTCAATTTACTACTCCCAAAATAACTACACGTTTACAATATATTGTAAACTGTTAAAACAGAAAAAAGAGAGAAATGATATATTTTTTATAATTTACACGTTTATATGATGAGTTTTTACATTGTCAATTTACAACTCCCATAAATAATATATTGTCAACAATTGTCAATTTACACGTTTATAGATACAAAGTTTTTTTTGTTCTAGCAATTATGTTCGGAATCTTTTGTTAAATTTAATATTTTTCTATAAAAATTGACGACTTTTAGACTTTTGAACTATTTAACAGTAAATATATATAATACATTTTTATTTTCATCACTTGGTTTAGATGTTTACATAATTTTGAAAGTTTTATTCGTAACATTGTTAATGGCTCTTGATTAACGATGCTACCCATATAATGGTTATAAGTTATACAAATGATGATATAAAAAAAGATGGTCAAAGAGATGAAACTAACTGGTGGTACAGAAAACAATAAAATAAAATAATATTTTGCTACAAATTTGCTATGATTTTGCTAAATTTTACATAATAATCTTTCACCACATAATAGTGAAAATTGATTGTTGTAATCTTGGGATCACGGAGAAAAATTGGAATGAGAATTTTTTCTTGTACAGATGATCTAGTCAAGAGTCAATGACTGAGTAAGATACCACTAAACGCATGTGTGCTCTAAGTTCATTCATTTTTTTGTCAAATTTTTATATAAAATATGCAAAATTTTAAAATAAAATCAATATCAGGTATCTTGTAATTTATATAACTATTGAAACATGTAATTCAAATATTACTTCTGTTAAATGTCTTTGTAACATCCGGCGGTTCAATCTAATATTCTAATTCACCAAAAACTCAAAATTGAGGTTTTTTAGTACAATTATGTTTTAACGATATATTTATATTTTAACAGAAAACAACTAAGATATTACACGTCAAAAATAATATATATATTTTAAGTTTTCTCCCAATATTATAGGAACAAAAGCCTAAATATATCTCATTATTTAGTTTTAGAAGTTTATTACCTTTTTTTTTGTTAGATTAAAAAATTTATATAAATAAATTTAGTTTAAAAATATATCATCATTAAAACAGTTAATAGATTAAGACATGCGATATTACGAATTGTTAAACAACGTTAAATTTCCATCTCATGTAACTAACGATATATATAGATAATAAGTTCACAGAATAATACGTATATGTTGTTATATAATCATCTTTTTTATTTTCATCTTTTTTTTTTTCCTTTTCAAAGTTAGCACAATATTAAGTTTATGAGGTGATAAATTACTGATAAACTAGTTTTTGGCCAAACAATTTGCCATTTAGTTAAAAAAAACATTGATATTTGTATAAATGAATAAATCAAATCCATGTGAACCTATCAGACCAATATTTTATGTCAACAATCATGTTATCTATGTTGTTAGCATTTTAATTATCATGGACATGTAGGTAGGTTCCGCAATATTACTTATATAGCAATTCTCATTTTATGATCATCCACCAATGATCGCACCATGGTTGATTGCAATTTATGGAAGAGACTAATCTTCTTAGCTTTCATTAATGCCTATCCTGCTTCAAACTTATGAAAGAGTAAACATATTCAAGAAAAAGCTTGACTAAAAATAAAACTACAATTAGATTATTATCTTGATACTGAATACTTTCTTTTCATTAATTCAGAAACCATTTGAGAAAATAACATATTTGTAAGAAGATGTCATGACACATATATTTCCATTAAAAAGGAGACGACATTTATTTAAAAATTGATGGTTTGAAATATCCACCGACCTCAACAAAAATAAAAACTTTTCCATACTTGAAGGGGGACCCTGACTAAATATAATAGAACCATAAATTATACCTAAATCATGAGAATTGGGATCCAATATTCATTATTTAGTTAGGTTCTAATTAGAAAAACATTATTAATATTAAACTTGGACAGTTATATGAAATATACGCTATAGTAATCCCTACACATAATGCTAGTTTTCTTAACAATACAATTGATGATCCAACGTATACGAAAAAAACTCCAACTCTTTTAAGATTGGCTATATATATAGTGCTTCTATGAGTAAACTATGGTCTTTTTGATCTAAACCATTTATAACTCTTAACTCTTTTCAGATTTGCTAGTCTATAAGAATTGCATATTGACGGAACCATGTTTGTAGATTTTTTTCTTTCTTTTCGTTATTTACGTAATATTGTTGTAATGTTAGTGGACA